GAATTGGTTATCATATATATCAAAATGTCATCTTAAATGATTTTAAACATTTATTTGTGTTGTATATGTATTAATTGCACTATGCAAGAGTGGATTTGATATGTTTAGCACCGTCTTTCGTTGCTCTTTGCTTTTAATTTATACACATGTATGTCGTGCATTACTCAAGAGATAACTCATGCAATATTTTGTATTTCTTTAGCAGGGTATGATTTCCATTATTATGTTATTGTACTTACAACATATATATGCAAAATTGGAACATTGCTCCAAGTGGACCAATTCATGTCCTTTAGCACCGCCTCTTCTTGCTGTTTTTCTTTGTACATGTATGTATGTGTAGGCATTTATTGATTTTTTTTGTTTCTTTGCCATTATCTTTATGAGTTTAGGTGTGCCTGTACAATTTTCTTTGATCAAAATTCTTTCTCTTATGCTTCCTGCTATCTTTTAGGATCCAGGATCATCCTCTGCACTTAAACTATACACCACTGATGTAACTAATTTTCTACTCATAATGTTACATTCACTATGTTGCATAAATGTTTATAAAAAATTATGTTAACTAATCTTTTGTACATTTTTTTTTCAAGTTTGTGTATTTAGTAATCATTATATATTATACAAACTGAACAATGACTTGATTCTCTTATATACATTGTATCTAGTCGTCACATCATTATATCATTATATTTCTATACAAACTGAACAACGAGCTAATTATTAATTACATGTACAGTGTACTTAACTGTTTTGTGCGTACTTATTTGTTTAGTCATAATTGTTATAATGTCATGCCCGTTGAGGCCCTAATTTGGAAGTTAATAATAATATATTCTGTTTATTTTAATTAGCCTAAAACATACTCAATACAACCAACCCTGGCATTTGTGTGTTGACTTAGTTATACAAGTGTTCATGATTGAGAGGAAATCAACAGAGAAAAGTTCTCTAAACTATGCGATGATTCTACATGGTATTCTGGACCTTGCAATATGTGATCTATTCCATTTGGTATTCTATAATTGTCCATTTTTTAATTGTATATTTAATTTATAAATTTATTATTTTATGAATTTATAATTTTTTATTTGTATTCTATAAGTGTCAATTTATATTGTATAATTTTCTAATTGTATTGTTTCTTTCAATATTTTTATTATATAATTTTTATTTCCATTCTAGCATTGTCAATTTGTATTGTATAATTTCCATAAGTATTCTATAATTTTTAATTTATATTCTTTACACAAAAGATTATTTGTAAAGACCATACCATTACCCATAACACACACACAACCATCTTATTTGTACAATTTTACCACGTGCTTGATGGCAGTTTTTGAAATTTACATTCCTTGATGAGTGTAGTTACATGTAGTACTACTAAAGTTCCTTAACTCAAGTTCCTTTGAAGGACCTACTACGATCATGGCTTTTTTGGAATATGAAATTTGGAGATAATAAACTGAAATCAAGCTCAAAAGGCCATTGAAACAATAGTTACTTCCATTCATATGTCGACACGATATATCCCAGTGAACTTGAAATAAAAGATACAGAGTCCGACACATCTGTTTCATATTTGGATATTTTACCAGAAAAAGACGTTAATGGTAATCTAACAACCAAGCTTTTATGATAAACGTGATGACTTTAACTTTTCAATCATCAGCTTCGCTTACTTAAGCAGCAATATACCATTATCACCTGCATACGGGGTTTATATCTCTCAGTTGACGCAAGAGCATGTTCTACGTATGAACAATTTCTAAAAAGAGGTCAGTTATTGACCAACAAGTTGATGAAGCAGAATATCAACAGTCTCATTTAAAGTCATTTCGTAAGTTCTATGGTCGATACAATGACCTTGTCAGCAAATACAATTTATCATTAAGTCAAATGCTGACTGACGTTTTTCAAACTAATTGTTAGGCCATTTACACACTAAATTGTCTACGGAGAGTACTTAAATTAATGTAGTCATTTAGAAAGAAAAAAACCTGTTGACTCTAGAAAAAAGTGCCGTATTAATGCGTAAAAGTATGAAAAGTTTATACGGTATATACATTGAAATGAAAAAAATTTACTCGTTTTTACGCTGTGGATATAAAAAGGGGGTTTTTGTCCACCAGGAAAACACCCTTGGCTATATGAACCCGGACTTACGACCAAAGGTGAATATAGAAGAAAAAATAGCATGAAACAATGGCTTAACGATTAGTATGGAACATGTTAGTCAAAACACAACCGAACAATAGGCTGTAATTTTAAACAAGGTAATTAAAACGACCATAGAAAATTGTGCAATGCTCACTTTAAGAGAGATTAAGAAATCCCTAATACATCAACTTATTTGTCTACAGCCTGACTCGGTTGAAAATTGATTGTACCCTGAACATGCTCTTGCGTACCGAGTAAGTTGGGAGACATTCACGCCATGTGTAGGTGGCTGTGAATTATTACATGTAGAGAGGAAGTTGAAGATGGAAATACTGAAGTCATCCCGTTTTTCATGTAATTTAGTTGTTAGTTTGCAATAAGCGTCTATAGCAGTAAAGCATCCAAATATGACAGAGATGTGACAGATGCTATTATGATATAAATATATATTATATTTATATAAAAATCATAATAAAAAATTTGTCTCATTTTCAAAAGTTTTTCAATAGTTATACTAACTTGAAATTTTCACTCAAGTCTGTTCTTGGTTTATAATCTTGAGTCCTGGCCTGCAAAAACAACATTTATGGATATTGTCCATGGGGAACTCCATCATCTTTTGAAAATTTAATTCAGAGTACTTGTGTGTAGAATCATACAGAATGAATTTTAACAAAGTCATTTTGTAGATGATCAATCAGATAAAAATATGAAAATTTCCGAGTTATTTTCTATTTCCCTTCCAGCTGTCTGATTGGTTCAATAATTCAAGTATAAAACAGCATCGATTGGGTCTTCTTTTTAAAATTTCAAAAAGACTATCCTCTGAAAAACAATAGTATTGACATTACAAAAACTACTTTGGATTATTTCTCAAAATATATATTTCAACTCCAATATGTAATTGAAATGCCATAATGGGTATGACTTAACAATGCCTTGAATATGGAACTTCTTTAAAAAGAAATGTAGATGAAAGAGATTTTTATATATTGAACAAAAATGTAATATTCTATTAAAATTACATTATTTGAAGATATACACTTTGATATCAGTAAAGTGCACAAGTTTATTTTATTAAATATCTAACACGAGGAGTTTTGCCCATCACAAGAAAGTAAAACTTCTGTAAGGTTTTTCCGGTTGTTGTCATTTCTGTCAAAATATCATTGGGAAAAAATAACGAAATATCGATGATGTAAATATTTTTATTTCTTTTTTTTTTAATCTTTATAACATTGATAACAACGTGTAAAAAAAAATAATCAACTACTTTCATAAGAATCATTGACCGGTGGAGAAAATGAATAGGGTATATTAAAATTAGCTAATTTTTTTACTTTTCAAAATTAACGTTGTCTTTAGAATCATACTGCTACATGGAATATTCAAATGACTTTGGCAGAATAATTTTCTTAGCAGCAGTTGAAGTAGAACCAGAAAAAAATCAGAATAATCCTTCTTTTTGTGAGATGTTTTATAATTAATTTGATGAAAGACATTAACACCATATGTAGCTGACTGTGAATGATCACGACATTAGATAGGAAGTTGACGATGGAAATGCTGAAGTCATCCCGTTTTTCATATAATTTAGTTGTATTCGAATCACGGCCGCGACTGACCTAGTTTGATAAAAAAAATTGGTAGCAACTGTTCCGTTGCCAAGCGCTTGACACTTTGTAGTGAAAGTTGCGGGTCCTTCGGATGAGACCTTAAAAACCTAGGCCTCGTGTCACGGTAATCATTGGCCCGATAAAGATCCCTCACTGCTCGATGGCCCTGAGTGCCGAGTAAAGGTCTAAATTTGAAACCCTTCACCGGTATATGGTGACGTCTCTATATGAGTGAAAAATTCTCGAACGGGGCGTAAAACAACTTACAATCAATCATATAATTTAGTTGTTAGGTTGCCATTAGTATCTATAGCAGTAAAGCATCCAAATATGACAAAGATGTGGCAGATGCTGTACATGGTGTGTTTTTTTTTTTAGTTCACTGGGATATTCAGTCGACATATGAATGAAAATAACGTTTTTTTTTTTAATAAAACATCGTCGACGAATCTAAATGTCAAATTGAAGGCCACAGCAATATTTTTTACTTCTTATGTAGAATTTTTGAATAGGGCCTGCTTCACAAGAATATAAATCAGGTCTGCTAATAACGGAACACAATTGGTGTCTATTGAAATTCCAACAGATTGTTGGATTGCAAAGACAACATTCATAGATACTGTCAATGGGGAACTCCAGCATCTTTTAAGATTAGCTTCACAGTATCTGTGAGTAGAAGCAGAATGATTTTTTAACAAAGTCATTTTGTAGACGACCAATCACATGAAAAAATGAAATTTTCTGAGTTATTTTCTATATCATTTCCAGTTCTCTAATTGATTCAAAAAATAAAGTGTGAAACATTATATCGACTGTGTTTCTAATTTAAGATTCAAAAAGAGCATATCGACTGGATGTTTCGAAATGGAAACAATCTTCTGAAAAGCAATAGTGATATAGCATCACAATAGCTTCTCAGAACATATTTCACCTATTTTTTATTGTAATGCCATAATGGGTATGACTTAATAATGCCTCGAATAGGGAACTACTTAAAAAGAGTTAACTTGTTTGCATTAATAATATAAAGAAATATAAAATTTACACTAAGAAAACTAAAAATCTAAAAACTTACCTGAAGCCATACCCTTCTTGTTACTAAAGTTACTAAATATCGAACACGATTTGAGGATTCTTGGCAAAACTTCTGTATTTTCTGTTGATGTCACTTCTGTATTCTCTAACGTGAAAATACCATTGGTAAAAAAATAACGAAATATCGATGATGTAAATATTTTTATTTCTTTTTTCATCTTTATAACATTGATAACAGCAACATGTAAAAAACAATTAACTACTTACATAAAAAAACTGAATGCATGGAGAAAATGAATATAGGTTCTTTTCCTATTTAAGTTGTCTTTAAAATCTTACTCTTGCATGGACTTTTCATAGGACTTTGGAAGAATAAATGAAATCGTACTACATGTAGATTTTATGCATATACATACAGATCAACATCATGACACACACAGTGTACTAGTATGTCGTAAAGAAATATTTTACTGACTCCTGTAACGATATTTTCTTTGCAGAACATGAAAAAAAAAACAGAGTTGTCCCTCTTTTTGTCAGATATTTTACATATGATTTTGTAAATATGGTTTTTAAAAATAAGCAATTTAGATATTGTCTTCAGTCATAAACAGGATAAATACTTCCTGTATATATAAAAGAAGATATGTACTATGACAAAAAAATTATGTACAATTTAAACTTATGTACATTATTGGTATACTTCATTTTTACTCATAACAATATCGAACATGTAACAATATGAGAATATGAACAATATATATGATATCATATTTCTCCAGGGCAACTTAGTTTGAATAACCCTTGAAATTCTGACAATTTATTGACTATTCATTCTTTACCATATTTTGTTGTGCACTAGACAATCTTCTATCACCATTGTACTACTGGTTCTCCTCAACATGTTGGCTGTTATATATACAAAAACATTGAGACATGTGGTCACTATTAAAATAATAAACTAAACAGATCCTCTGTGACTTTCACGATGAACAGCTGTAGAAGGTCATTAGTCCCAATCCCAATATTCTGTCCTGTTCTGACATAATATCACTGCACAGATTACTCCCAGGATCTGGTTTAGAGAAAATAACACATAAAGATTAATTAATATCCTACTTTTTCTTTACATTTTCTTGTCAACTTGTATATATATGAGTGTTAGGTTGAAACTCTCCCACTACATGTATTTTCTTTACTTGTTGTCTCGTCTTACTCCATATCTTTAAAATTTTCTGAGTTTATTTGTTTGTAATTACAACTTTGTTTGATTCATAATCATATACATGTATTAAATATTCTAGCAGAATACACCATCAGGAAGAAAAAATCCCCGAGAGGGAATTTGTTTTCAACTTGTCTAGCATGTGATCAACCAATCAAAACAGTAATTAAAAGAGAATAAAATACAATATCTGTAAATTCATTGATTTATTAGTTGATTGATTGACTGATTGATTGATTGATTGACTAGCTTTTATCCACACCTACCTCTGTAATAGCTACGGCCACCACAACAGAGATTAAAATGACCACATTTCCATATAGAAAATCTAATATACTGTCATAACAACTCTGTAAAAAGTAAATAAAACGAACTGAAAAATAAGTGGGTTATATATATAACTCCGAAGTTCAGAATGTCTTGAACAGGTTATACATATCAATAAACCTTTTTTATTAAAAAAAAAAATAGCAGTAGTTGTTGCTAAAGTACATATTATTCGAAAAAAGTACCCAGAAATCACCAAAAAAGCTACGGAAAATAAAAAACTAAATACCGAAAATAATTTTGACCACATTATACCTGACTTCTTAGTTCTATGTACACGGGTCCCAAGTTTCTGGCTTCCATGTAACATGTCTGTGTATTTCCTGTTTTACAACAACTGGTTGGTACGATCCAAGTCTAAAAAAGGATAGGTAAAACTGTAGTTTAAAAATATGCAAAATCACGAGTTATAAATGTTCGATATAATGAGTAAAAAAATAGTTATTAAATAAGGTGCCCAGCTGATGTTTTCATGACATCTGTCCATCCCAAAATAGTACAAATTCGTGAATCTATATTCAGATACCTATTTGACGAAATCCAATGCTTTAATAAACAGTTAAAAGATTTCTGAGGTCCATACACTCATCGTGAATGATTTTCCTTCTTTTATGTATCCAAGATGCCGTTTTCGGTCTCATTTAAAAACGTAAAAATTTAAATAATTGCTTTAAAAAACAATATTTATTAAATCTGTTGAATTCTTATGTAATGTGATTTTCACATTACTCTTTTCTAGAAAAAAAAGATAAATAAATAGTGACTTCTAAACTAGATAGAGCCAGTTTTAAATCCATCTGTAACACCAAATATGGAAGTGTTAAAGGTCAGCTGTTTCTGGCTCTTCCATTTACCAACGTGTAGATTAAAATTATGATGATGTAAGCAGTTGAAAAATCACGAACTTGATGTGAATGATTTAACAAATGATATAAATAAAATAATATGGCTTTCTTTCTTGCAGCTTACAGGTATGGCGGTTGCAATTATTTCAGAAAATATATATATAAACCAGCTGACGCAGATCATGTATTTTGAAGAAACTTGTTTACCAAAAGATGTTTTATATAATGTTTATTTAATTGGATTTTAAAAAATACCAAATACAATTTTCCCATCTTTTTCTCACAGTAAATTCAAATCCTGTATGGAATATCATATCCCAGATGTGCTCTAATATGATAATTTGGCAATTGGTTCCAACCTGTTTAATGTTTTATGTACTACCTACTAAATTAGACGAAGCTATAAAATACATCTAATGACAATGAATAAAATTTTAGCAAAAATAAATCAAGATCTAGTGCAAACATTTCTCTGTATACAGAAATGTCAGTTATATATGTGCTTGGTTCTTCTGATGTAGACATCTAAAGCAAATTATTAATTATTATTTGTTAAAAACTTTTGTGGATCATTGCGCCTGCGCCACCAATGAATTTGTTGGTATCTACTTACTGAGATTGTGTTTGTTCTGTTGTTTAGTTGAGTGTCTCTGTAATCTGAGAAATTTCTAGCACCACAACAATCAAACTGCAAAAACAATGAAATATACCTACTGTAAATAATCCTGGTATATTAGACGTTTGTTATGCAGAAAAGAAACACATTTAGATGATACATACTTATTTTAGTACTTTTTTTATTAAACATAAATTTACATGTAATTATTGTTACGTCAATTTATAAAATGACATTGAGCTTGTGGAATTGAAATATGGAGATAAAGAACACCAATCAAGCTCTAAAGTCCATTGAAACTATACAAATTTGGGGCAGAGCAAACACGGAACTCTAAAAACATAAGAGGTGGGATCAGGTGCCATGGAGGAGTAAGCATGCATCCCCTGCTGGCCGCCTTGTGCTCCTTGTCATGATCAGGCAAACGAAAAAATCCATAGACAATTCAGTATAAAAATAATGGCCTAACAATTTGTATGAAAAACGCCAGACAACATTCGACTTATTGATAGATTGTATTTGCTGGCAAGGTCATTGTATCGACCATAGAATTTGCGAAATTTTGACTTTAAGGTCTAACGACAAGTTGCTCGAATATCTGTTTTGTATCTCTTTATAATATGCAACAAATTAATTATAATTATCATTATCTTGTGATTTTTAAATTGTTTTCAAAATGTCTAAGTAGATAAAGACACACAAAACTGTGATATTACTCATCATATTAGCAATGCCAGTGATTTCCGATAGGATTATATAGTGAATAACCTCCTACGGTATCTTGCACAAATGCCTGACAAGGTACCTCAATTTTTTGTGAGGAATTCTGTTAAAGAAGCAATACTTCAATGACATATTTTTGGAAAAAATCATTTATTATTGAGGAACATGTCATCTGACCTTGTTTTATCAACTTATTTGTTATTTGGCTTGCCTCGTTTTATACTAGTAAATTGTTCGTGCATAGAGCATACTCTTGCGTATTGTATCAACTGGGAGACATAAGCTCCATATGCAGGTGATAATGGTACATTGCTACATAAATATACATTACATGCTGTTGAAGGAAATCCATCGTTTTATTATTGTCGTGGTAGGTGTAGTCATTCACAAGTTTTGTAAGCTCATTTTGAAGTATTCCTTCCAACTGAAAAAGAATGTTTTAAATATAAATACATAAAAATATTTTATTTTCACAGTTATATAATTATGAAGAAAAGAAAATGAAGATTTAAATAAAAACAATTACTATACTACAGTATACACAAATACTTCTTGGTTATTTACATTTTTTCGTTCCACTGCGATGTACACCCCTATCACCAACTCTGCTACCAAAATGAGGACGACACATCCTATATACTGAGAAAGGAAGACATATAGATTTTTAATTACAAGTTAGGTAAAGACTTGAAACAGTGGACTTCTGATTCAAACAATGTAAAACTTGAGATTTTAAAAATAAATTTGTAAAGGGAGCTCTAAAAAGATAACTCCTAAAAACAAATACACATTGTAATACTTATATGCAGTGTAAAACTGGCTGAGCAAAAAATACAATGTTATTTACTCCCAAATAATGCATGAATGTTGAGTTACCGATAATTAATTAAAACTGAATCGAATCAGTTATAATTGCTACTCATTAAACCTAGGATCAGGAAATAATTAACGGAAATTAATTACATGAATGAACAATGTGGGTATCCCATTGCTGTCTAACCGAGACGTAAATTCAAAAATTACAATATGATATAAATTTAATTCTTCTATACAGATACATAATATACACTTATTTTTCTCGGCCAAAACCAGTTATATATTTCAAGTTAAATTGATAATTTAATGCAAATTCTATATTCTTTTATATATTTAGGCATGTTCTTGTTTAAATTTTTTGTGTATGTATCACAAATATCATCTATTTTGTGCATAAATGTACTTATACTTCTGAAATATTTTAATTAAAAACAAACCTCATTATTTTCAGTTACGGAATGCCACAAACCATCCGACATTGATAAATATACTTTAAATTTGTATATTTCAGAGGATGTGTGGATACTTTTTTAAAAATTTGTTTATAGAATACGAATTATACGTGAATTTTAATTGATTTTGTTATTTAAATTTGACAGTTTCCGCTGTCAATAAGAGGAGATCACAGAGAGAGACGCGGTAGTTATTAAACCTATATTTTGCGATCGTGATAACTAAAACAAACATTTGTTGGTCTCTATCGGATATTACAAAATTGAAAGTGCGCAAAAAAGGAAATACTCAAATTGTACCTCTTATATATATATATATATATATATATATATATATATATATATATATATATATATATATATATATATATATATATATATATATTGTGTATTTGAGACGCTCTGAATTTGAGAGGAATGTAACATTTTTAAAACTCCTTTTAAATACTTATCTCCTCCTATGAAGTTAAAATTAAGAACGTAAAGTTTCATTTGTGTTTGTTTTTTTTGTTTGCCTCCTTGTACATTTGTGAGAGACTATCAATTTCTAATAAAAAAAAATCTGACATGTCCTGTAGCAAAGATCAAGAAGCTGAGGATATGGACCCAATTTGATTTTTTTAAATAATGGATATTAAAGTAGGATCAAGGAAAGATAATTTAAGCATGTATACTGGAATTTATACCAGGAGACATGGTAAGTCATACCCTGAGAAGAATTAAGGGGTTAGTGGAACTTAACTTCATAATTAATTAAGTACGTACACTGGAATTTATACCAGGAAAAATGGTAAGTCATACCCTGAGAAGAAGGGGTTGGTGGGACACTCTACCTTAACTTCATAATTAAGTATGTACACTGGAATTTATTCCAGGAAAAACTGGTAAGTAATACCCTTAGAAGAAGGGTTTTTTGGAGTGTCCCTCCCCCTTTGTGGAGTGTCCCTCCCCCCTAACTTCTTCAGTAACTATTTCTACAGTGATTCATTGTCCAAACCCACGACTGGATTTTCAAATTTTTTTCACCCTGAATTTCAAAAATATGACACTTATAAAGATCTTTCCTCTCACAAATACTAAAAATACTCGCTTACACCCGCTAGCATCCAAGCACTCTCCCGCACAGCTCCACAACAACCACAGAATCCCGTGATGAAAATAAATCCACCGACACCAATAATAACGTAAGCAAAAATGTAGATCCAGTCCAATGGGAAACCAATGTTTGCATTCCCAAGAAAATCCTCTATCCTGTCATCCACACAAATCCATATCCCAATTCCCAGTAAACCACACCCGGATACCTGTAAAATAAATATGTACCTTGAAAGATAAAACTCAAAGATTCCAAAATTTACATAAAGAAGGCATAATTTTCAAAGACCTTTAATATGATTTTAGTATCTTGATAATAAAAATCATTATGTCATGTACTGAATATATGTGTTCGCATCCAAGGTCTTGAAGTAAAGAAGTTACATTTTATTTCCATATAAAGTTAAATATGAACGATTTGTATCTCATGCATGTAGAAGATGATATCCATATAAAAAGTAAACAAAACGTACTAAGTTTTATTCATGTGAGACAAAATAAGAGATTCAACTATACAAACAATAGACTGGAAATGAGAGAATATTTTGTCTTTTGTTAATTTTGATTATTTCTGATTTATATACGAAAATTAATTAATTCTGACTCATATACGAAAATCTTACCCAGAAGAAGAAGTTGAAGACAACCAGCAGGTATCTGGAACACTTAGCACACAATCCATCCGCCATATTGATATGCTTCTGTAATAAGAAATCGTTCATTACTTGCAGTTCCTTTTAGGTCATATTATTGCTCTGGTATTGCTTAATATGTTGATTAATATGTCACACGAGTGTGCATATTTGTTTCTATTTTATTGAATTTTCAATTCATTTCCTAAAATAGCATTAATAGAAATTTTGAAATAAGAAAATCAAGTTTTTCACTCACAAAAATCAACGTTGCCTTCTTCTCCTAAACCTTATTTACACTTAACCATAAAAATACCTCAAAATCCATTTTTGAAAATATAAGCAAGTACACTTTCGATAGAGGAAACTTTGGTTATTGAAAGGTGGGAATTTTAACGAATTGAAGTAGTGTTTGCTATCTTGAAACAATTTTATTACAGCACATTCCTGTTCAACATGTCGATGATATCATGTACGTCAACTTTAACATTACTAATGCCAAAATCTACAAAATTATTAAAATGATTGATTATTTCAAACACGTGTGTATCTTGTCTTGTAGTTAACCCTAGGACATTGGACAGTGTACAAGCTAGCTAACAACACTAAGTATGTTTTCTTGTGTTCAGTGGTCATTTCTGGTCGATTATGTCCCCAGGTATTTATTATTGACAACATCTTATTACACATTAAGCCTAATTAGCAGTAAACAAACGCTGTATTGTACATAAAAATATACATCATTAATTTGGAAAGATAATACAAATGGGTGGAGTCCCTGAATATTCTTTGTTTTCCCCACTTTTTTTTAAAAAAAGAAAAGAAATATACAATCAAACAAAGTTTCCATTGTTAATGATGAATATGTAATGTTACTATATTAACCTATATGAATATAGCATTTCATAAATTGGAATTAGAGTATAACTTGCTTTCAGAAATCATTTTGAATGTGTACTTGTTCAGTTGTTATAAATAATTTCAGAAACCCGACATGGACTTTGGAAACGATAAGTATCCTTCTGACATGAAAAAATAATGATGAATCATTTAATCATTGTGTGTCTATCCTATAACGTAGGGAAAATTAATAAAAATAAGAACGAAAGAAAACCGTCCAAAATAATGTATTTAGTCATATGTCAGTCTATTTACAAGATTCTTATATGTATCTCAACATCAGTGATCGTAACATTTTCTTTGTTTTAAATCTTTTTAGCAAATTTTACATTGATAAAAATAAATATCATCAACGTTTATCTTACCTTGAAGATACAATCCAAATTTTCTGAATAAAGGCCTAATTATTTTATACGTTTCTCATTTTTTTCTCTATGTTGTCTAAGAATACCTTTGCAATGATCCTTGATAATCTACATTGGACGTTTCCTGTACAGGGGTACATGAAGGGGGATTCCTGTAAAAATCTTACACAAAATAACCCCTTTTCTCAATTACAATACAAAAAGAGATAGTTTTTGAGTTTTTAAGACTCTTTCAAAAATATATTTTGAGCTTTGTCTAATAATTTAGATTAATTTTGGAGCAAATATTTCCTTTCCTTGTTGGCGACTCTGTTTTTTTTTTTTTTTTTTGGCTCGTGATTATAGCTACAGGGGCTATTTATTTGGCCGGGCGGGACCATGATATAAATGTCCGTCTTACATTTTCTTTCCTTTTGATTTACCTTTTGTGGTCACTTTATTACTTCTACAATTAACTAAGAGATTTCCTGGCAAAGAAAAAAATCATTTTATAATAATTAATACTTTCCCTGGAAAGAGACGAATCATAAAAACAGAACAAGCATATACCAACATAAATAGATATACTAAAATAGAGTAATAAACAAAGCAATTGTTATCTTTCCAAATTCAGTTTCAACAGCTGAAGAGAAGAGAGTTTTGAAGAGATTGAAAACATTTTTAAAATAATATATTTATTTTCCTCGTCCTGACCTTAGAAAGATACATGTCTGATTGAGATGTATTACCTGCCATGTGAAATGGACACAGTGATTCATTATAACACTATGTCGAGTGTTTTGTGACAAATTTTTTTGGCTTAAGTACTGAATGACATATTTCTTGAATGAAAAAAAGTTAAAATGACAAAAATTTGAGCAATGCTTGAGATTTTTTACATACCCACAAAAGTAAATGAATGAAACCTACATTATTTTAAGTGGGTTACTTTGGGCAAAGGTCAAATGTCAACATTTCTCTCCATCCTTCAGCTTGAATGTTAGCACTGATATATGACAACTATACAATGCGTAAAATGTAGATAAATAAGAATTCCTGATAAATGACCAACTTCCTGGAAGACGTACAATGGTCATAACGCCCATCTTAATCACACCTTGTTGGAGACAGGTAGTACAGGGAAAAACATCTACTGGTCACTTAGTCAGGTTTTATGGAATACCGTATTTGGAAATAATGCAGCATTAAATCAAAGGATTTTTACCAGCATGCAAACAAAATTGATAAACTTTAATAGCTTAATTTTTCTGTAATCAAAGTAATAAACATGCAATTTTATCACTAAAGGCAATTAAATGAATTTGAAAAGATAAATAAATAAATGAACCACGAAGAAGGTGCCTATGTTTTATTCTTAATTCGTGTCATCAATTAATAAGTTTTTATTTTAAAATTATTATCAGAAATATACAGTTTGTTTATTGCTTTCATTTTTACAAAAGTCTTCAAGAGTTTTAAAAGCTTCCTATTTTGAAGCAAAAGTAGAAGCTTGTAGATATTGCGTCCCCTTCTAACGGTCATTTTAGATGTTTTGACATCTTACTGACTTCAGCTGGAAAATCAGACACATAAAGAGCTAAAACAGCAAGATTTGCATTTTCAACAAATATTTTCAAGCAGATGTTTTACCATTAAAAAACTAGGCAACTAGCTAGATATGATATGTTCAAAAGTGTGTAGCAATGTAAATATGTTTCATATATGAACATTTCAGCTTATGTTTAGCATGTTTGAAATTCGACGTACTGGTTTGTTACTAAAGAACATTTCTAGCGTATGAACAACATACTGTCAAACATGCTCCTTGATGTACATCATGTATTGAACTTAAGTTGAACATATATGTAAACATACATTGCTCGTTTTATATGGTATTAATAACTATTAATATCAATATCTTAGTTCTCTTTTATCAATAGGGACTCTAATGAAATGGACTCATTCCATCCAACAGACAAAATAAACAAGAACACCAATACCTAACCAACAAAAGACCAAGATTAAACCTAGAGAAGTGAAACATACATATTTTCTTTAAAGTAAGTAAGGATAAATAAGTATTAAAATAGCGTCATGTCATAACTTGCTGGCTAAAAAGCTGATGAATCTAGGCAGATATTTTATGCCCCCTTCTCCATAAACTAAGATCGGGTATTCTATCCAATGTTTAAATAGGAATTTGCTAACATAACGAATGTGACGTCTTCATCCTACATGTGTGAAGTTATGTTACTTTGTTATCTAATGAAATACATGTACTCGTATTTCAAAATACTGCTTTGGTCAAAGATGAACAAATACGATTAGTATAAACCAAGAAATGGGTCTCGGTATCAATGTCCTACAGAACAACAGGGAAAAAATTGGTAACTGTACATTGTGTGCATGTATATTTTCGATAAAACTATCAATTAGAAGGCAATAGGATGTTGTAAGTTTGCTAAAGACACCGAGCAATTGCAAGAAATATACCATGTTAGGATATTAAGAGTGTTTGTTATACCTTTATAAATCTGTTCCTATATAAATCAATACTAATAAAAGACCAACATTTCCAATGTTTTACTGAGCGGGCATAAAAAAATCGATGTTTGACCGCGGAGTGAGATATTGGACCTGTCGATGAGATGTTGGACCGCTTACGTCACACAATGGGCGGGGTCAGCTAAATCTCTTTTGCATTCATTGGTGTTCAGCATACATGTATTCCAAAAAAAAAAAATAAAATAAAATAAATAAATAAAAGGTATAATAAAACATTTATTGACTGTGTTCTCGGGCAAAATGCGTTTTGTCGACCCCTAGAACCAAACTGTTTGCCTTCGGCCTATCGGCCTCAGGCAAACAGTTTGGTTCTTGGGTCCGACAAAACGCATGTTGCCCTCGAACCCAGTCAATAAATGTATAATGTTGGCAAAACTATGGCATATTTCCAAATCAGTCGCTCGAGGTGTTACGAAGATATTAATATGAATTTTCTTCGATAAATACTCTTTTTCATGCACATTGCTATACTTTTATAACTCATATATTTTTACTTTTATCAATAAATATTTTTGACTAAAATCTATCAAAAGCGATTGTTTGAGAAAACTTTTTTGAAACCGTATCTTCATTAGATCATAAGTATGGTGGCATATTTATGCCATCCACATAATTTTTTGACAACATAGCATATCATGTCAAGTCAAGATAACTATCTCGTCAAGTCATGATAACTTTCTGGTTTATCGACAAACGCCGACTTTATATCTTGTCTAGTCAAGATAAGCTATCACATTTGTTGCGTTAGCTATCTTGACATGACGAGACAACTTATCTTGCATCATGAATGAAATAACTATCGCAAAAAAATAGGATAGCTTATCTTGACTGGACAAGATATAAAGTCAGTGTTTGTCGACAAACCAGGAAGTTATCATGACTATCTTGACTTGACATGATATGCTATGTTGACAAAAAATTATGTGGATGACATAAATATGCCACCATACATAAGCATATTTCAGAGCACGGAAACAATGAATGACTCTGTATTAGTTAAAATGTTTAATGATGATGTATGAAATGTGAAGATAGGTTTTAAAAATCTATTGAAATCGAAAAAGCAAACCTATACTTAATGAACACTTTGCTAGAGTATCAAAACATCTACAGTTATTGCTTTCATGTACTTATCTACATAATTGTGGGTATAATAAGGAAACTTTTTATTCGACATTATAAACTTAGTAGTGGAGATTTTGTTAACATCTGGTCACCCTTATAAAATTTGATGAAACATTTGATGGAACATGAAACTATTCAAAGCATACAAACCAGTATATCCAGGAAACAAAAATATCTACGTGTACGGTAAAATCGTAGACAGGTTGTCTAGAGTGAAAAATAATCATCACTGCGTTCTAGAATTTTCACTACTCTTTAGTATATTTTTCATCAATATACATAGCAAATTTCAAATAGATATATGCTCAAATAAACAAAACATGAGATTTCATGTTATGTGTGGTTTCGTCATACGGAGCACGGATGATAACGTCAAAGTGCCTAAAGCAGCGTTACATTTCCTCTTTGCTGAAAAAAAGTTGGATAAACCCCACTTAAATTCGGGAAATTCATTGATGTACACTTGAGTTCCCCTTTATTCCTCCATAAACAGTCGAGGAACCAATATCGCACACACATGGGACCTTCTGAAGATTTATTAGTATGTTATGGACAGTACTCCTACCATCATACAACTTAATACCAGTTGATTCATATATTGACATAGACCTTTTATTTTGTGTACAAAAAAGAGACAAATTTAATTTGTTTTATTTATACGTCAGTAATAACAGGGCTCAACATTAATGTTTGTCCGATTGTTCGAGTCCAATTCATTTTGTGATCGGACAAGTCAATCTCCACAAACACTTGTCCAATCGGAAAAGTTTTTAAAATATTTTTTTATCATTATGGAGAGTGTGAATAGATCCCCATAGAACTCACACAACAAGTAGGTTTTTTTTAATAGAAGACATTTAAATAGTACATAACTTTATTAAGGTCTCAGTCATACCGCACCAAATATTGCTAATTTAAAACAAACAAGCGTGATATAAGTAATATTTGTATTTTCATGTCAATAAATAAGTTCTTTATAAGTCAGTATTTTTATACCTAATCCAGTTGATTATAAAGTTGTACAATTTTCTTTATATCTGTTCAGAGTCGGACAAGTAGAAAATGTATTCGGAAACGAGTAACAATATTGGCAACTTGTCCGATTAACAAATGTATACATGTGTTTTAGTTAATGCTGAGTCCTGAATATAAACTGTTATTTAAAAAAGGATACGCATTTCATCACAGCTACTGTATTCTTGTATTGTTATTCCTACTTAGAAAATAGGCAAACTCGCCCAAAAGGCACGAAGATAAAGCTATACCAAACTTATGATAAGTGAATGAAATCTAAATTGGTTAAGTGTAACGGGAGAAATGGGCACCTGGTAAAAGAAAAAAAGGAGTATGACATAATTATCACATGAAATCTATTATGCCCTCTATATAAGTAAGATATAGCAAGAAAGATAAAACTAAGAGGAGGACATTAAACAATGAAACAAAACTTTTTTTTTTGCAATATGACTCGCACTAACAGGAAATTTGGAAACTTTCGAGTCTGAAGAAAAATTGATTTGAACATATTTTATTGCAATAAATACATACAATGGGATAGATAGTTTTCATATGACTTATTTTCTCTCCGAGTTATTTCCCTTGGCCGCCATCTTGGTGGTCAACCTGGTAATTTTTCCTCTTTGTCTTACCAAATCTAAGAGGGTGTAGCAGAAATATTTTGGGGAAAATCTTTATAGAATATAAATTATGAAATAAAGGAGGCTTTAACAAATGTATATTTTTCAGAAAAATAATGCTCCTTACCCCACAATGGCCAGTATAAAAAGTTAAAGTTGGTTGAATAATGAAGGAATATGAGCATGTTGACCTCCAATATGGCGGCCACCGGGAAATAACTCTTGCTAATTTGGGCCTACTGAAAACTATCTATTGGGCACAATTGGGCTAAAATCTTCATTCGCCCTCTCCCTACATGTTATATTATTATACTTTCATGTTAAATACTAAAATCTGATTGGTTTAGAAGCATTTAACAATCCGTAATTTTACCCTCAGCGTTAGCAACATACTTGACAACGGGTAACATTACGAAAATATCACATGCGTTCAAATCATGCGCGTAAGGTTCACCGTAGAATTCTCAAAACGTCGGTTGTGCGTTTGAAAGAAGCCAAATAAACGACGTCAATTAAAGCTTGCGTCCGATGTAGCTTACTTGAAAACAACAAACGACAGACGAAACATCCTTGCGAGTGCAAACTTTAGATGATAAAGGACTTTTTGAGTAGCAAACAAACAATAAAGAGGTTGGCAAATCTTTTTCGAAGCTTTCTTATTGAGAAAAATAGAATCGGGGAGTTTAAAAGCTTTCTAAGCGTGAACTTAACGACGATCTCCGAATTTTTTTATGACATCCGAAATCAATAAGACATTCAGCTTTCAAACTCCCCGCTTCTATTTTTCTCAATAAGAAAGCTTCGAAAAAGATTTGCCAACCTCTTTATTGTTTGTTTGCTACTCAAAAAGTCCTTTATCATCTAAAGTTTGCACTCGCAAGGATGTTTCGTCTGTCGTTTGTTGTTTTCAAGTAAGCTACATCGGACGCAAGCTTTAATTGACGTCGTTTATTTGGCTTCTTTCAAACGCACAACCGACGTTTTGAGAATTCTACGGTGAACCTTACGCGCATGATTTGAACGCATGTGATATTTTCGTAATGTTACCCGTTGTCAAGTATGTTGCTAAAGCTGAGGGTAACATTACGGATTGTTAAATGCTTCTAAACCAATCAGATTTTAGTATTTAACATATGAAAGTATAATAACACAAAAGATTGAATTAGAAGAATTGCAATGCATATGTATGAAAATGTTTCCCATATCTTAAATAAACGATCATTCGCTCTTGTTATGTCTTAGCTCCTAAAAGTTGAAATTATATTAACATTGTAATATAAATTATTATGAAAGAATATGTTACTTTTAATGCCCGGTATATATGTCACCTTTAATACAATACCTAAAGTAAGATATCTAGGTTACATGACATGATATACATTGTAACTATAATACTGATTTTTTTTTTTCCGAAATGTATTCTTTTAAAAAAAAATTTAGAGTTCTTAAAGTTAATCCTAATGTACAGGATATGTCAACAAAGCAGGAATTAACCTTAACATTGATTATGTAATAATTAACTACTGTAGTAAACTATACTAACCGTAATTATCAAATAATGAGTACAATCGCTGGCAATTTTGTATTCATTATAACAATACAGTATACTTTTTTGAAATAGTCATTGTGTATATTTATCACCAAAATTTTTGACACTATCTGTCCTCCTGTAATCTCTGATCGTCCATAATTATTGTAAATATGTATATATATATGTACCTCTTGTACCATTCATATGGTTTTTGAGAGAATAAATGAATGAATGAATATACATTGCATTTCTTTTAGTTAAAAAGGTGTACTTACCAACCAGATTTCAGCATGCCGCAAATATATCACGTAAAAGAACGAAATATAGCATTTATCTGTTAGCAAAATGTGCACAACTGTGACAATATCCGCCAAATTCCTCAGAAAGGGATCAGAACAAGATCACACACATTAAGTTGCATCCTTGAAATATTTGTACGTGGTTATGATATTCACTGTTAAGTGATAAACAAACACAGTATTATGCTTAGCAGCCACACTCTGTCCCTGCGAAATTGTATAATCACATCATGCGAGCAGAATTGTAGATTGTTCTCACGAAATATTTTTTACGGAATTAATCCAATAAATCAAAGTTCATGTTCATAACAATTAGAATAAATTCATTTTGATCGGTAAACACTAACAAAATCAACTTATCTGAACATCATGGCGCAGGGCTCTTCTACAAATCCTTCCTCTCATTTAAAATAGCACTTAATGCAGGAAATCCATTTAGCCAGAAATATTGAATGTATGTAATGAATAAGTATATCCATTCTGGTTAATGACCACTTCACTTTTATTTGTAATTACTTATTCAAGATATATTTAAGAAATTGAGGAGGTGGTTCAAAACATTTTTCCATTATTGATCACATGCAGATTCATTGCCCGGAAGGTTTCACGAAGTACAATGTGCAACACGTGTATTGGTATAGACTTTCTGATTAATATGATCAAAATGCAGTAGTATTTTATTATTATGTAATACAGAGTATGCCTTTTAAAGGTCTGATGACACGTTGCTTGAATATCTGTTTTGTATATCTCTTCGTAATATACAACAAATTAATCATAATTATCATTATCTTATGATTTTTAAACTGTTTTCAAAATGTTTAAGTAGATAAAGACACCAAAAATTGTGATATTGGCAATGCTAGTGATTTCCAATAGGTTTATATAGTAAATAACATCCCTTGGTATCTTGTACAAATGCCTGGTAAAGTACCTTAATTTTTTGTGAGGAAACTTGTTAAACGAGCAATAGTTCAAAGATAAATTCTTGGAAAAAAATTATATATTATTGAAAAACGTGTGGTCTGACCTTAAGGTCATATAAGTCAATAAGGGACCTCCTATCGTCCTTGGATTACGTCGTCGTCCGAAATTTGTGAAAAAAACATTCCTGAATTAATTTTAGTTAATTTAAATGTTTTGGATTTATTTTCATGAAATCAGTAGTGAGAACTCTACCATTGTGAAATCCATGCCCTGTAGGTCTAGGGTGCAAGCTGTTACGAGGGGCAAAGTTGATCATATATTGAGATGTACCCTTGGGGCTGAACCATGGGGGCCTTGAATTTTACTATTTTTGTAGAGGACTAAGAGATTATTATAATAATGTCCGTATATCTATGAGTAAATTGAATTTCCAAGGACGAAATCTGTTTTGCAATAGATGACCTACTAAGCCCCAGTATGGGGCCTAAACGCTGGGCCCAGGAGCCATGAATTTTACAACTTTGGTAACTGAAAAACCATTGTAATCATGCAAACAGCTTGCTTCCATGAGTAAAGTAGAAGAGTCCCAAAGGCGTAGTGTATTTTTAATATATCACCATATAGCCCCATCAAACTGGAGCCTGAACGCTAGATCCAGCAACAATGAACTTTAGTTAACAATTTTGGTAATGGTTTGTGTACTCACTGAAAATTATACAAACAGTTCGCCTCTAGATGACTATGAGCAAAGGGTGTACCCTGGTATAACCAACTTTGTCCCATCTAATGGCCTAACCATGAGCCATGAATTATACAACCTTGGTAATAAAAGAATAAGTGTTTATTACAATAATGGAAATTGTCTGTCTATCTCACCCTATGACCTTAACCATGGACCAAAGGGCCATTAATGTAACAATTCAAAAATAGTCACCATAATATGATGCAAACATTTTTTCCAGCAAGATGTGCTAAGTAAAGAATATTTCATAAGATATAATGCATCGTAAATATATGACCAACTTACCCCTACCCTGGAGCCTGAACAATGATAAATGGAAGGAAGTTGACGTTAGAAAAGTTAATTAAGTCATGACGGTTATCATAATGTTTGGTTGTTAGTTTGCCATCGATGTCTTTCTATAGTTGAACATCCAAATATGAAACTGATGTGTCAGACTCTGTGGTGAATGAAAAATCCTCAACATTCAAAATGTATATAAATTTGTCTATGTCTTAACCAAAGTAAAAGTCGCCCGCGTGGCGCAGTGGTTAGAGTGATTGCTCTAGAGTGCGGTGTAAGGAGTAGATCCTTACGTCGCGGGTTCGAATCCACTGTGGGACGTGGAGATCGGTCCTTCGGATGAGACCGTATAAACCAAGGTCCCGTGTCTCAGTAGGTGCTGGCACGAAAAAGATCCTTCAGTGAGCAGTCTACCATTATCATCTGCATATGGGGTTTATGACTCCCATTGATTCAATATGCAAAAGCATGTTCTACACAAATGAATAATTTCTTAAACAAGGTAGGCTAATGTCAGATAATTTGATGATGTATGGGCATCAATAATCTCGTTGAAAGTCAACATTTCGCAAATCTGTGGTGGATACTTTGACCTTGTTTGCAAATACAATCTGTTGTTAGCTAGGTTGAATGTTGATTGACGTCTTTCATACAAATTTTTAATGGATTATTTTCATTTCATTTGAATTGTCTACAGATTTCTCCGTTTGTCTATGACAAGGGGCACACGGCGGGTGTGACCGGTCGACAAGGGTTGCTTACTCCTCCATGGCACCTGATTCCACCTCTGATGTTTTCACAGGTCCATGTTTGCTCTTCTAACAATCTGTATCTTAATAGAAGCATGATTTTTATTCGTTATCTTTACATTTCATGTATTCAATCTCATTGCATTCATCATACATTAAAAGGATTCGCCTTTACTGCTTTTTTATCTAAATAGATACTACATGTATTAACATTATACAATCCACTTTTCATAATCAAAATAACATGACTTGAAAATGTTGAAGTTCTTTTTTGCTAATTGAAAAATAGAGCACAGGAATATTTGAAATGATGACTGGTCCTTTAATGGACTGCTTTAAAATTGAGAGAACATATCCATACTGCAATAAAATAGAATTAAACATCCTTTAAGAATCAATGAAGTTACTATTAGGGATGGTCAACGGAATGTTGAATTCTGGTAAGAGTCTCAGGTTTAGTGTTTGTCACTGTTTGTTGATGGTTTAGTTCAAGTACAGGAAAATGAATGTAATCTGTAATATACTAGAAATCATCACAATTTATTATTCAACTCGAATATCCTATACCTAATGTCACATGAAAAAGGTGAAGATAACGGACAGTGATCGATCTCAAAAAATCTACAAACAATACAAATTTGTGAACAGGGCATAAAACACGGACCTCCGGAAATTCCAGACGTGGGATCAGGTACCTAGGATGAGTAAGCATCCCCTGTTGACCGGTCACACCCACCGAGAGCCTTATTTATTGATCAGGTAAACGAAACATCCCGTAGTCAAATTTAGCATACAAGCAAAAGCATAACAATTGGTGTGAAACACGTCAGTCAAAATACGACCCACCGATAGGTTATATTTGCTAACAAGGTTTTTATAATGACCATGGAATTTACGATATGCTGACTTTAAATGAGGTTGATGAAATCCCTGCAACATCAACTTATCTTTCAGTAGCCTGCCTCGGTTTAAAAATTGATCGTACTCAAAGCATGCTCTTGAGTATCGAATAAATTGGAAGACCTAAACAACATGTTCAGGCGACAGCGGAATATTACTACATTAAAAAGGAAAGTTGACGATGGACAAGCTGAAGTCATCTCGTTTGTCATACAATTTCGTTGTTAGTTGGCTCTTATCGTCTATAGTCAATAAAACGTCCAAATATGAAACAGTTGTGGCAGAATCTATGGAGTCTTTTATTTCAAGTTCACTGAGATAAATCGAGTCGACATATGAATAAAAGTAACTATTGTTAATTGATGAAACGTCGTCGATATATCTGAATGTCGATTTAAAGTCACAGCAAGAGTTTTTTTTCCATGTAGAAGTTTAATAATATAATAAATTCTCCTTCAAATGAATATAAAATCTGGTAGGCTAATAAAGGAGCACAATTAGTGCCCATCGGTATCGTTATGCCCCCGTAATCAAAGATTCGGGGGGATATAGTTTTTGCTCTGTCCGTCCGTCTGTCTGTCCGTCTGTCTATCTGTTTGTCTTCAAAAACTTTAACCTTGCCCATAACTTTTGATTGGTCGGAGCTTTGGCTTTCATATTTCACATGTGTATTCCTTGTGACAAGACCTTTCTTTGGGTACCACGAAATCTGACCTTTTGACCTTGACCTTGGAGTTTGACCCACTTTTGCTAAATTTTATCAGACTTTAACCTTGGCCATAACTTTTGAATAGTTGGTGCTAGGGCTTTCAAACTTCACATGTGTATACTTTGTGAGAAGAACTTCCTTCGGATACCAACATCTTTGACCATTTAACCTTGACCTTGGAGTTTGACCTACTTTTGAAAAACTTTAACCTTAGCCATAACTTTTGAACAATTGGTGCTAGGGTTTTCATACTTCACATGTGTATTCCTTGTGACAAGACCTTCCTTTGGATACCAACAATTTTGGCCCATTGACCATAACCGTGGAGTTTGACCTACTTTAAAGAAACACACACACACACACACACACACACACACAAATAAACTTTAACCTTGGCCATAACATGTGAATATTTGGTTCCAGGGCTTTCATATTTCATGTTCATGTGTATCACTTGTGACAAGACCTTCCCTTGGGCACCATTTGACCTTGATGTTTTACTTACTTCTGAAAAACTTTAACCTTCGCTATAACTTTTCAAAGGTTGGTGTTAGGGCTCGCATATTTCACAGGTATATTCCTCGAGACAAGATCTTTCTTTGGGTACCAACTTTTGACCTGGAGTTTGACTTTTAACCTTCACAATAAGCTGCCATACGGGGGCATCAGTGTTTCACAAACACATCTAGTTGAAAGACCTGCTTTCCGAAGACTACATAAATGTTGTCAACGAGGAACTTCAGCATCCTTTTAGTATCAACTTCGGAGTACTTTTGTGTAAAAACAGAGTGACGTTTAACAAGTAATTTTGTTGATGACCAATCACAAAATACCAAAAATGTCCGAGTTCCATTTTTTTTGAAGAAGCAGTTGTCTATATCAACTATATATGTAGTGAACTTTATATATATATATATAAATATAAATATATATATATATATATATATATATATATATATATATATATATATATATATATATATGTGTGTGTGTGTGTGTGTGTGTGTGTGTGTGTGTGTGTGTGAGGGTGTGTGTGTGTGTAATCTAAATTTTGGGTTGAAATACATTATTTTCTTTCTAAATATATATATAGTGCATTGAAAACAAAACGTTTTATTTATTAAAACGCTCTCTTGTATTTTAAAGTTTGAATAAATGATGTACTCCTTTTAAAATCGTTCTTGGATTTACAAAAGTAGAAAGGTTACTGTCTGACATGCAAATCTGTACGGGGGAAAACGATTTTTGGGGTAACTTTTATGTTCTGGTGTCTGGAGCCCTCTTTGAATTAACATCCTATTAGGTCACAAATATACACTTTTAGTAACAACCATAGAATCCACCATCGTAACAAAGTACCAGAAATAAAAAAACTAAAGGTACTGTGAGCATTGAGCTCACAAAATGATTTCCCTTCTCCCATGTTTTGCTATGGGAAATCCCAAGTATGTGTCCAATCAAAATGTAAAACAGAGGGTGCACAACTGCACTAAGTCTATGTAATAAAGATTTTAGGAGAGTCACATTAAATTTTATTCAGGAGGTATAGGAAGAGCGGATAAAAGATGGACACCTCTCAATACATGTATTTTAGAAAGAATGACAGTGTCCATGTTTCAGTATGGGAAAGCCCAAATATCTCTTGGATCAAATTGTAGAAAATAGGAGGTACACATTGGTACCATGCAATAAAGATTCTTTGAATGTCTCATTGATTTTTTTTTCAGTGGTATAGGAGGAGTTGCAGATAAGAGATTGGTATCCCCAAGTGTAACGGACGGACAGACACCCCCATCAAGCTGGGGGTTTAATAAAGATTTTGCAGGGCTCTTGTAAATTTATCACTTCTTGGAAGTATTAAATTTCAACAAAACTGCAGATGTTTCTCAGAACGTCAATGTACTCATATTTGTAATGAATCTTTCGATTTATGAACACACAGAAGATATGACTCACTGTGTCTCCTTAAAACACAAGGGACTTTTGAGTTACAATCAATATATGACATAACTCCTAACAAATTATGGGTCTGATTTATTTTCGTAGGTACATATATTATGTAAGCTGATCTACTTGAAATTTCTCAACAATCAAATCCCATACAAGACGTGAATGTTAAGGATTTATGTTCTCTTTACAAAGTAATTTTTATACGTGCACGATTGAAATGGTAGTCCTTTGCGATAGATGAAAGTGTATATGTGTATTTGATGAAGCTCAACAGTAAACGTTCAGTTTGCAACTTCCTTATCAGGAGTCAATATCGAACCTCCAAATCCATAACATTGCCAAAAATATATGTCTAAACTACCCCACTGATTTCTCTTATTGCCATTTAGTGACATTCCTCCTTTATTTGCTTGTGAATTACTTCAGATCACAAAATCTTCATAACTGAAACTGAGGTGGGATAGAAATTACTCAGTTCCATAAAAAGGATATGTACTCTCCAACACATCTATATATCATACAGACCAACAAAAACTAAAACATGTATTAAACTTAAACAAATATCCAGCGTTTATTGCAGAATATTCTATCAAATAACATCTCAAAGAAAAAAATGAATGTATTATACTTAGACTAATTTTCAATCCAACCTTTTGGGGGTTAAAATTATTGTTTACTCAATGCTTTCTGAATTGGCATTAATATAGTGGCAAGCATTTAAAAATAAAATTTCTTGGCAGACCAATGATTTTGAGACACTACTACAACCTTTCTAACATAAAGAAAAAAAAGTACAGTCCTTCACTGAGAGTAAAATTCACCTGACTAAATTATGCACGACTCTTTTTTGTTCATAAATTAACACAGATATAAATAATTGAAAAGGGACTTTAAAAAAAAATCTGAAACATTCTCACTACATACAGATTTTAAAGACACTTTCAATTTGATTATCATATCTGGCACCTTAAAAAAATTAATTTTGTGAAATTAAAAAAAAAAATTCATGCAGTTATAAACTCTCTACATATGGTTTTGCCAAAAATACCATTTTTGTTGAAACAATTATTTTTTCCAAAATATTTGCACTAAACACTGTAAGAAAATTTTTGTTAATTCTAAGTTTACACATAAAAATCTGAATCACAAAACTGTTACATGTACATGTTTTTCAATTCTTCATAGAACAACTAAACATATCATTTAATAAGAAAAGCTGCTTTTATATGTTACACAAAACATCTTTCCAGAGCTAAAAAAAAAGTCTTTGACTGTAATATTTGGCATCTATAGTAAACTTTCAATATTTGCACTTGTAAAATAAAGCTTGTTTATATGAGCTTAAAATCATTCAAAATTAAAGCATGCATTCTTGTGAACCTTTCAGATCTTAATAAATGATACATATCATGGCATCTGTTAAATGTATTGAAAGCATACTAGGTTATTAGGAATGACAACTGGTAATCAATTAACCATCAGGCAGAATAAAGGTAATCATTTGCAAATATGCTTCAATCAAGCTCCTAAATTGCAATATTTTTAAAATTTATCTATATATATCATAAATGGTTTATTTATTCATTTTTTTTAAAGAATATTCTTTCAAAAATATCGAGCATTAATGATTTATTTATGACCGAATAATGACAAATCAAAATTTCTTATTTGAGTTAATTATTTGAAACATGATGCAATGAACTGATTAGCAATTCTGTATTTGAATACCATCCTTACTACACAATAAAATGCATAAAAAAAATTCATACAATATGATTGTGTTCCTTTACGACTCTTCTTTTGTGAAGAAAAACTTTGATTTACATTTATAAACCAAAATTACAGCAAACTGACAATACATGTATACACAAATAGCATTTCTCATAACAACATTTCCAGTAAATTAATACCGGACACTAATAAAATAAACTATTGAAATAATGGGAAGCATATTTTGTATTATAGCAAAATATAAAAACTACCATAAACCAAGGAGGAAAAAAAACAATTCACCTGTACACTACAAGCTATTTACACAATAAGGCATCTGCACAAGGAATACAGTGTCACAGTTATAAACATGCACACACATATACACGACCACATTTGGTTTTCACTTTTATTGTATAGAACCTATCAAAAGAATGTTTAGTGTAAAATTTATGTCCTAAATCTTTAACATGTTTAAGGGACTAGTTAATGATTAGAGAGTATTTCTTTATCAAACATATTCAAAAGCCTGGTTGATATCTACAGGAATTTTCTTATAGCTGAATGTACAATTGTATACGTCAAACATTTCATAATAAGAAATGTGCCTTTCATTCATTAACACTCTCTACAAATCCACCCGACTTGTGAAACAAAATTCACACTTTCAATCTCTTGACAGGTAATTTACACTTTAAACTAGACAAACATAACCTGATGAAAAAAAAATGCTAAAATTGTCGGTGCATTGCACAAGATGAACTACAGCTTCACGTTTTTAAAACTCATCATGTCTTGTTAGAGCCTCCCCAAAGTCTGTTGCCTGGCTGCCCACAAACAGGTCATAGTGTTCAAGAATTTCTTCCTTTGATAATTTGCCATCCTGTAAAAGATAAAGGAATAATTTTTTTTTTCTGACCATAAGCTAGGTTCATACTTTTCAAATGGTAATGTCATGCAGCTTGAATTTTGAGCTACATGTATTTTATCCTTCAGTCTAGCATTCAAATTATGAATGATCTGCTTAAGATGCTAAATATTGCAGAAATTGCACGAGAGAAAAAAAAAAAGAAAAAAAAATTCTTCATTATAATACAATTTCCCAAAAATATTGGTATATTTCACAAGCATATAAGACATAATAAAAATTTTGTTTCCCCTTTCTGGCTCTTTAGTTTGCAGGTAAAAAAATATTCATATATGTATTTTTTTTTTTGGCACCTAATTAAAAGTTTCAAGAGTAAAAATATAAGATTTACATTAAATCTAAATTTGTAGAAAAATATTTTCAGAAATTAAAATTTTCAAAGTGATTTAGTCAATGCAATTTATGTGAAACGGCCAGAAAAAGGAAACAAATAGGTCAACTATTGGCATAAATGTCTATCACGTCTATATATGAAATACAAACAATCTACGAGTAATAAAATATATTAAAAAAAATTGTTACATGCGGTGAACTTGACAATATTCAATATTTTAAGGAAGCATGCAAATGAAGGTGCAAGGAAATGCTCATATAAACCAGGACCAATACAGGTAAAGGAGTGTACATTTAATAAGAATGTTCATTGACTATGATTTTATGAGAATACATGTACTTGTACTTCAAACTCAGCAGTTCTGATCACAGAGAAGCCTACTCTGACATATATACTAATATGTATGCATTTGTTTTTTTAGGGAGATTTTTTTTTAAAGATGAAAAGGCTTCAAAATTTTAGATACTTGTTCAGGGACAATTTAATTAAGTAATTACTTAAGTATCTTTATTTTCAGAAATTATTTTTTTTTTCAAGAAATCTGACTTGCTTCAAATAAAATAAAGTTAAATATGTACATACCTGTCAACATTCCAAATATTTTTTGGGGGAGAAAACGCGCGACGACCTTTTTTGATGGTAAAAAGTCATCGCGCGTTCTTTTTGTTCATACTGATAACTAAGAAATAACAAATGATACACTTTAATGTTCTTTATTGTAATTGTAAGCTGCTGATTTAGTCAGTTTTAGAGTGTCCTTAGAAGGTTTCACTTGATGGCATTCCTCTTTACAGTTTATTTTAGCACATAGAAGACTACATAGTGTCTGATTGTCCATGGAAGATCTTTGTTCTGTCTGTATTTTTCTCACAAGGGAGAACACCCTCTCACAATCTGCATTGCTGTTTGGGATACAGCACATAGACTGAGCAATTTTACTAAGAATTGGGAATCTTGGTGTTCCAGAGACTTTGTTGGTGATTTTCCCCATCTCTCCCCAAAATGAGTCTATTCTTGTCTGCCCTTTCTCAAAGTTTGGAAGGTCACAGTCAGGAGAAACACTGAAATCCAGATACTCCTCTTCCAACTTTGGGAAGTCCTTTTCCTGAACTATGACAGGGAATCTTCTGGCAATCTCCACTATAGACTGTAAGGTGGTCTCTTCCCTTCTGTGAGGATTCAAGAATCCTAAATTGTTGACAACTGGGTCCTTGAATGGAAAGTGCTTTAACATTTTCTTTGTGATGGCACAGTAGAACCCCCTTACATTCCTAGAATTAGACAAAAACAAAGAGGTATAATATCAATATGAGTTTTTGTATATTAATGCAACATTCCTTAATACATGATGAACACTGCATACCACAAATATTTGAAGGAAGTTTTTTTAGCAACTTATTTATTTACTTGCTTTACTTAAACTGAGCTAAGAACTGGCAGCTTAAAAAACTTAAAAGGTCAGAATCTAAACTTACTGGAAAAAATTTGCCAAGTCTACTGGTGGAATATCCTCATCATTCTCTGCAATGTAGGACCTGGTAAGAATTCCAACTGCAAGTATGTTATCTTGGAGCTGGTTTTCTGGGTTTTGGAAGTCCACACTGATGAGGTCCTTGGAATTCTTGATTATTCCTGCCTTTATAAAACGGCCAAGGAATTTTCTTAGAAGTTTGTGGATTTCTTCTCCAAGATATCCAATCCTTGATTCATCAGCCTACAAAGATAGAAGAAGAAATCAGTACTTAAATAAGTAATATACAGTTCTGTAATTTTGTGACTTATTAAAACAAAATTATCAATATATTAAGATTATAGCTTATATACCTGAAATGTAGTGTTGAACTCATTCAATGGCTCCAACACATAACCTAAGAAGTGGAATGTCATCCTCATCTCATGGCTTCTGAGGAGCTCTGCCACTCTCTTAACTCTTCCAGGCTTCTCTACATCACTGTGTGAGTTGAAGTAGCTTGTCAGAGCAGGCCAGTGGTGCAGCAACCTTTTGACACACTTCTCAAGACTTAGCCACCTGGTTGAGCAGTGCTTCAGAAGTTTTGAAGGGTCAACATCACAGAAGTCCAAGTATTCCTTGTATGTTTCCTTACGTAATGCACTGTTAAAAGAAAAGAAATAAAATCTAAGGTCAAGATAACAGATATAAAGTGTGCAATTTGAAACTATGTAAAACTGAAAACTAAGTTAAACATTACCAGTAGATGTATTTATTAGATAAATGTTTTACCTATGGTGAAAATGATAATAGACGTCAACAAGGAGGTCATCTACAGGAAGGGACAGACTTTTGACACCAGCCATTGTGCAGAGATTGGCCAAATGACAAATGCAGCCAATGTCAAAAACATGTGGCTGCATTTCCTTGATCTTTGTCATCACTGAATTCTTCTTGCCCATCATGACATTACAGTTGTCAGAGGAGAAAGCAATCAAGTTTTCCCAAGGAATGTTGTTGTTTCTACAAAATATATTGATAAATTAAGATCAATTCCCTTACTGAAATCTTTATCTGTAAAAAAAAAAAAAAAGAAAAGGATATTGAATATAAAATCTATACACACTGAACTTACATAAAAACTTGTTCAAGGTGGTCAAATATATTCTGTGAAGTTCCCACATTGCAAATTGGCATGTCCAAAAATCGAGTTACTGCCTGATTGTCAAAGTATCTGACAAGTATAGCAAGGGTTTTCTCTGAGTTTCTATCGTTGCTTTCATCACAGGCTAAGGAAAATGGCTTTGTCCTGCAATTTTGAACTACTTCCTTGTGAAGCTGAGGGGCAAGGGCGTTCTTGACAATCATGGTAGTCTTTGTGCGGCCACAGGCAAATTTTCTAGCAATCTGGCTGTCAGGAAACATGGACTTGCAGAGTTTGGTGAAATGATCTGCAACAGCAAATGGGATGTTGTGCTCCGCAATGAAATTTGAAAATAAAAACTCTGCTTTCACCACTCCTGAAATGGAAATTATTTTGTCAAAGATCAACTTAATGTACTTGAAAATATAAACAATAAATATGTAGTTTTTTGCATGTTTAAATATTACAAAATCATTTAACTGCATTCTCCCTCATGACATTATGTCTGTTACATTCATTAAAATTTACATTTTCATTAATTTCAGTACATATTTTACCAATTTCAAACAAGTGCAATTTGCAGTTCTTTAAATTATGATATGTCTTACCTTCATCACTTGAAGTTGTCAAGAAATTTTGTATTGGCATTGTGACGTTCTGTGATTTTTTGCTGCTTTGATGAGCTGCTGATGAAACATGCTTCATAAGATCATTTTTTCCACCGTGGTCAATCTTTATATTTTTCATACACAATCTGCAGAAAGCATGATCTTCGCCTTTTACACTTTTTGTTAGCCAACCTTGGAATTCTGCTTCCTTTTCCCAAGAATTTAGGTACTTGCAGACGTATCTTTTCTTTTTTGGCTTTGGTGGTGTATTTTCCATGCTTAAAAACTTCGTACGTGATTATAATAAGGAATGCCATATTTCTAAAACTTATTTCCATTTATAAGCCGTTTATTAGTATATTGTCATATTTTGCTGCAGAGTGTCACTACCTCGTATCCCGTTGTCATTTTTCTAATGTGTATTTCTAAAATTTCCACATCTGGCATGCCTGTCTCTGTTAAACTCTGCTAATGAGAATCGGAAGCAATTACAATCCCAGTAATCACTGATAGCACAGTTGACACCTTGTTGATTACCTGTTATCAGCGGCAATAAACATGTATCTACCGATAAACAATGAACTGCCATCTTCTCTTTCACAGGAAATATGGTATTATTCAAAGCGAAATCGGTAAAAATTCCGGATTTCTTAAAAATCGGTAGAAATTGGGGGTAAAAAATATATCGGTAGACAAGCGGTAGAATGGGTTCAAAATCGGTAGACTCCCGAAAAAATCGGGAGAGTTGACAGGTATGTATGTAAATGTTTTTAGAAAAAGAGATATAAATAAAAGAGAAATACCAAACTCCATCAAAGGGAGGTAAAAAATAATAAAAAAAAAACATCCACAATAAATTTCAATAATACCCCAACCGAGCCAAAAGTGAGTACACACCTTATTAGAATCTGACTCGCTAATGAGGTGTTTAGCTTCAGCTTCAGAGTGATCATAATCAGGGGGAATAATCCAATTTTTAACTTCATCGAGATCCATTTTGCCATCTCCGTTTTTATCTCTTTGAGAAGCGAACGTTTCGCGTTCAGTTTTGACCCAGTCTGGTTCCTCCTCATTTTTGTCGGGCCACATGTCCCCTGAAAATTTCAAAAACTTCCGATTAATGGATGATAATGAAATGATGTCCCACCTTGTTATCGTCGCAGGCATTAACCAGGTGCAAGGCTTCTGCCGAGCTGTGGTCATAATCCTCGGGGATGACCCAGGCCTTGACCTCCTCTTGGTCCAGCTTGCCATCCATGTTTTTGTCCCTGTGGTTGATGAACTGGTCCTTCTCACTTTGAACCCAGTCAGGGGTCCCTGCATGGAGGTTTTCCTCGTCTTGGACTGTATCAGGGTCATCATCTTCCTCGTCATAAATATCAGCTAACAAATGCCAGGACATTGTGAACAAGAAGTAAATTTTCTCCTAGTTTTTCTTAAATGACCAAAAGGTAAACCGTCTACTGAAAATTTTATTTTTAAGATTAGATAATATTAATTTATTTATTCAAATTAAAATTGAAAATAAATGTTTACCTATATACTCTTCTAAACTGATAAATCCATCCTTATCTTTGTCAATGTCCTCCATTGTTTCCTTTAAAAAGTAAACAATTTCTTTTATTAGATTTTTTCCACAAAATATCGTCATTAAACAACATTACCGGTACTTACAAAACATATCTCAAAAAAAACTGTTAAAAAAAAAAACAAAAAAAAAAAAACAAACTGAAAAATACATTAAATGTATATTCATAAATCTGAGGGGAAAAAAAAAGGATAAACAAATAATTACCTTGACAACAATATCTCTCATATGTTCGGCCTCCTCAGGGTGAAGGAAGTCGGCAAACTCCTCCTTATTGAGGTAGCCATCCCCGTCTTTATCTGCTGCCTTCCATCTCCTCTCATCCCTCTCAATCATGTCCTTGTAGCTGAATGTGGAGGAATCTTCATCAGTAGGATCTGTCAAAAAAGGGATGTCTCTTATCAATTCAAATGTCGTACAGATAAAAGGCTAGGAACCAACATCAGGAAGCCTGATTTTTGTTGGTTGAGAAAAAAACCCATTCAAATGCATACTGATTACAAGTGTTATGGTAGTGTTAATACTACTCTTATAAACCTGGTATCAACTGAAATTTCAATTTAAGTGTGTTCTTTTCATAGACTCTTTTTTTTTTGGGGGGGGGGGGGGGGGAGGGGGGGGTATATGTAAAAAAATTAAACACTGTAAATTAATGTTCTATAGCCAACCATGAAATTCTTAAAGCATATCTCAACAATCATCATGTTGATATAAAATAAACATAACGTGATATGGTGTAAACACCTACCATCTTCTGATCCATATGTTCTCTTTTTATAAGAAGACCAGGAGAGTTTATCTGACTCCACATCGTGGTCCTTCCACATCCTGTCTGTGTCTGTGATGATGTAACGTTTCTGGACGTACTGAATCCAATCCCTCAGTTCCTGCTCTGTGATCTTCCCATCTCCATCCTTGTCTATCTTCCCAACTATAATTCTACAGCAATAAAGCACGACGATAAGAAAGATTGATTTCATTTTGATTTTTTTTACAGGATAAGCTTACTCAGGAACAGTACAAGTAATTACTTTATGTGCATCTCATCCGTATCTGATCTGGTGGTAAATTAATTCGGAATTTAACAAAGAAAGTGTGACTAATTTTAATGTTTTTACCTAATGATCACACTTCATATACTGCATAAACTTCATTTATATATATAATAAATGCTTGCATGAATCACAAACTAGCAATCTGTTTGTATAACCCACAGATTTCCTTATTTACACATTTTTTTATCAATTAGAAAGATTGCTATTCATCTCTGATAATCAATGTTTTCTCTCCCTTTAAACTCCATATGATAAATTCAAGTTGTATCAATGGGTGGGAAACTTATGGGGTCACCACACCGTACCAATCTATATAAAGATTCTGTAACAATGCGTATGTTTTCCCCCTACCCTAATCTCTCCTTGCTTTCCTCTGGTGTCAGCTGATCGAACGTTTTGGCCTCGTCCTTGCCAAGGAAGGCTTCATGGTCATAATCTGGATTGTGTTCACCTTCGTGTTCATGCTCAGCTTCACTCAATTTCTGAAAATTTTACAAACAATGGTATTCATCTATAGCAAACACAGAAATATTATCTGAATATGCAAGAACAAAATTATATTGCAGTTCACTAGTTTACTTGATCTAGGTCTTCAACGTGAATTAGTAAAAGTACTAAAGCATTAAACAGTTATAAACTGTAAAACACACTTGCAAATCCATCAATATTTCTCAGCTATTTCTTTTAATACCAGATATAATCAAAAGATTTGTAAAAGAAGAAAATCTAGCATCAGTAAAATTTGCATTCTTTTACATACTTTATCATCAACTCAAATCTAAATCTCCTTTAGAAGTATTTGCCTTTAGCAATACATGTATTTCACACCGTGGTGAATATTCAAATCTGATTTCAATTCTCTGAATCAAAACTGCACATGACACCAAAAAAATGTAATAATTTTTTTGTTTGAAAAAGTATCTTTAAGTACATGATCAATTTTACAAAGGCCTACCTGTTCATGAACTCTGTTCTTCTTGTCTTCACCGGGTTTAGGAATGGCAGATGAATATGTGATAACAATAAGTGCAAGTATCAAATAGATCTCGATTAACTTCATACTGATTGATTTTTTCATCTGAAAAGAAAAAAAGTCAAAAAATGACAAATTAACTACTTTTTCTTCATGCATCATAATTTACTAATAAGCAACAGATGCAAAGTATTTGAGAAATTTACACTTCTATGAAATCTTATTCATGTGATATTTGTCTCAATTTGTAATATCATTATTTATCAGACAATATATGATATCAATATTTCATATTGTTTAGGTCTTTTCTGATTTTTTTTTAAATACACAGAAGTACAATAAATGAAATCTACATATCCAATCAATAAAATAACACTCTGTTTGTTCAGTTTAGTACATACACGTTTCAAATGTCTGTAACAATTGTAACATTTCGTGGTAGACAATGACAGCTGCAGAAGCATGATATTTGACAAAACTCCCCGGCAAACAAGATAACAATGCTAGACACACAGTATAATTATATATCAACAAAAGTCACAGGTGGTTGCTACGTGTAAAACATATTCCAAAGATCAAACGACAAATTGTACTCCTGTAATATTTGATTCTATATGGGAGTATGGAATAAATGGATGTATCACTATGACATTTATAACAATCATTACAAGAACTGGTTTAGTTAATAGATATCATACTTAAATTGCAAATTAAACAATTTCAAGTATTTGCATTCATCATCATAACATTTATTTAAAGTAAATGCTTCGATACAGACAATATAGCACAATTAAACAAATTATATAATTTAACTACAAAAGCAATCCATTTACTGAGTATATAATCATATGCTATCCAATTCCAATGGTGTTCAATACTTCCAAAAAAATTGCCAGTCATGAATTTCAAGATTTTGTCTAAAACTCTGAATCAACATTCTATTTCACCATTGTTGATACATGTATTTCTTAAAGTTATCTGAAAAGCAGTCCTGCTTAAGATATTTCTCTTGGGCCAATGGAATGACTGAAATTCTGTACATATATTAGGCCAAAAAAAATAATAGTCTTGTTTCCTGCTACCAGTCTGAAAAAATAGGGTAGGTAGGTAGGAAAATTATTTTATTTTATATTTTTATTTTATTTTTTTCCAACGGCATTTTTTAGGATATGAACTAATACAAGATCAAATTAAACATGTCACAGGTCAATATTGTCTTTTAAAATAAAACTTTCATGTCTTTTTATGCACAACTCAAGTGGTATTTTATGAAAGTCCATATTTAAAACAAGAATTTCATGAAATGCTTGTTTTGTGTTAACACAGAAACCGATTACGGTGACAGATCCATGAAATTCCAGAAATTCCCGATTTTTTTTCTTCCAAAACTTAAAAAAAACTTTTAAATTAGGGTCGGGTGCAAAAAAATAGGGTAGGTCGGGTAGCAGGAAACAAGACTATTATTTTTTTTTTGCCTTACCTAATTTTTTTTTAATTCGCCCTTTTTTCTGTAATCCTCTCTGTAGATTTAGGTCAAGTAAGTGAAAGGTATTTCACAGATTCAAATCCTTAAAATTTTGCAAATGTGTGCTTTATACACAGTTTTAAGGGAACCTTCTCATTTTGCTCTAGGTGAGGATTCCTTTAGTTGTGGGAAAATATATGGGCAACGTTTTCTGACTAAAATTAGCATATATGAAGATAGATAATCATTAACTAGACAACAAAATAGAAAACTTTTTTATTAATGAAATTTATGATATAAAGATACAATTTATATATGACTCTAAGTAATACTGATTAAACTGGCTTACAAAATTTTCATGCAAATGAAATGTCTATGGTTCTGCAGTACCATATTTTAAAAAAATACTCAATGCATTTTCTTTTGTTGTTCAATATTGGCAATCTCTAATGCCCTATAATCTCTCAGAGCTTTAAATATACGATTTAAATATTTAAGTCACAAAGTCCTATGAAAGGATTAGCTCAGGTTGACAAAATTATGCATCCTATATGCATCGGGATCGGAATGCACACTACCGGCATTCATAAATATTTTCCCCAACTCAGTTTCATGTAATAAAATGTAGGATAATAGAATCATAAAAGAAAACTCTCCAAAATTATCCATAAACTTGCAGCACCCGAGTAAAATCAAGTAATAATTCAGCATGCACATAAAACTGCAGACCTGCGGTATCTCATATTACCCAAAGCAATCGCTGTCACCCAATGTAAAAGAAAAGTTATTACCTTGATGTCTTTACAGTGCATCTTATTATTAGCTGAGGTAAAAGACGCCTATCAATTACCTGAGAATTCAACAACACTAGCAAAAAATCAATACAAAACAGTTTCAGTGGGAATAAATACTTACTAAACGTGTCAAAATGAATAACCTCTGTTGCACTTACACATTATCCAATGAAAATATAAGACAATGTCACATGGCCTAAATCAACCAATCAATTTCTTCCAACGTGGCTAGTGGGATTCCTACTGACGTTCTTATGTTATTCATCATTGGTGTAAATATTCCATGTGCGTGGCAGTAACTTGATACGCACTAAGGATGCTGCAACGTGGAAGAACGAGAAGCACTCAAGATAAATTTAGATTTTAATATGTATCTTTTATAGTTCCTAGTACAAAATGTTACCACCTACAAAAAAAGAGAATTTACCTGGCCTGGTATATATAGTTGGGTTTTTAATCCACAAAGAAATAATCTATATCATGAAGTAAATATATTTGGAAAAACGCTAAAACACTTAAACAGGGATGAAGTCTTTGACAATTTTTAAACATTTGTTGTGTCATTAAATTGGATATACATGTATGTAGCACAGTTTTAACAATCCTGTCATTTGACAAAACGTTAACGTTACAATCACAAAAGATCATGCAATGAGCATTCAACAAAAGAATACACCGCATGTAATTATATATATGCGCTTAAATTTCGTATTGAAATAAAAATGAAACCTTCAGATCTAAATGAATATCGATTATTATATAGCTATGTACATTCAATGTAATTCTCAGATCTGCATGTGGCATCGACTTTGGATACTGAATTTTAACAACAATTTTTTAATTAATACGTTGTAAGTGCATGTATGTCATTGGTTGGGGGTGGGGGGGGGGGGCTTGACAGCCTCGTACAAGGGTTCTTACTCTCAAGAAGAAGAGTTTATAGACACGTATCATGCGCGGATCTAGAGGGGGGTCAGGAGGGTCCGGACCCCCTGGGATTTTCAGAGTTATTAAAAGTATATACTGAAGCAAATAAAACATAACTTTGGACCCCACCCCACCCCAAGAAAACGTGGACCCCACCATCACCACCACGAAATAGTTTTTTTTCATTTTTTTTTTTTTTTTGCTTGTCAAGAATTTTCTGGATTGGAAATTGGTTTTTGAATTGGGTGCCCCCCCCCCCAAAAAAAATCCTGGATCCTCACCTGCTTACTTCACTGAAATAGAGAGAGAGAGAGAGAGAGAGAGAGAGAGAGAGATAGGAATTTAAGGAATTTTCTTTAAAGCGATACACACACACAGAGAGAGAAAGAGATCCCAAGGAACTTTTTTTGCTTCTTAAAACTTTTTTTTTAAATATGTATAAGCCTATAAATAAATGGTCCACATGAACTCCACATTGTTCTTTAATACCTCACGTTTGTATTCATTAGCATTTCTTTCGTAAATTGGTTTAGGGAAATGATCACTCTTAAAGATGCCCAGACTTTCAAATCTTTGCATCTTTAATACTAGTGGTGTTTGCTCTGCGGTTTTTACACTTGGATTTGCTTGTTTTTATTATGTCTTCTCTACAACTAAGATGAGATTTGGAAAGACCTAGTCTATCTACTGAATATCAAATGCACTTTGAATCTTTTATTCACAAAAATGGCGGATTTGGAAGGGGGCACCCGATGCCTCCTCAAAATAAGAAAGTCATAATAAAACTTATGCTATTGAACTCATATTAAGTAAAAGTATTGTGGGTTTATGGTGTCTTTAACTTTTTGTAGAAGATTGTTTGCACCCCCCCCCCCCAACATTCCCTCAACTGGAAATCCTGAATCTGTCCATGCAAGACTTAATTCATTGATCTAAGTTTTTCATTTACTGATTTCAACCAGTGCTTTTACACCTACTGTCGATGTTTCTTTATAGGACCGTTTGCTCAATAATCATCGATCTTTATACACTGTTTGCAATAACAAACAAACGATTTGTTTTTAATTATCAGGTCAAAAATGTAAAACAATCACTTGGTTCTCTGTTGTGTTGAAATCAAAGATTATCCAACCAACTATATCGGAAATCCTTTGCTTTAAAAAAAAAAATAAAAACTTGTTATCGATCTATATTTCTTAACACAGATGACCATGCATGATGAACAGATGACCCTTTTTATATTTCTGGTAAAAACTCACCTGCTTGTTTATTATCTATACCATATCAAATATTCGACCAATTATTAATCATAAGCACCTGATGTATGCATGGATGCTGTAGGGTAACCTATTCCACCCCCTCTAAGATTCTTTTAGACAAGCAAACATATCAGAATACACGAAGTTCTAGCATATCATGAATACTATACATACTGATATCTGATATACACAATGGATCGTATCATTTTCCTTTTTAATTAAGTTTTAGAAATTGTCCCTTTACCGATGTATAAAAAATACTATTGGATATGATTAATAATTTCTATAGTTCTCTGATTGGCTGTGATTCAACATTGTAGAAATCATACTATGTTATGTAACTTATGTTCACCTACACGAGACCTTGGTGAACATAACATTTATATTTTGCTACATTTGACTAAAAATTAATCGAGAATTTCCAAATTGATACAATAAACTATGAAAATCTATGTTCAGCTGCACAAGACCTTCCAGGTGAATATAACATTTTTTTTATATTGGACTAAAAATAGATCGAGAACAATTAAATTGATACAATTGGTTCTGAAAAGTTATATTTATGAAAAGTTATGTTCACCTGCATCCGACTTCCAGGTAAACATAAAATTTCAAGAAATCAACTGGCTATGGTACTTTTTAATCCCGCTCCGCTCACAGTGTTCGGTAATGACTTCAAAGATTGTAAACAAATCACGAAAGATGGTATGCTCATATAATTCGTATCACTTATAATAATTGAATCATAAAATAAAAGCAGGACCGTAGAACGCGGGCCCCCTCACTTTTTTCTGAGAATAGTACATGTATTTTGCTACAGTAAATTTTTCTTAAGATACTGCCCCCCCCCCATTTTTTTGATGTTGTAAGAACGAGCACTGGCAAATTCCATGATCTGGACAGTAAATTACCTTTTTTTTGCTTGTCAGATTTAGTGGTAAAGTTGACCCCCACCCCCCCCCCCCCGGCACATTTGAAACCGTTGCTTCTTTTTCCAGTCAATGATTTCGGCACAAGAGGAGTACATGTATATACATGTTATATACTTCAAGCACAGGGGCTTGCTCCTGGTGTGTTATAATTATTTATTAAAAAATCATATACGGTAATACTAAAACAACACAAGTGTTGTTTTAGTATTACCAAATATGATTTTTAATAAATAATTATTACACGCCGGGAGCAAACCCCTGTGCTTCAAGGATGGCTAAATCATCATATTCATTGAAAATTTTATTTTAATTTAGATTGAAATAAATATATTTTACTCAAATTCTCTGCAATTAAGTTAATACACAATGTGATGTAAATTTCAAGAATAAAGCCATAATATATGCATGATAAACTGTTTAGGTTGAATAAAAACCAGGGAAGGCAACATTTTTATGTTAATATAGTATTTAAATATATTAAAGTTTTTCAGCTTCTTTCAATTACGTATCGATTTTTTTTCCCTTTAGAAAGGTTTATTCCATAAACAATAAGAAACTTTTACCTTAAATACATGTGTTTATATTTGTAAACACTGACATCATGGAATGTCACAAAGATTTATGATTTTACAATAATGTCTTTGTAATATATACAGTATATACATTATCACAAAACAACCTGTTTTCACATCATAAACAATGATAATCCATTATGATTACAAAAGTTTTCAACGTTTTTTGGAATCAATTATGTCTTTCATATTTAAATGTTACATCAACATTGGTCAATAAAATAGAAATGCTAGAAAATGCGATTTTTCAATTTTTATGTGGAACAGAAATTTCATTGAATTTTCCAATTATCCTATTACTTCTTTGGAGCGATGATTCCTTCCAACTGAGTCTGTAAAAAAAGAAGTTACCAATTGATTAAAATATACAAATACCTTCAGTCTAAAATTCTCCAAGAATGATTCTTAAAAAACAAAAACAGATGTAAATTTTTTTTCAACACTTTTTTCATAAGAAATTAACTTTGAAGAAAGTTCAACACTGAAGATATCTAGAAAGATTTTTTTCTGAAATCTCACATTAATTTGGATAAAAGAGTGAATTTTTCATCATAATTATAATTTTATATTAGTTAATAATGCCTCCAAAGTTTGAATCATGATTCCATGCATTAATTGTTACTGTTTTGAAACTCTTAGTCTCCATTAACCTTTTACTATATAGAAGTACTTTGGATTCAATAATAAAGACAAATAAATTGTGATAATTTACAAATGACTAAATTACTTCAAATCTTGAAAAACAGACATATGTGATATCATGCAATTGTGTAGTAAAAATATTCATGTAAAAAACTAAGCTTTCATTTAAATTTACACAGCTGTTGTGATGCTACACAAATATTCTACTAGTGACCCTAATAAACAATAGAATCATTTATTTTTCTTGTGAACAACACAATTTCTTCTAGCTAAACACATTTTAAAATGTATGACTACCTTTTTTCTGAGATTGCAAGATGGTTCTGTTCTTCCAATATCATCAACAATTGTCAGAATTTTTTTTTCATGCAATCCACAACATAGTTTTGTGCAAAATTTAACTTACAACTCTATACCTCCTCATTTTCCTCCCCCATAATCATACTCATTTGTGTCTAGAGTTTAATTGACACAAAGAAAAAAAAACCATATAATGCATCTGCATTTGAATCAACAAGGAAAGAAGTAATTCAAAAGGCCTGCTATTGCACCTTTAGATATTAAACATAAATTGCAATTCTGATCTGATATTTATTTCCAGAACTTCTAACAATATACACATTCCATCTTAAACAATTTCATCTATTTTCCTCCACTTTCAAATGTAATAAACCTAGAAATTAGAAAAATGGTTGAAGTAAAAAAAACCCACTCCTTTTTAGTGAAAAAACCCTGATCATACCTTGAGCTGTTGGTTTGTTCTCTTCAAAAACTGCATTTCTTCAGTGTGTTTCTTCTCCTCCACCATTCTCTGCTCCTGTGCACGTTTCTCAATTTGCTCACATTTACCCTTCAGTTCATTAACTTGCTTTTCTAAGTCACGCTTTTCCTGTTCGAGATCTGAAATCTGCAATTGGAAAATAAAATGATTTTTTAATGACAAGTTAACCCTTGAATGAGAGTAAGAGAACTGCAATTTCATACTGTAGATGTAACCTTTTCTGCTAGGGACTAATTAACGTCATATAAATGGTCATAATTTTTCTGTTGAAATTTGTCACAGCATACTTAAATGCATTAATGACATATAATGACAATCCAAGAAATCTGCATAATTTTATGCCTTGAGATTGAACAGACATTGTGATTCCGGGGAATTATGATGCCATGGAAAAAAGTACATTTACAATATTTGATCAATGAATACCTTCTTCTCCATGTCAGCTTTTCCTTGTTCTGCCCACAAGGCTTTCCTCATTCCAAAGGCTACACTGCTTTCATATAAGGTCTGATAGGCTGCTATTGTCATTCTGATTTCATCTCTGACTCGGAGGAGCAAGAGACCCCTCTCTGCACAGTTGATGGTGACTTGACGGATAAGTTCATCTACAAAAGAGTAGTAATGCAAACTTACAGTATATATAATAATGTATCTGAATAGATCTGTAAATGTTATGCTGTTAATTTTCTAATTATATCATTAGAAAAAAAGATATTACTATTGTTGTAATCCTAATCATGAAAATGCTAATTCATTGACAAAATTCTTTAAAATTTATTTTACAGTAAGTTATTTACCAAAGCACTGGGAATAGAGTTCACGCCTGACTGGACAGATTCCTGTTTCCCTGGCTTGTCTCTGTTGTAACCTCCTGTCAAGTTCCTCCTGCAAGTTGACGACATCTAAACGAGTGGCTGGGGTACTAGAGACTTGCTGTACCCACAGTTGTCCTGATTCTTGCCACTCCCTGTAAGAAATATTTGCGATATGAGACAAAGACTTAAACACACAATATGGAAAATACCTGTCCCTTTATATGAAGAATAATTAATTTACCGTATATACTCGCCTATAAGTCGGTTTCTTGGGAGTTAAACTTTGGTCCAAAAACGCCTGTCCGACTTATAGGCGAGTTATGAAAATATTGGTATAATAGCGGGTCAATCCCTTTAGTGTAAGCTTAAAAAATACAACCGATTTATAGGCAGACCGACTTATAGGCGAGTATATACGGTAAGCTCTATATTCATCAACATGTAATATGATGGTAAAAAGCAACATCTATTTCAAATCATATTTATCACTATGTAGTACAAAATTTATAACATAATATATGCATATATGTTTTTTATTTACCGTGGAGGAAGAATTGAGTTTAGAATTTCATCTGTCTGCTGGGCTGCTTTAGCATCAACAGATGACATCTTCTGTTTCCCTGGGGGATTTGGCACTGGGCCTCCTGCTTGTGGTTGTCCAGGGCTAACTTTGAGAGCCCTTGCCTAAAATTCACACATTTATATTACATAATTTGTTTCTACTGTATGTTGTCAAACATTTAACTTTAACATAACTTAAATACATCATTAATATCATTCTGTATTTTACTCAAATTATGGTACTTTGATAAATATATAATTAAATTACACTAGAATTGCAGTCCCCTTTTCACTATACAAGTACGCAAATCATAAATATAACAATATAGTGTTGTAAAATATTTTTCTACAATTGAGTTTAATTCAACCAAATGTTCATATTGCTGTGATGTAGTTAATTGTAGAATAGAACGTACTTTTTATTGGACGATAAATGACATTTCTCTCATTGACAACCGATTGTTAAAAATCTTACCCTCGGTGTCTTTTTATCTGTATTCCGACTGACCAGTACTGGGTTGTCATATTTGACCAATGATGCGTTTGGAGGAATCATTTTTTCTGTGTAGTGCGATATTCCACCAGCAGTGTTTTGGGTACGAACTCAGTTTCGTTGCTTCTATGACAACAGACCAATGCGCATGACTGAAGAACAGGAAGTTACTAAATGGAAAAACCAATGTTGTTCAGAAACAATATGTCCGGTTTATATATTTAATTATGACATCAGGGCTGAAAAGGATTAAAATCATAAAAAAAGGTTAATTAAAAATCCAACAGGAGTATTTGCAAACCTGGAAAATTCGTAGTAAAAATTCAAAATGGCAATCACATTTGATAAACTAACTCACCGATTACAGGTAAATTTATTTACTACTCTACATGCATACATATGTACTGTACCTTCTGTATGGGAATTTAGTGAAATGAACTTAAAATAATAAAACGTTAAAAGGTGATAAAATCAAAACATGAAATATAATAATTAAGCTTTATTTGATGAGATATCTTTTCTGAAATAAAATATTATTACACTCTACATATTTTATTTTTGGGACATTTGTGCACGTGAAAAAACAAATTGACTTGTTTCAGTAGACAGAACAATACTATTGTTCGACGTTCTTTTCTTGCTATCAGATTTATTCAAGCATGAGTATTAAAGATATTAAGACAATAAAATAGGCAATATCATTTATAAGCAGTGGCAGTTGGCAGTAAGCAGTTGGCTGTAGTATGTGGAATATCATGCTTTTTTTCATCAAACATTAATAACTTTAACAACAATAATTTACAACATTTTGGACAGCTTTAATTGAAAGTTTGTGTTCTTTTTAATGTCCTTTTCGGATTCAAGGTTTTTTCCAGTAAAAACAATCCTTTAATGCATGGTTTATATAATTAATTTATTTTTGGCGCAAATGCCGCCTTTTTCATTTTCTGTGAATACCTTTTCGTTTGCTTTCAATCACTCTATTGCGTGATCTTAAAGTCATATATGGCGTATTTTTGATAAGTTTTGACTAACTAAAATTAAAAAGATCTTCCTATTTGTTTTATTTCTTTCTATAAAGATAGGACTTTCCTGTAAATTACACAATTTAAATCAATTCCGTTTCATAGATATTAGCCGATTTATTTACCGACTCCGCACATGATTAATTTAAATATCAGATACAGTTTTAAGTCAATTTAACTATGGAAACGTGGGGTTAATCAAGTTCAAAATCGGTGAAAATTTTGATTTGAACGTAAATAACAAATATCATGTTCATCTACATTCAATCTCGTATTTTTATTTTTTTTTTTTTTTTAGCTCAGATACGCCATAGATAGCTTTTATGCATAATTTCTGCATTATCAATGCAGAAATTATATAAGCAGAAAGGAAAATGTTAGAGATATGTATAAAATATTAAAAAAAATAATAATAATAAAAATGGAAATTCCATATTAAAATAGGGATTTGTGTTGTTTTTTTTTTTAAATTTAAAATTGAATCTGAACTAAAAGAAATATTTTATGCTTATGATTTTGAATATTGATAAATTGTACGAATGTCCGGATCATTTTTCTCATTGGATAATGCATATCATTTCAAGAGTGTTAAATATGAGACGCTTTAATTAAAAAAATTGTTAATTGTATGTAGTATGATTAATTTATATCCTGAAACCGAAATAAATATCCCCCACAAAAAGAAATTATATTGATTTGGTATAAGATAAGATTATTAAACTTTAGTATAAATTCAATCATTCAGCAGCTTAAAACCGTGTTTTGTATCTAATAAGGGTCTGTCATCTTAATCATAATAATAAGGAAACGGATTAGTATAAGTTTTCAAACTTGTTTCCGAATCCTTTTTGATTTTTTTGTACTACTTGCCTGTATTTTCTGCTTGTCATTTCCAGGGACCTATATACTAATATATTAGTATATAGGTCCCTGTCATTTCAAATAAATTATGGTTTAAACATTCATCGATGTACGTATGTATTTTGTGTATTGTCTGTCTCAGGCTAAATACTGATGATAGTAAAAAAATCGCATAAATTGACATTTAAAAAAAATCTTATTTCAATGTATTTCTATATTAAAGGCCTGGGCATCCACCGGGGGGATAAACTTTAGGTATTTTATGTTATTTTAAAACAGCTTATTCTTATTTGACTTAATTATCGTATAGTATCTCGATATTTCAAATGTTTATAAAAATCTATTTTTATATTTGTAATTTTGGAATAATTAAAACAAAGTAAAGAAGAAAAAAGAGATATGAAAAATGTCCTTCTTGGGGGTTGTTTTCGCCATTTAGCCTCATCAAGCAGCGAGGGACAGGGAACCAGGCAATCCAAGATGGCGCGGCACGTATCTTGGGAAGGTGAAACTCCTAAATTATTTTAGTTTTTGTTGTATACAGAATCTTTTTCAGCTCAAACATTTAACTCAAGTTCTTAGTATATGCTATTGTATGCAAATATCTACAATAAACCCTTTTAACCATATATTTAATAGTGTAAGTGTTGATCTGTAGATGTGTTTTTTTTTTGTTATATTCACTCTGTGATTTTGTACGGCTACTGTCACCACACCAGACCAAGTAACATAATGACATTAGCATAATTAAACTAAAGTGGTATATAAGATAAAGGTTTTTAGACTTTAATTCATTGAAATGTAAGCACATTTACAATCACAGTAATTTGCAGATGCTATGAGTGTGTTTACATATGGCTTAAATATTTTTTCAGTAGAAATCTTAATCAAAACTTTATGTTTTTCAAACTTAGTTACAATTTCTCTAGAGTCTGGGCTCTCCATTGGACAATATCTCCAGATACCCATAAAGCATGATATAGTATGAGGAGTGTACAATTTGCACAGTTGAGATAAATATTATGTTTCTACAGTGCAACTGTTGGGTTGAACGCAGTTGTTTTTATTACTGGATATCATCAAAACTCTTGCATAGCTTACACTTTTAACTTTGATCTGTCTCTTCAAATTGATCAAACTGAACAAGATTTAGTCGAGACTATTATGTACATGTCTTTTGTTAGTTGCACTTCCATAACAGAGTCTAAATAGTGCAATGTTCTCAATGAAAGCCATTTTAGGTAGATACATTTTTTGTGTCTTTTAAAGTCCCAATATTTTTTACACAAAAATTTGCTTGAGGAATGTACAGCTTTCAGTTTGAATTTCCTCTGTTCTTAAATGTTAGTCTACTCTAAAGAGTTTGCTTCACAGGTGGTACTTTGTGCTGCTCACTCACACTTTTATTACACCAGAACATTCTTTATGATGAAGAAGAAAGTAATACTCCTTAGATAGCTATATTTTGTGAATTTTCTTGAATTTAGCACATTCAAAGTACAGAATGAGCTTCAACGTAAGTTTAATTTATCAACACTCATTCAACAGGTTTTTCTAGTGTAGAATATGCATTTTTAGATTGTCATGGTACAATCAAAATTGTAATCTGAATACATGAAAACATAAATTTACAGAGGCAAGAAACCATCTTCGGAGAATGAGAGAGGACCAGATTAGAGATGGACAAACAGTTGTTTCACTTTGGGAAGATGTGCTAATGGCAGAAAGAAACAAACTTGGAGATGAGTGTATGTAACAGCCCACTGTCAACACAATATTTTTGCATCACTTGTACATTTGTATATGACAAGATATTTAGATGTTGTGCTGTATAATTTTATTTTTTTTTTATGAATGATGAAACTTGAAATATCCTCATGTGAAATATCATGCTGCAAATCATTTTTCAATGCCTCAACATGCAAGTCCATTTTGATCAGTATGACATAGAGTAAAACACTCTTATAGTGAACATGTAATGAATTGACGCTTACAGTGAAGTGATTTTCATTCCACATGGCTTTGAAATATACAGTGAACTTAAAGATATAATGAATTACTTTTATAATGAAGCAAAATTGTCCGTCCCTGGCATTTCAATATAAGCGTGTTTTACTCTAATTATAACATCTCCAACCCAAAATATATTAGCTGACAAGGTTGAGACATTTATAGACAAATGTATGTATACATGTATATATATAAGACAGGTGAAATAATGAATTTACAATATTATTAAGGTTTTACTGTATGTTTTCAGTGTGGACAGTGTATGAACAAGTCTGTATTGCTGCACTCGACTGTCAAAGAACTGACATCGCAGAGGTAATGAACCATGAAGAATAAAACACTTTTTAACTTAAGTATGAAGACAGACTTCAAACTGCATTCCAATCCAACATACTCTCAACAAGAAAGAGCATTTTTCAGGTAGAATTTGTCTGAAATGTTACTCATACACTTACAGCAGCACAAGTGAACAGGCAATAAAAGTACATTGTTTCTAAACAGCATGAAGTTTCAATAGTGCTAGTAAAAATGTATTTGCTACAGTAGTTCAGTGTTTCAATATTTTTTTTTATTTCAGACCTGTATAGAACTCCTTAAAGCCAAATTCCCCAAATCGATGAGAGTGAAAAGATTGCTGGGAATGAAATTTGAAGCTGAGGAAAGGTAAAGCATGAACAGAAATTTATATTACCGGTAAATGTATCTTTCTTCTTGGGTACAAATTCTCATCCTAGGATGAAATGTGTTCATAAACAATGTAAAGAGATGGATGATACTTTTTGTTAAAAAAAATTTCAGGTTCATTAAGGCTGGGGAGTTATATGATGATATAATCAAAGATGACCCCACAAATATGGTAAACGCTTTGTCTCTTATTCTGTTATGACTTGTGTCTGCAGTAAACAGAGAATTTTTTTTTTGAGAACCAGTTGTAAAGAATATATTTTTATGATAACATTTATTTTATCCAGTTTGCCAGGAAAAGGAAAGTGGCTATATGTAAAGCACAAAACAAAATGGTAGAGGCAATTGATGAATTAAACAAATACCTCAAACAGTAAGTGATACATGTACATATAAATTGTATTTCCCTTAGTAAGAATCTTTTCAGGAACTTACAGAGGTATTCAATCATTTGAATGATATTCAATGTATAGACAATATTTGATTAGAAAACTATACATGTAATTCTTCAACCAGCCTGATAAATTCAGAAAACATGCATTTGCTAAAAATTGTTGTTGCAGAAGAACATAGATGTAAATAAACTCCTGGCTTTCAAGTTATTAAAGTTGTGAAGATAGATACCCATGTAAATAAACAAATTCAGAATATCAAGGATTAAAAATATAGTGTGAAAAAAAAGAGGACAGTTTTCACATACTCTGTAGGCACTTTGAACCATTTTGAATGATAATTACAGATTTATGACAGACTTTGAGGCGTGGATGGAGCTGTGTGATCTATATTTAGCTGTTCAAGACTACACCAAGGCGGCATTCTGTATGGAGGAATTGATCATGTCTAACCCCCATAATCACCTTTATCACCAAAAATTTGCAGAGGTTGGTATTTCTCAATTTATGATGCAAAGTTTACCATGTTGTTTTCCCGATTTCTTTCCATTTTTCTATAAATACTGTTTAAGTAATCAAATTGAATCTGTAGATTCATTTAAAGCCCCATTGTTGCTTGAGGAGGAAAGGGGGGGGGGGTGGACAACACAGTTAATTTTCAGCCTGAGACTCAGTTGAGCTCTTTCAAGAAAGCTTGTCCATTGTTAACCTTTTGTTTTAACTTTACAGATATTTGACTTCTTTCTTCTCCAGAAGCACGCAATTTCCTCCATTCCAGTAACATCAAAAAGAAAATATGTCAATAACTTTTTTCAGAACAAATGTGTATTTTGTCAAGTTAAAAGGATAGTTTGGATTGAATTTTGTTTGTAACATGACCAGAAGGTCCATTCCAAGGGGATAGTAAGGGTCCCAAAATATACAAATACACTACTGAAATACTTTCCGAGAACATTTAATCAAAAGCATATAGACTTCAACTTTGTTTTTCTTATGAATATTGCACATTTTTTATTACATAGATTTTTTTTTTAGAAATCAAAATCTAAACTGTTGAACCTTATGGATACCACAATTAATTATACTTTTCATGATATGTTTTTTCGCTGACAGTTAAGACAGGTGAGCTTCATGGTCCATGAACCTCTATAATCCTGATAATCTTTCCATTATTTTACAGATAAAATACACAATGGGTGACCCAGACAGTATGGCTGTTGCCAGGACCTACTTTGCACAGGCCATAAAACTTAATCCCAACAGTGTACGATCCCTGTACGGCTGCTTCCTGGTAAGTTACTTATGTATATTTATATTTAGATTATATAAATACTCTTACTGCATACAAATATTTGTGTTAAGATAGATATTGTATTTTCAACAGGAGGTGCCTTTCTGTTCTTGGGAAAATTTTTTAGATTTTTTTCCCCATCAAATATTCCCATCAAGATAAATTTTGCTGGTAAATGCAGTAACTCTTTTCTGTTCTAATAAATTTTTTAGAAACAGTTGTTTCTGAGAAACTACATGTACATCTTGTCTCTTTTGTAGGCATCTTGTAACTTAGCAACCAGTGCAAACAGGAAAGACAAACAGAGTAATATTAAATATGCAGCATGGGCTGCCCAACAACTGAAGGAAAAATACACTGTAAGTATAGGGCTGTAAACCTCATCTGATATTCTGAGACTTCTTCCTACAGGGTGCAGTAAAAAAAATGACTGGATATACAGAATAAAGGATACACATGTATTTATATAGAATTTGAATAATCCTGAAGTGTGTTTAAGTATGTTTACTACAATGTATATGTAAAAATAGTAATGCTTTAAACAGACATTATATTTACTTGTATACATATCAAGTAACCATTTCCTTGATGTTCAAATGAATTATTACATGTAGGGAGAAAAAAAAGAGAGAAAATTGAGTTACATGTATTCCCCTTCCTATTACAAAAAGGATAACTCTTGCAGTGTAAACCTACCGGTCATATTTTGATCCCAGAACCCCCATTTTTTTTTTGCCTAATTTATATAATAATCTGAGGAAATTTGAAAGTAATTTGGCACGTGACAGGACCAAAATTAACATTACTAATGTTGTTATCAAGTTTGTACCTGTAATTAATTGATGCATATTTGTATCTTTTCAGACTGTCCAGCCAGAAGACCTTACAAATCAGACCAGGGTATTAGAGTCTATAGAGCGAGTGTTGGAATCTCTCACAGAGAAAACATCTAACTGAACAAATATTTCCCCAATTCCTCACTTTGTGATCTGGACACACCACTCGACGCACTTTTAGGCACCTCTTAACGTGTTCATCTGGAAACAAATCTTGTCACCACACAGTAAATCACTATGCTGTGAACTACATAGTAAACACTACAAGAACAGCTGACTTATATGTTTACAGGCAGTTCTCTGTTTCAGTAAAATGCAAGGAAAAGCAAACTTTGAGCTATGTAACACATTCTGTTGTGCAATTCTGAAAGAAATGAGAACTTCTGAAAGAAATGAGAACTTGTCGAATGTTAATTATTATGTAATATATGTATGTATGATTATGTATTATATGTATGTACAGGTTTATGTGTCTGTGGGGGATGGGAGTCTGATATCCAAGACCAATTGTTTATACACCCATGTGAAGGAGAGTATTCCATTGATAATTCACCTTGTTATCAATGTGTCGACTTTTTTGGCATGTTTTTACCTTGGTATTTGGTAAGAAATTCTGAATATAATGTGAATATGTGTAATTTATTTTTCTCTGACCATTATACAGAAAATTGATTGCCATTTCTGGTTTATTCCTATAATCAGAGAATCAGAAAATTGTTGTTCTAACATTTTTGGGGGAAAAAAATGCATACATGTATATTGGGATTTTTTTGTTGTTATTTCTTGTCACATCTACAAAATGATCCAAGAATGGAAGTAATGGAGATATTCTGTGTTCTTTTATTGTGTTTACTAAGGACATACATGTATTAAATGATTATGTGATTTCACAAGATTTGTTGGAATCTTTCATTGTCAGTCTTTGGTTTTACTTCTTTTATAAAGTTGTAAGCTATTTGCAAAGAATCCAGTTCTTATGATATTGAGCATTTTGCTTATCAAATAAAGCATATTTGTTCACAGAAACAGTCCATATGAAAAGAAATAAATTAAACAACATATCTTTTTAAGCCACTCAGTTTATTGAAGTTGATATTTTTTCAAAGTACTATAGTTTTCTTTCAAGGAATGTAACAAACAATTAATTCGCTGTAGCCTTAAGAATCTGTGTTCAGTGTGAGCAAGGCCGTATTTTCCTGATGCAACCAACATGTATTGGACACCATTTCACGATACTGCAAGCTTTTGAGGAAGCTACAGTTTCTTTAATTTCATTCATTTAATGATTTTGGTGAGAATTTATGGTGGTTGATTATTGGTTTGTAAATTCTCGTCAGATTTAGAAGATTTCTGTGGATTTTCTCCCACTCTGAAATACATATCTCTGAAAGAAGCATTCAGGTAGTGGTCCACATTGGTTTGACTGGCTAAATACTTGTCATCCTGCAAATAAAATATTTATTCTATAGGTAAAAAAAAGAAAAATTAAGATTTAGTTTCTCAGGTATTAACTCGTGATGCTGAACGCAATTTTATTAACAAATTGAAAGGGAAATAACTCGATTTTCTATTCAAGTTTTAAAAAAAATGAATTATTCCCATTTTCATAAAAAAAAAGAAAATAGCTCTTGTAATGTTGCTTAACTGTATTTTCTATAATGTGTGAAAATGTGTGCTGTACTGACCCTATATGGTTGATACTTTTCCATGGTGATCAGTCGTCTTGATATCCTTTTGTTCAACACCTGTTCACAGTTTGATATCAGCTTCATACAGGGATGATGGGGAATGTTTTCCTCTTCGTAACTGAAGAAATAATATTTGAATATTCTTTAAATAATTACAATTGTATATATTTTTTTATTTTTCCTCATTTCAAAACTTCATCATTTAAAGCAATATATGGCGTATCTGAACCAAAAAATAAAAATACGAAATTGAGTGTATATAAACATTTTGAACTTGAATAACCTCAAGTTTCCATAGACCTTAATCTGTATCTCTTATTTAAATGCGGAGCCGGTAAATAAATTGGTTATTGTTTCAAATTTCTAATATCCTTGAAACGTGATTAATTAAAATTGTGCAAGGTAATTTACAGGAAAGTCATATCTTTATATAAAGTAATAAAACAAATAGATCTTTTTAATTTTAGTTAGTCTGAACTTATCAAAAATACACCATATATGACTTTAATTCCACAGAAACACAGTGTCTTCAGTTTAAAAAAATTGGTTTTATTTACTACCATATGACACAAATGGGGACTGAAATGTGTGCAATATCATTACATGTATTTGCAATTATGTTTGAATGGTAAAATTCTATATATTTAGTGATATAAATTATCTTCTCAATAATAAAATTCTCAGAATACAGATTTACATCAAATCAAGAACTTACCCAACTTTCTTTTACAGCTACAAGTACATGTACTTCCTTTGTGCAATCCTATCATTCAAACATGCAAGCAATGAATAGCTATGTTTCAGCTACTGATACTTACTCAACTCTATTGACAGGGAACCAGTACGTTAGTCGGCCACCAAGCTGCAGGAATTTGTAACCAAAGTTCAAAAGGTCATTAAAGATGTTGGCCAAACCGTAGTCAACTTTCTGTGGAATGTGATCCACCTTTCTGAAAACAAAGAAAATTTCAATTGACAAATATGATAATAAATCAAAGTGTACAAGTATATTAGTACATGTACTTTCTTATAAATTTCTAAACCTGTAAGCATGATTAAAGGTACAGCTGATTTGCTTTATATATGATACAGTACCAACCAGACCCAACCTGACACCAAAGCAGTCCCAGAAAGCAGTCCCCGGGACTGCATTGGGACCGCTGTGGGACTGCTCTGGGACCGCTATGGGACTGCTCTGGGACTGCTCTAGAAAGCAGACCCAGCAGTCCCAGGGACTGTTTTCTGGGACTGCTTTGTTCACTCATGCGTGAAAAAGGTTCTGAGTGACATGATAGCTCCGCCCCTTGTGTATTCTGAATTTGCAGCTCATTGTTGTTGTTTTGTTTACTTTCTGTAGAGAAGTGTTTAAGATAAAAGCAAATATAAAAAAAAAACAAGTACATGTATTAATTTCTTACAAAAATTAAATAAATAGAGATAGTTATACATGTAATTACATGTACTAAATGTCTTCAGAGGGCTGTAAATTTACACAATTGTAGTCTAGAATTAATTTTAAGAAAATAAAAGTAGTTAAAAAGGGAAGTCAGGGGATAATTTTTATCCCTTAAATTAAACTTCAATACAGGTGTTTGAAAAAAAAATTATCTAGGCCTATTTAATAAATTAATGCTGTCAAATTACATATGTACTCAAAGTTTGCATTAGCACTATTTAAAAAAAACAAACAAAAAACAAACTTGCCATTTCAGTAAGATACATGTATTCAGAGGAACGTACTGTACTGGATTTTTTTCTTAATTGAAAAAGCTAATACCATGCTTAAAAAAGAGCACTCCATGCTATTTTTTACCACCCTAAATAAAACCTAATAATTTATTTAATGACCATGAAATAAAATTATTCTACCATTCTTCTGTCACATAAACAATGTGAACAATTATTCGGGGATTTATTTATGAATTAGTTTTTAATTTATAAAAGTCATTAAAAGAGTACATTTATTTAAAAAATAAACATTTGAAAATATCGGGAATTGTGACTTGTTTCTTTTGTTTGTGTTTACCTGGCCGGTTAATACAATGGGATTGTATAAAATGGTGTCAACACCTGAGGTTTCAATCGCCTTTGGGCATAATTAGCAAAAAGTCAATGCATGTTATTTGGGTATCAGTGTTACACATCACTGAACACGCTGGTCAACATTGACACTAATTTCAATCTATGTCCTTCAAAAAATCTTAGTTTCAATAATTGTGTATAAATTTATTTCGGGATTAATTAATTTTGAACATAATCTGAGGGTTCCATTTGCGTGATTTACATATGTACACTCGAACATTTATATAATAAAACACTTAAAACCGATTATCTAAAGATAATTAAATTGGGAAGTCATTGAAAATAATCATGACTGAAATATAATACTCGGCAATGTTTAACAAAGAATTTTTCAAAAGCTCCAATACTTAAGAAAAATGCATTCAGGGTATAGTATGGGAATCGGCCTTGCTCTATAATTATTGATATCTATATATTTACATTTCCAATGTCTTTGTCCGAGATAAAATTACAAATTGTAAAAATACTTTATTTCTACATAAATCTACTGGTTCATCGATAGGCGCGGTTAAAAAAAATCACGTGCGGGGCGTGACAAATAGAGACAGAAGCGGGACTATTAGCATGGGAATTTGCAGAATCAGGAGCATGTAAATATAAGGAATAACTGTCAGATTTTTTGGATTCATGACGATGATCAATCGATTGGCTTGCGTGATAATTTTATGCATAAACGCCTTCGGCGTTTATGCAAATTATCACGCAAGCCACTCGATTGATCACATCATGAATCCAAAAAATTAGACAGTTATTCCTTAATTAAAGCTAATTCTGGTATAAAATAAACAATTCAAGTTTAATTTTCTATATAAAAAAAAAACAAATATGAAAACCAATATCAATCACAAAAAATAAAGAAATTGGTTTATATCGGTTAAAAATTAATATACCAAATAATTGTATTTAAATATTCATGTTATTAATAGGTGTGAACGTCTTCTTCATTCAATAATTATAATTTGTTTCTATACGCGTACTGTGATTTTCTTAACAGTTCAGTAATGACTGTCACGTAAGAATTGTAAATATTTGTTGATACTACTCAGAAAGAATTGCTCATCAATTTCAACTGCCTTTTATATAGTTACATTGTTTATTGGTAATCTCATTCTGAGTAAGCTCCGCCCATTAAATTAATTAACCCCGCCCACTGGGACTGCTTTCTGGGACCGCTGGGACCGCTCTGGGACTGCTATAGCAGTCCCAGAAAGCAGTCCCCGGGACTGCTCTGGGACTGCTTTGTGTCAGGTTGGGTCTGGTTGGTACTGTATATGTAAATGTACATAATTCTTACTGGTCTGATGTCACTGAGACTTGAGTGTCTTCTCTCCCTACTTTCTTTGCCCCTTCCCTAATCCCATACGGAGCTGGAAGATATTTCAAACACACTCATTTATTGCCTTTTTTTCTATTTTAACTTAAATGGATGTCTAACACTGTTAATTATACATCTGTTAAAAGCAAATTTGATGGGAATTATGGAATGATCAACTAAAAACTCCACTAGAGATTAAATTCCTGATTTACGGTTTATGAAGTTGACTTAATCACCAAGATGGTCTGACAGTTTTAGTCAGAGGAACACAAAATATACATGTAACATGAAAATGACATTTATCGGTAATTCTGTATTTTGTGAAAAACTTCCATTATAAATATGATGATGATTTTTACTCCTTTAACAAGTTAATATGTTTTTTTTACAATGATTAATTATCTAAAAAGACACACACAAGTCATGTAGAAATCAGCTGTTTATCTTGATATGCTATATTTTACATTCTATTAATGAAATAATTTGAGAAGATATTTGTATGCCTACGATCAGTGATGATGGCATCAAATATCTCCGAATGCCTCCACATGGCATGTTTTGAAGCATCAGCAACTAATATATCACAGTAATAAGATTCCAATCCATACTCTGCCAGGTTGTTCCTGATACTCTCATTGGGGGATCTCTCCTTCTGGTTAGACCTGCTCGGCTTAGCTGTTACATACAAATAATGTACAAATTAAGCTTCAAACTCAAGCACATGTACTGTAGATCACTAATTTTTCGCAACACCTTTTTTCGCGAGATAATCATTGACTCTTTATTAGCGAGACAAAATTTTCATGAATTATGGTTGTAGCTCTTTATAATCTGAAGGAATGCTAAAATAAGTGAGAATAAAATTTTTGCAAGCACACTGTATTGCCTAATTATGCAAAAATAAAGTTATCACGAATAAAAAGTGATTTACAGTATTCAAATTTATATATTTAAATTTCCAAATATTTTTCCTTAAGATTATTTGCCAAATAGAATACAGTTCATTTTCTCATGAACTACCATGGATGAGCATGAATATCTTCATTGTTACATCATAATACCATACTGGACGTCAAAACTATAGTGCAAACTGTTTTGCTTAAAAAATATCAGTTGAATGGCGTAATTTGTGGTGACTCATCAGAAAAATAATGTAAATATAAGAAATGAATTTAATTTTTGAAGATTGATGAGGTACATGAACTACAACGCTTCACACTGGCATATTTATCATGAAGCGCTGACGCACTTCATCAAATATGCCGTAGTGAAGCATCGTAGTTCATGTCCTCATCAATCTTCAAAAATTAAATTCATTTCTTAAATATGTATTTTAAACTTCAATTAGGAAAATGATATATACATGTGTAACATGCATGACATAGTTGGTCCTCTCTTAATACATGAATGAGCAGCATGATTGAAGGAAATATTTTGATTGTACCAAGAGTTAAATTTTCGAAAGATTTTCTTACTGCAAAAGCTTTAAGTCCAGTATAATTAAAAAAATTATTTTCATTGCAAATACATACAGGAATACTACCTACCTTTAGCATGTAGAAGTAAGTAATTGATATCTGTTCCCATGACATAAGCTTTATGGTATGCACATGGTACTAGTATGCTACCTGTAAAATGTGTATGCACATTTATCTATATATTTTTTAAATGACTGAAACCTCCTGTAAACGCAGTTAAAATTTCACTGTCTTGAAATCACATTTTGATGAACGTGTACATAAAGTTTGTAAAATTTGATTCTTAAATTTGCCCAAATTGAGATTAACCTTGAATTGTATTACTTAATTGAGAGAACTGTTTCCAAACCTGTTCCAACAAATGGATCTATCACAAGCATATTTTTCTGGACTTTTGACAAGTTGGCCATGAGGAGTGACAGGCTTGCTTCCATGCTAGTATTTCCTGCAAATTCATTAGTTCAATATACTCCACAATAACCACCTTACAAAGTAAAAAATAAATAAACTGTATATCTGTTAATTTAAACATTAAACATGTATCATTAATTTAATCAAAATGTTTGCTACACATGTAATAATTATTCTAAAGTCCATAAAATCTGAACACAACTATGAAATATGGAATTTTTACCAATAAAAGATCTTTTGGTTACAAGCTGGTTCTGAATTTCATTTCTGTTTCCATCTGCAACCTTGAAATTCAAAAATGAGATTTTATGAAGAGTGATGACATTATAGTTATGTTCCTGTGAAAACATTCTACTTCAAATTGAGTAAATTTTTTTCTTATGAGTTCATAAATATGAAATACATAGAAGATATTCAATGTTTTGTAGATGAATATGGAATTTAATTCACAAGTGGAACTGGATTTTTTGATATTTTCACAAGTGCTTTTTCATTGTACAGAAGAATGACTCTTGCTTTATACATGTACATGTATAATTCTTCCAGGTTGGTTCAACTGAATGAACAAGCTTGTAGAGGCAGTATTGACCTGCCATAATCATACAGCTGTACTTCACATGTACCATTATACTAAGAAAACGAAAGTATACTTTAGAAACTGAAGGCATATACTTCATGTGAAATGAGTACCAGTATTATAGAAATATGTGTATTTTACTGTGTGTGAATACTCATATCTTTGCAAACATAATGCTCTAATTGAAAATTTGAAAACCTCTGACACCAATCTCTCACCAAGCTTTACTTAAGTCCTCTAGTGCGAGATTGCTCCAACACTTCTGAAGTCTTCACAATATAAAAATGCTGGTCTTAATTTGCTTAATTTTCTACCAAATGTACATGAATTTCATTATTTAAATTCATGATATAAACTTTGAACAGTAGAAAATTAATATCTTTAACCTTCTGATTGTTAATTTTCATGTATACTCAAGTATCACATCAACAAATCAATGGTTAAATCAAATCATTAGATGGTGTTTTGGTCAAGTTGTAAAAGAATGTAAATAGTTATTCATATATATATATGTATTTGTAGTTTGCTTACGTACAAATACTTACAAGGTGTTTTGTATAATTAGGGATATGCGATTTTATCAGTATACCGGTATATTGTGATTTTTTTATTGTGCAATAAGTATCGTGATACAGAGATTAAATATTAGTATTCAGTATGTAATTATAAATTCCGAAAATAAGTAATTTTTTTTGTTCAAACTCTTAAACTACTATTACAGGAACTGTAAAAATGTTGTAAAATAGTAAAGCAACGGCATCCTAGCATCCAATCATGCTTTATTAATAAATGTATATAGGCCAAAATAAAAATGAAAAAAAGTGAAGTTATATTTTCACACTTTATTTGTTAGAAAAATCATGGAAATTCATTTAAAATCAAAGTAAAAATAATGTGAAAAAATATCATGATTTTATCGTGATACATTTGAAAAAAAATCATGATATATTACGATACAAAAGTTTTGGCGATACCCATCCCTAATAATAATACTTACCCACCTACCAAAGTACACATGTTGAGGGTCTCCTGTGGCATTTTTTGATTGTCTCCCAAAGTCTTCTAAATAATAATAGATTTGTTCTGGGTTCTTAAGATCTATTCTCCCTTTAAATGGTAGAACATCATCTGTTAGTAATTTCTGAAAAAGAAAATAAAATCAAATTGGTTCATATACATATCAGTGTTATAAACTGAAAAAAAAAATATTCATTTTCATTTAAATCGATTGTTGACTTGTCATTCGTACATGTAACTATCATTCATTACATGAATAAATTTAGAGCAAGTTCAAATGACTTGTTTAGAATGTGGAAAACTTATTCAAGCTCAGCACTGTACAATGTATTCTGGAATGTCACAAGAAACTCATACCCCCGGTATGTTAACGTCACATAAAATACAATTAATAAGGGCAGATCTAGGATTTGGTGTGATTGATTGTGAGCCCAGGGTTTGTGCTCCTCAAGGCTTACATTTAAAGTCTTAAATGTCCAAGACAAACGCAATTCATTCATTTCTTTCTATATGATATATTACATTAGAAAAAATACTGTCAAGCATAGATTTCAAGTATTGGATGGATTATAAGAAAATAAAGATTATTAAGGTGTGACACATTCAATTTGTATAAAATATTTAGTTACTCAAAGAATGAAAAATGAAAATGAAAAAAAAAAAAAAATTAAAAAACTTACTTTGATATTCAAAATCAATATTTGCTTTGGAACTGGGAATTTAAGTCAAAATAAGCAGAATAGTTGAGATTACTGTTTTTGACAAATGCAAAGTCTTCAACTTTTAATCAATCATTTATGAACAAATAAATCCATGCCTATGATATCTACCCAAATATTGCATGCATATAACATATCTATGTTTAGGTACAAGTATGAATAGTCAACAATTATTGTAAATAAATATGCTCATAGCTGACCTCGATGATCTGTATTTTGTATTTTTGTGGAAGTGACCTATTGAAGCCATCAACAACAACTTTCAAAGAAGAATTTTCAGAAAAATATGGCACCTGGAAAAAAAAAATCAATCAAAAAATGAATCAAATGAATGATATTGGATTTAAAAATAATAATAAAAAATTCTTTAAAAAAAAACATTATTAATAATAATTACCATTAAATTTGAGGATTTTTTCAAATCTTGAAACAAATCTTCAAGAGTGTTTCCATGGCCCCACAACTCTATAACTGATCTGAAACAAACATTACTTTTCTAAAAATATCTTCTAAGGCTACATGAATCAGAAGTGGTAACTGTCAAAATAATGAACTTTGAAATAATGTACACAAAAAAATATTCTTTAGCATATTCTATTTTTCATTTTTAGTGTTTCAATAATATAAATAAATGACCTTACTTGATAAGTACACTTCTACTTGCTAATTGTTTTGCCTGGACTTCTGATGTCAAAGTGAGGTTGAGAAATGGACACTGAAAATAAACAAACCATGAAAGGGAATCAAGTTTGAGGTAATCATCAGAAAAAACAGCTGTTCCTAATTCTTTGACTACGTGAGAAAGGAATGCAGATTTAATTTCTGTTGTCAATAAAGGTTTCCAAAGTGAATAATGGGAGTTTTAAGTGAAGTTTTCTTGAGAGAGAAAAATGAAAAAATATAATATTCTATAGATCTGGCCCCAAGTCCATAAACATAGAACAGACTTAATCAAAATTTCAAATTTGGAATAATCAAGAAAATAATATCAAATTTTGATTATGTGATTACATTTAAATATTTTACAAACAGGGGTTGAAATTTTCCTGGAAATCCCACTAGCCCATTGGCTACTGATCAGTAAAAAATTACTAGCCCAAACCTCAAACTAATTAGCCCAACAATTTTTTATGCAAAATGAAAACAACCAGTTAAAGTTTCAACACTCTGGTGACAGAAACAAATTAAACTAGTTCTCAGTCAAAAGAAACCTGAGTCTACATAGAAAATCCAAAGTAAACTGATGAGAATTTTTTTTCTGTTCTGCTAGTCTGACGGACTATTGTTACATTAAAATTTGCTAGCCCGAGTCTTAAAATGACTAGCCCCGGGCGTCGGGCTACCGTATATTTCAACCCCTGTACAAATGTGCGACTTTTCAAAGAAGCTTGTTGAATTTAAGTCAATATATTCAAAATCTAAATACTGACTTAAGTTTGTTCTCAGTTTATGGTCTTGGGGCCTGGACATGTATAATTTAAAGTCCTCTTTGAACAAGACAAAAAAAATACACAACAGGGAATCAATCAAGTTCTCAGGACTGGTGTTATTTGAGTATGGCAGTCAAGAGGGTTCGATAGCCGGCAGCCAGATAGTTCAGTTGGTAGAGCACCTGACTAGTGATTCAGGGGGCCCAGGTTCGAATCTGATCTGATTCGTTGCATTTTCTCCTTTCCTGTTACATTTGGTGCCTTGACCATGTTCTCGAAGTGACAGGTGAAAAATCTGCCAGTATAGAGCCTGGGTTGGTGTCTTAGGGATGAAGATCTTTACAGAGGAAGGAATATGGTGGTCAGGCAGGTTCGATCACTGGTTGCCAGATAGCTCAGTTGGAAGAGCACTTGACTGGAGATTCAGGGGGCCCAGGTTCTAATTCTTGTCTGGTCTGTCACATTTCCTCCCTGTCTGGTAACATGAGAAACCAAGTGTCATATATAGGTGATTCTGAACTTCTGTATCTCAAACACCAATATCTTGAATACCAAGTATATGCCGAAGTGAGTTGGAAGTCCCCACTTCTCTTTTTCTTTTGTATTTTAACCTCAATATCTTGAATCCTCAGATAAAAGTTTTTTTTGTCCAATCTAGTTCAAGATAATGAGGTTTGACTGTATTGTAACAGAGACATGTATGTGCCTCCACTTGGGATTGAACCAGGGCCCTCTGGCATGTCAGTCCAGTGCTCTACCTATTGAGCTTAAGGGTTAACACACTAGCCCAAGCTAGTAGATTGCATGTATCTTACACTACCACATTATTAATAGCGAGTGCAGCGAGCAGTGCGAAGCGCTGCTCGCAAAGCGAGCTCAATAGACTAACGTGTAAGAACAGAGGAAATTCGGAATGAAATCTGTACATACGTCAGGCAAATTTTCTGGTGCAACATTCCCAGAATTCTTTGGCTACCAGGGTTCCATGCGAAATTCTTACAAAACATACAAAAGACCAAGGATAATTATTCATTACCGAGAGATACGTTTACTTTTCTTTCTTTGCAGAGGGCTTAAAAGAAACAAAAAAATATTTACATCTACTCAGGGTTGACCGGGAAATACCAGTGGTGGGAATTACCAGTGGTAAATACTGGTATTTCCCGTCCCGGGAAATACTACAAATTTTCTCTAAACTGGGAAATATTGGGAAATACTGGGAAATACTAAGTTATTAGAGTTTTTTTATTTCTCTAATTCATTCAATCTTATACAAAATTTAAAAATAAAATAAACATAAAAACAGAAGATGAATAATATGGAATATGTCTCAAATTGCTATATAACATATTCAGAATGTATCACCTACTCCAGGTCCCATACCCAAAAGCATTCTGAAACATTTTCCTGGCTGTACAAAACTGAAGTTTTTCAATTCAAGTTTCTTTTCAGTTTTGTAAAATTATTAAGTTTATTAATTATAAATCCAAGAACAACAACAAAAAAAAACTTGTTTTCATCCTTCTATAAACACTGTAGTTATTACAAACAATCATGTTGTTTTAACAAATTGTTCTGGACAGTTTTGTGCTCCTGTTTTGAGAGATAATTACCTTGAGTAAAACTAAAGGCTTCTTCTCAGATTTGATATTCATACCATACTCTACATTTAAGAATTTTCTTAGATCCTTCTTTAGTTACATAAAAACCCAGTTGGGATCTTTGTGTTCATTTCATGGACCTTTATAGACTACATCTGATTCAAGCACTCATGATTGGTATATGAATATACTGTGTTCAATTACATGTATATAAAATGAATTACTTGGAAACCAGAATTTTTGAAATCGGGAACAGTGATACCAGGTAGATATCTTAGCCAATAAGGTGTACTACATGTCAATATGAATGAAATATACACCTATTTCTTATTTCCCAGTATTTCCCGGGAAATACCAGTAATTTCTGGTAATTACCAGTATTTCCCACCGTCCTGGGAAATACGAGTATTTCCCAGTTTTTTGCCAACCCTGCATCTACTCTATAGTATTTTATTTATTATTGCACAAGATCTTTAGTCTCGTTCAACCAGACGCTCGGCTGTCTCCGTTAATTCCGACGTCATGTGACGTCACAGTCTAGACTGTGTCTCGTGCGGTTTGACGTTTGATTTTGAAGAGGCGGATCAACGTTACAAGTGTAAGCTGCTATAGCTTTTTGATGGTACAACTGCGCTTGCCCCAACGGTCACACCGTAAAACATATTAATTTTTAAGAGGTGGAAGATTTATTCTACAATGACTTGACCATGCTGACGTAATGGCATCATAGGTTGCATGATGTCATAAGATCTTTTCATTTACTAACTACATGTATGTACTAGTTGAGTGATGGTACAATTAATTACCTCCTTATCATGTCCTTTCAAACTCTCTGTTGGCAAGTCAATTCCAAACATCTCAGCCAGGGCCACTAGCTCCTGCATTAATGTTGAAGAGACAAGTAAGACGTAAACATATTAGACTAAACAGAGACATAAGCCTAAATGTCTCTAGACTAAAGCATTTTTATTTCTTTTTTAATTTAACTTTAAATAAGAATATCTAAAAAGAATTTCTCTTTGGATATAAATCCGTGTATTTAAGCATATCAATTTTACATACAGAAATCCTGAAATCAACATGATGATTTGCAAAATAGAGCAAATATGTTCTACACAGTGTACTCGCGTTGTGTTTCATGGGGGCCGCCATGATTTTTCTGGTTCTTGTTAATCTCTAAACTAAAATCAAATTTGAAAGAGTCAATTATATGAACAATTTAAGTTATCCATTTTGATTAAAATGGATATTTTTGAAACATTTATTTAAAATTTTGATCAATGACATTACATATTTTAAAGGTATTAAATGATTTCATCTTGGTTTAGAGACTACTTTCACAATGGCCTCTCCGGGTCTTGAACTTCTGTTCAACAGCATAAAAAGTCAACTCAAGTCAAGTCAGGATGCTTTGATTGCTGTTTTTCATTGGGAGTTAATATCGAACGGTTTTAAATGTCTGGGAAATGGAGAAGAGGTAAAATCAACACGGATTAAGAAAGATAAATATAACTGCGTTTTCATGGTCTACTTTCACTTTCGTAGTTTCAGAACATTTCCAAGTATTTCTCCCAACTTTGCTCGTACTATGTTCGTTAGCGTGTACTAACTAAGATATAAGTATGTAGTATATTCAGTAATGGAAAACTATGGTATAATGGATCTTTAGTTATAAAATGTTCCACTACGTAACAGTTGGGAGCCAGCACACAGTCACAGTCACTGGAAGTTAATGCAAATATGAGTATGTTGTTGGCTCTATTTACATTAACACAAGTGCCCATGAGCACAGTTATGTAATTTATATTGTGTCATCTTCATAAGCAGGTTACATCAGAATGTTAAAAAGGGGCATGCACATAGAATAGAAAATGTGTAGACTATGACTTATCATAACTTACATACCAAGCTTTCTCAAAGATGCAGTATTCTTAGTATTTAAGTCATAATATGTTGACAGTGCGACTGCTGGGGTGAGCGCAGTTGTATATTACTGGATACCTATTCACTTTTAACTTAGAAAACATCATCATGCCTCTTCAAACTGTACGAGACATTTGGAACATCTATATTGTTCAACAAAAAACATTTAATCTACTATTTCTCTGCAATATCCATTAAAAGTTAAATCAATGAGTTAATTATTCATGAACTATTGTTGTTACTGCAAAAACATAGTTAGCAGGGAGATGCATTCTTGTTTCATTGTGGGTCTCAAGGTTCTGTGAAAGAAAAATCGTTTGGATTTCAATGTGCACAGTACAGTTTTTCTCTTCACCCATGCAGGCATAGCCTTAAGAGCTTGCAGTGTTGTGCCACTCGCTGCGCTTGCTATTATTTATTTGTATTATTAAGAGAGTATCATTATACTATGCTTGTTGGTACAACCATTGGGGCAAGCACAATTGTGTATTGATTACTGGATCAATAAAATACCTTAAAATACAATCATGTTCAACTTAGATATTGTAGATCCACCTGTTCTCTTCTAATGTTATGAGAAATTTGGAAGATTAAAGTTCTGAAGCACTCAGTCTAGACTGTGATGTCATATCATTTGTATGTTAGTTGCATTTTTATAATAGTCTAGGGCCTACAAAGTGCAAATTTTTAAAATAAGAAATTAATTAATCTTGTTTCAATCTGCAGTTTCCATTAAAGCAAGGTGAGTGTCTGGTTTATTTTGGACTCTGATTGGTTATACATGTACTGAGAAGTAGTTTGTGCAGCCATATGCAATTTACAAAGAATTTTGAGTACCGAATTAACTTTGAAAAAACATTTCATTTTGATCAGTGTGCACAGTCCAAATTTTTTCATTGCCCAGGGCTGTTGTTGCTTTCAGAGCTCACAGTGCAAGCAGAGCTTTGTGTAGCTCACTGTGCTTACTATCAGATAAAGTTAATAATTTTTTTCTTTTTACATAATCTTGTTATAAATTTAGAGACAGTATTGCAGATATATTGATTTAACTTGAATTTCCTTATTTTATTCATGCATGTGCATTCTATAGAGCTCACTGTGCATGCTAATGCTATTAAATTTGGACTGTCTTTTCAAAATATGACAGGAAGCAGCAAATTTAAAATGATTTTTTAAGGTATTCTAGGGAGCAGCACTCTACATTTCTGTTTTGTTTTGTTCTTGTTTCAGAAGTTGGCCATGTCATTGTAAATTTTTATTACAGAAGTCAAGTAATGCCACGGAGAAAGCGTCAGAGAGTTTGCCTGCTGGCTGGAATTCCACCCCAGACTTTTATGCCATGCGTTACACATCAAAAAATGAGAAAGATGCAGTGTACATCCTGAAAGTTATTCGGATTGATGAGGACTTCTTGGTCCATTTCATGGTACATGCATGTATCAATCAACTTGGAGAATATTTTACTGTAGAAAATACTGTATTCACTGTATTTGTGAAGAATGTTTCCTCAGTCTTGAACTTTACCAGTAATAGTCACTTATAGATTTCAAACTGACAAATCAAGATTAGAAGTTGTCACAATTAAATAATGATTGGTTTACACTTTACAGTAATTTTTTTCATTGGGTGGAATATCCAATTCTTTAGGGACAAATCAGATGAATAAATAAAAAAATTTCAAAGTATCATCTGAAAGGAAAGATAATTTATATATTTCCATTCCACAAAATAGTCAAAATAAAGATAAATTACTCTTACACTAGAAATGATAAATAACTATTCAATTAAATCCTTAGTAAAATCAGTCTTTAATATTCTGTCAGCATGTGTGCATGATAAATATTCTTTTCTTGAAGTTTTCCATCGTAATTGTCTTTATAAGTGCTAAACCCTTACCTACTTGAACAAATTATGGATGGTGCCACTGTTCTCAAACAATTACATGGCTTTACTGTTCATCATCTAAAAATCTTTTTTCTTTACCATGCGGATGGAATCTTCATGATACCAGCCTTTTTAGCTCACCTGAGCCGAAGGCTCAAGTGAGCTTTTCTGATCAAAATTTGTCCGTTGTCTGTTGTTGTAAACTTTTCACAATTTCATCTTCTTCTCCAGAACTACTGGGCCAATTTCAGCCAAACTTGACACAGAGTATTCTTGGATAAAGGGGATTCAAGTACGTTCAAATGAAGGTCCATGCCTTCCTCCAAGGGGAGATAATTACGTAATAGAGAAAAATTAATGTCATCATTGAAAAATCTTCTTCTCAAGAACCAATGGGCAAGGAAAGATGAAACTCACGTGGAATCATTGTCAGGTAGTGTAGATTAAAATTTGTTCAAATCATGACCCCTGGGGGAAGGGTGGAGCCACAGTGGACGATCAAAGTTTAACATACGAATATATAGGAAAAATCTTTAAAAATCTTCTTCTCAAGAACAGCAAAGCAATGAGTGGTCATATTTATGTGAAAGCATCCTCATGTGGTGTAGATTCAAGTATGTTCAAATCATGACCCCTGGGGGAAGGGTGGAGCCACAGTGGACGATCAAAGTTTAACATACGAATATATAGGAAAAATCTTAAAAATTCTTCTTCTCAAGAACAGCAAAGCCATGCTTGGTCATATTTACAAGGAAGCATCTACAGGTGGTGTAGATTCAAGTTTGTTCAAATCATGACCCCCAGGGGTAGGGTGGGGCCACAATGGACGATCAAATTTTTACATAGGAGTATATAGGAAAAATCTTCAAAAATCTTCTTTTCAAGAACAGCAAAGCTATGATTGGTCATATTTATACGGAAGCATCTTCAGATGGTGTAGATTCAAGTTTGTTCAAATCATGACCCCCGGGGGTAGGGTGGGGCCATAGTGGACGATCAAAGTTTTACATAGGAATATATAGGAAAAATCTTCAAAAATCTTCTTCTCAAGAACAGCAAAGCCATGATTGGTTGTATTTATATGGAAGCATCCTCAGATAGTGTAGATTCAAGTTTCTTCAAATTATGACCCCCTGGGGGTAGGGTGGGGCCACAATGAAAGTTCAAACTTGTAGGAAAAAAAGGTGTCAGTCAAAAAAATATGCAAGCATCCTTAATTAGTATAGATTCAATTTTGTTCAATTCATAACCCCCCCCCCCCCTCCCTTTTAGTGGTAGGTTGGGACCATCTATGCATGCATTTAAGCTTTTCAATACTAAAACTGATTTTTGCTTTTTTCGTAGCCACAGTGCTCAGGTGAGCGATGTCGCCCCTGGGCCTCTTGTTTTTCTATTGCAATGAACTGAAATTTCCTTAAGTGGGGAGGGGGGATTTTAGAATAAACAATACAGGTACATGTATCTACAATTAACTATGAAGGTAAATGTACACATGCATTCATTGTATTCTTACAGACAAACAGAGAGAGGGATAGACAGACCAAAAACTACACCCCACCCCCAAATCTTTGATTATTGGAGCATTGAAAAAGTTATTGTTGACTTAATTACAGTTATGCTCCAAAATGCACCCATACAATAGCTTTTGCCTTGCTGTTTGGCAGGATTGCAAATGTTTCTGACATCAAAACTTTATATTTTATTCTTAATTAGAAATACTGACTCAGAGCCTCTTAGAAGTATTTTACTAGTGCATGGGTACTATAAAAAAAATCTCAATACAATATTTTTTGTCAGTGAACCACAATACACCAGGATATAAGTATTATTGCACATAATTCTTTAATTTAACCCTAAATTCATAAAGAAAAATTAATTGGATGTATTTTAACTGTTCACAGAAAGCTGGGACAGACGTTGTAGAGAGTTTAAATGTCAGGACATCAGAGTACACAACTGGAAGTGTGGAATCTTATGATGGGTATATATGGAATAACTCAAATCTCTATCTGAGGAAAATGATAAATTTTATCATAATTTTTGGAAGATAGGTTGATACTTTTGTCTCTGAGGTACTGGTCTCGCCCTATTTATATATCGACCAGGTACATATATTATTGAGGATCCATGAGAAGTACCGGTAACTGTTACATGTATTGTCACAGCCATCATACATTGAGCTTTATTGTTTCTCTATAGGTTTGATAAATTTCAATAAAATTATATAATACTTTGTATTAAAATCTACATTATGCGATGATATTCCCATATCTATCAGGTATAGCATATCTGATCATTTACATGATTTTAAATTTGTTTGGTACTGGCTGGTAGTTAAAGAAATTGGATTAATTTGATGATTTCTGCCAGAGACTACTTATAGAGCATCACTTTTAGATGCACACATGGTTAAAAACAAATTGTTAAAAAAAGTAAAGAATTTATTGTAACATTTACAAGTATAAAACAATGTATTTCAGCAAATACTTATTCTCTTTTTGTTCTTCAGAGCATACAAACAGCTGGATGAACTCTGTTCCCTATTTAAATCCACTGTTGTGGATCCAATACTAAAACCTCCAAGTAGTAGTCAACCCTCCACAAGTCAGGAAAGGTCAAGGACTCAAAGGTCAAGGTTAGAGGATGATGACCCACTCAGAGTTCCTCCCAGAAGACCTCCACAGAGAGCACCTGGTGGTTGGTATGTATCCTTATGCAGAGTTGTCTTTCTTTGTAAGAGTAGCTTGAAAAATAAGTGAAATGTCAGGTGAAAAAAATGTTGAATTTCACTCTTTCCTGATTTATTTACATCTGATTTTAAATGCTCATTTAATAAATACTCTTAAAGCAACTGCACTTTGCCAGTGGTTTGTTTTGGTGGTGAATTTTATTTTAGTAACTGTACCCATGTAAATTTGTGCTGTGTAAATGAGATAAAAGTGAGATTTTCTTGGTATTTGTAAAGGAATGAACCAGATGACCCTTTCTCAATTGGAAGGGGTGACCTTGACCCATTTGCTGCAGGAAGAGGAGGAGGAATGGTTTTTGACCCCATGAGATCGGGCGCCATACCAGGAATGCGACCTGATCCCAGTGCAGGATTACCTAGGAGGCTCCCTCCGTGAGTGGTCACAATATTTCACCCCATTAAAACATCAAATTTTCAATCAGCTATTTCAAATAAAGCTTCTTTGTTTTTATTTTATTTATATATATTTTTATATTGGTTATAATGATAAATGTATACTGTAGGACTGTAGGTCTTTCTTTGTAAGGGAAGCTATACATTACTTTTCTGTGGGAATTGTTACATTCACATATTCAAATTACACTGTAGATGTGATTTGAAAAAACCTAAATAATACTAATTGCTGGGATGTTGTCACCCCATTTATCCTAATCTTTTATGAGCAACTTTTCATATATTGACAAGATTTTCAACTTTCTAGCAAAAAACAGCTTTAGGTGAATTTGAAGCAAGTTGAAATCATGTATGGTGAAAATTTTAAACTTAGGATATAATTACCATATTGTTACTGTACCAGTATTTATTAGTACTACATGTATGATGTAGTGGTTTGGGCTGTATAAACTGTGGATAAGATATTGGCCTTGATAGCTCAGTACTCAGAGCACCTGAATAGTAATGCAGGAGTCCTAAGTTTAGTTCCCAGTCCAACTAATAATTTTTCTCCTTTATTTTTCTGTTATAATAGAATTTTTGAAGTGATTTATTGCAAGGTATCTGCAGTATACAAAAAGATTGTTATAATTTTGATCTACTTATTCATGACCTATTTTATTGATCAGGGGAGCTGTACCACCAGGTGCCAGATTTGATCCCTTTGGACCACCAGGAACAGGACCAGGGTAAGAATATTTATATAATCTTCTTATAAGATGATTACAAATCATATGACAGCATGACAGACCAATAAAAGAGAAAGTGTCATTAATACTAGATCTTGAGTTGATGTTCATGTTTCTTATAAGGCTTGCATATGATACTGGGTAATGTTATGGGGTCTTCTGCACCGTGCACTTCAAACCATACAAAGGAGTTTTTATTCATTATCATGTATCATATTGTTCAAATGTGCAGTTCTTTCTTTTCAATACATGTATATTGATATTATATTATTATATACAATTATTATATGTGTTATATTGATACGAGGAGTTTTTATTTATCATCATCAATATTCCCCCTCAACCCCGTTAGGGGAGGAACCCTAGTTCCTCTTCTACTTCCTTAAAGTACCCTGCTATTTCAGTTCGTATGGACAACCCTGTCATATTGTTACAATTGTGCTGATTTTTCTTTTGTAATAAATGTATATGATATTGATTAACATGTACATGTATAAAATGTGGAAGATATTCACATATTTCTAAATTTTTGTCTTTCAGTCCAGATCCTGACCACATGCCACCCCCAGGATATGATGACATGTTTATGTAGGAGATGACACAGAACTAAATTCAATTTTAAATTAACTTTTCTTCCTGGAAACCATTTTGTGTTGTCCTGAATTGGAGCCATTGAAAGGAGGTACCAACCTGTAAATTTTTGGAAGGATGTAAATATAATTGTGGTGCATGATTATGGATTTCTGTTTATGGAGGGGCCCATTCTAAACACACCAGTGTAGTAGTTTTTGAAGATCTGTATTTCAAAAAATGCATCGACACTTTAGCAGTGAGTTACCATAATAATGTTTTTTTTAGATATATTGAAATTTTTTTTCTCTTTTTGTTTGTTGCTGAGGTAAGATCAATAAAGAGCTATGTTCTAATGAACATTTATATTTGCCCTATGAATTATGGAACACTGTTTTATTGTCTCTGTGTACATTTTGCAATTTAAAAAAAAAAGGCTTAAATGAGCAGGAAAAATCAATTTGTCCCTAAGGGGAATCTGTATTGATATAAAAAGCAATAAGTGTCAATATTCTCATAATAAATGGACAGCATATTGATTATTAAAGCAAAAAGACAACAAGAAATCAAGAAAATTGTTGTTTAATTTTTTTCAGTATTTTAATGTTTTTACAAAAAAGATGAAAACATTCCATTTTCAACAACAAAACACCTGTTACATTGACGTTCTTCAAGGACAGAAATAAACTGAGTATGTGCTGCAACTGATATAGCAGTATATTGAAACAATGCAAAAGCTATTTTTAAAAAACATATATATTTTTTTAATTTCATTATGGATTGAATGACAAATGTATAAAAAAAAAATATGACAAGTATCAAATAGGTGTACTTCAGATGAAGTCCTGAGTATAAATTTCTTTGGCATTGTCCTGAAAATTAGACTTTTGATACTCTGCTTAAATGACTTCTATACACATGAAGTTAAATTTTTATATTATATGAGAAGAATGCTGAATCCAGAGTCCTTATAAATATCAACCTATGATATGCTTTTATAAAAGGTGGCTCAAGTGAGATTTGAAGTTATAGAAATTCTTGAGCATTACAATACATTTGTAATGTTTCTTTTCCTTCTTTTTAAAAAAAAATAATTTTTTTTTTACAATTTTGGCACTGAAAGTTATCATGGCATAATACCACAAAAAAAATGCATGCTCCAGGTTTGAAGCTATTATATGCTGAATTTGTCTCTTCAACTTGCTCATGATATTAAATTTGCATTGGAGGAGTGTATTACTTTCACTAGTGGAGTGGTGTCTTCACTTGTGTAAAAGAGTTCTCTCATCTGGTAATGGAAAACACTTAAGCTTTGCACCGTCTTCACTTATAATCCTAGAAAACATCACTTCATATGAATTATTTATAGAAGATTATGGATTTCCATGCTTTTTGACTTGAAAAACATGCATCAAATGCTTCTCTCATTGAATTACCATCGAACAAATCTCACATTTTTTTCACAGACATTTCTTTGAAGTGTGATATGATGGGTGAGAGCTCCTCTGCTTAGCTCATTGCAGAGTGATACTGCGTCCAAAAGCTAAAACATTATTGTCTGTTATGCACTTGAAGGGCTTAACAAGCTGCATCAGTTGAATTCTTTAGATATATGAGGCTAATTGAATTTTTTTGCCATGTCTTAGATGAACACAATATTTTGCTGTAGCAGCATAGTTGAGACTTCCTTGTAGTGTTACATAACACGCTGACATCATGATGTGACCTCAGCCACATTGGGGGGAATATCAATTGTCTTTCTGGTGAATGATGGAGAAATATCATCAATGATCTCCCCTTCTTTACATCTTCTGTCAAATTCTGGAAAGTAAAGGAAAAAAGATATTTGAAGTCCATTCAAATTAGTACAATGCAAATTTTGCTTAAATTATGGAGAACTCTATGATTTACCATAAAATGTTTTAAATTAGGTTCTATTCTTTGATGATATTCTGCAGTCTTATTTTTTTTAACTTTAATTTTTGGGCCTGATTTATTATTTTGTAAAGAATATCAGATTGTTTGTAAATAATTATTTATTACACTTAAACTTTTACTTTCCATTTTGGTCAAATTAGACATATCTCCAAGTTGGGATCTTAAAGTATAATGAGTCTATATTCAAAAATATTCATTGGTAAAAGCCTAAACTAAAATGACAGGATTGAGTGCAAAGAAATTTTGGGAAAAAAATATGATAGGCATTCAATCATGTCAGCTGTGAGCAATCCAAAATTTCAATTCAAGCAGTGCAAAATTCGCTTCTGAATTATGGGTTTATGGGAATGTACGATGTGAAGTGCTGCAAAATGACATAACATATGGCTTATTATCAACAGGAGTATCAGCCTCGGAAGTGGCTTAGTAGCAGAATAATAGAAGTGTACTGCCATACTTCATTACACACTGTGCCAGAAAAATGGAAACGTAAACCATTTCTTAATAACACAGGTATTCTCTGGCAGTGTATCAGATATCATATTAAGATCTCTTTATGAGAAATCTCTATTGTGACTATGAAGGAATGCTCAATTTTCTGCCCTCATGGTATATTGCAATTTATGGTTTTTAACATCCAGGCAATATATAAAATGGAAAGAATATATTACAGGAAACTGTCTCTCTTGTTTTTGATATACAAGTACATGATATGCAAGGGTTTTTGATCAACTTCTTTTTATTTTACCCCCAAGAAGATTCTTATCCTTGATTTGGAAACAAGGAATTTTCTTGTTCTCAGATTCAGCAAGGTTCTTATAATTATGTGTAGTATCAGGGTTTGCTTTGATAACCACCTGTTCTTTTATATTCCTATAAATTACTATTGCAGCGCAATAATTACCCAGCCTGGGGTTTTGTAGTCCTGTAACTACAGTTAAATTGATAAAACTGTGTAAATTTATAAAAATTATCTGTGAGAGAGTTGGCTCTCCTGGTTAGGTCATTGTTAGTTTTTTGACTTTGTACTTTTTCTGTTTCACGCATGCACATATGTTTAACTATATTTGTAATCTGTCTCTACACTGTACTTAATGTCAGTTTATGAGAATAAATTCATTGTCATTGTCACCCTGGGTTTTGTAGTCCAATAATTACACAGAGACTATAATTTCTCTGCCTTGTGTAGTCCTATAATTACCCAGTCTTTTACAGTCCTATAATTACCCAGTACTTTATGATCCTATATAATTACCTGCTATTTCCCAGTCCTCCCAGTGCCCCTCCTCCTCCTCCTCGCCCTCCTCCATCTCCTCAGACCTCTGTTTCTTTATCACCTCTATCGTGTCCTGGCACCTCTTCAACTGAGACAGGAGCACCTTATCCTGAGCCCTCAACAAACCCTACCGTAAAATTGAAAAATTGTATTAATTACAGGTCCCTTAAAAACACAATATAAATCTGTTCTAGGCAATTTATTTGTCATTTTTAGAAGATATGGAAAGAAATATATAGAATAGAAATTTATGTGAAAGGGATCGGAAATTGATTTTACAACATATACAGTAAGAACAATCTAAAGTGCAATCTAATAATGGTCTAAATTTAGTCGGGTGCAAATTTAGGTTTTCATCACAGCGTGTTATATTTGTGCAATTCATTTTAAATGACAAGAAAATCATTTGAAAATGTCATGAATAATTCAAATTACACAGTTTTTGGCAATAAAAATTTGGCTATGTGCAACATCTGCCCTAATTTGCATCGTTTACCAAATTTTTGTGATTTGAAGAGGTGTTTTTTTATGCGTCTCATCTTTAGAAAATACAATCTTGCAAGTTAACTACCTCTTTGCCCATCCATCTGTGAAAATGGGTCTTGGTGCCAAATTCTCTTATAATAACGATCGCCCTTACAGCACGCAAGTGTCATACTATTACCCTTTGTTTATTGTGTTGCATCATTTTAACTCTTTTTCGAACAATGGAAGAGAAATTAAGTTAATTTAAATGCAAAGGAAGGGACGTTGGATTTTTTTTTTTTTTTAGAGTGGGGAAAAGTGGCAGGGAACATCCTTCCTTACAATGTGTGTAGAATCTTTGACACGATCAGATTGGCACGGGTTCAACTCCCTATCTCTTTCAGAGTGATACACACCCCTAAACTGGCGACGTTCAGCGAACTGAGGACGAATCCGACAACTCGCCAAGTCATAAAAACCCATTTTTAGTTTTATATATAGATTCTTCTGACATAGATAGTCATGTAATAAAATGAAGAAATTGAATGATACCTTATCTATTATACGCGTGCTATCGACATTTTGAATGAAAAGGGCGAATGTACCTGCAAGTGATGGCTTGATACGGGGTTCCTCAACTAGGACACACCTGTCCACGTCAAAGATACAGAAATGATTAAATACTTTCTCAAATTTTAACGACTTGCTATAATAAACCTCCGTAAGCGGGGTCGTTTTCTTCCATGTGTTTTCCTAACACTTAACAATACATAAACGTTTATCTGTTTATTATGAATAGCATTTTTTAAAATTCTATCAAATCGTCACGTCATTGAAAGGCGAGCCTCAAATGGTATTATGACACTTTGCATGCAAAACGCAACCGAAATTGAATATGTACCTGCTACCAGATTGTGCTACGATTGAAAATTTGACAAATGAGATATATTCCAAATACGATTTAGGTTAAAAAGAATCGACCCATTTATATAAATTTTTCAAAACAACATTATATTCGTAAATTCGTTCCTATGTCATATGTGATTTGTTTCATATTGAAAAAAAATTCATCGTAATTTAGATTATTTTTGTTGAAATACCATATATCGTTCTTTACGTACATAATTAGATATCCATTTAAAATAAGAGAATAAGATACCTACCAATTCCGATCTCAGCCATTTTAAGGCACCTTCTATTCGCCCCTGCCTTTCGTCCCAAGTAGGTTGCTCCCCTTTCTCGCAACCCACCTTCGGAACATTTGAGGGCAGTGACATTCTATCATTTTTTAATACATCCGGAAGACTTTTGGACTGTCCGTATCGACTAATATTACATAATTCAGGCGTGTTCGATTTGCTCCTGTCTCTATGACTAGAGTTAACTTCAGATTTGTTCAGTAAATCTATGGATTTAGTTCGAAAACACTGTGAACTCGAACTGTCCTGCCTTTGTGAAACTGAAACTGGTTTTGGAGACATCGATTGATGTCTCCTATCATTTGCCTCGTTTTCTAATCGGGAATGATGTTCGTGTGGCATTGAATGTCGCTCACTTTTCTCAGAATCTTGTTCTAACTTTTTAGATACCTCGTGTTGAGAGTTTTTATTTGACGTGACAAAGTGTTGCACTGGAAGTTCCTGAGACATCGGACGTTTTTCATTTTTCTCAGATTCGTTCTTAGATAGCCCAGGTCGAAAGTTTTTATTTGACGTGACGTAATGCTGCACTGGAATCTGTCGTGTGATGGACACTTTTCTAGGATTACTCCGAGTGGACGAAGCGTCAGACATCGTCTCCCCGGAACTTGTCGTGTCATGACTAGAAGTAGAATAAGTCGAATCCGACCTTTTGAAGGATTTTGAATGGAAAATCTCGTCACCAGAATCCGTCTCAGAAGACTCTGTCGTCGACGATGACTTTTTTGACGACTTTGACGAAAACGTTGGAAATCTTGATGTTGAGGAATCTCCTCGAGTCCGATTTCGGTTTCTTGTAAAAAATGGAGACTCGAATATCTTCTCGATCGGAGTGTTAAAGAATTTCGATTTCTTCAGATCATATCCTGCGGCTTTGATGTCTTCCAACAAATCGAACGTGTCCGAAAATATATCCTTATCATCAAAATCATCGAAATCACTCATCCTGAGATTGTATTTATATCAAAACGTCATGTAATTTCTGTAACTATCCCTTCAGGATCAAAATACCAGACTTATATCCGGGTTTGTAACTGATCACTTCCACGTTTCACGAAAAATAATTTTTATCGAATAAATCTCAAAATGAACAAGTACTCAAATTTTACACCAATATAACACAAGAGAACTTGGTCTGTGTTCAGAGGAGGGTTACATTCTCTGACATCAGTACAAAGCAGGCGAGCAGACAGCGAAGCACCTCTCTTCTCTTTTACATTATGTTAATGATAAGCAACACACACACAATATCGCTAATCATCCCTCATCTGACAACGACCCTCTCCCTCTGCTTTTCTGGAATACCATCAAGGTTCTTCCGTTCTCTGCAATCCAGCATTAACCATCATATGTTGTTATTTCCACACAAAACTCAATTAACGTAATTAGATCTGGTCGCCTCTGGTGCTTGCCGAATGTCACAGAAATAACTGAATATCTGAAACACAGAAATTGCAGCATGGATTATTGACCTATAATCGTCCCAGTTTTAATGTTTGATTATATAGCTGGCAAATCTAATCAATTTCCGTATTGATTTCCTCTGCTACATCTCAGTGATGCAACAGTTTTGAAAATGACAGAATCCGAAATTTGTCAAGATCAAAATTCTGTGAATGTATAGTGTCAAGCCACAAAATTAATCATATTCCCATCGTTTCATTATTAGTTTTTTTTCTGGTTTAGTTTAAGTATCTGTTAATTTCTAATGGGTAGCCGAGCATACAAATGAAATGTCAACATCGGCTCTACCCGGCGACGGATTACAGAATATTACGTAAATTTCCGATTCCTTAGATAATCGAGCACAAAAGATCGTGGTCTTCCCTTATACACGACATAATAAAATGAACAAAGGTTATTAGATGGTATGTAACCACGGGGGAAGTATCTGTTTTAGCAATAGAAGTAGCCACACGCTGTGGTAAATTTTCGGTGGGTTTAGTTTTCTCAACAGGTCCTCACTTTGGAGGTCAGAAACTATATGTCATTTCTGGAATTTGTTAATATGTATGAAAGTGATCATACAAAAATATAATTACTCGTATTCTAGAAAATTCATAATTATTGCGAAAACGGGAAAATTACATCAAAACCTTTTTTTTTAACCAGTTAATTGAACTTGATTACTTAACTACAGTGCACAACAGTGAACTCAATTACAACTTGCTATTTTCAGTGAACTGGGGTTTAAAATAGCTAGGACAATTTGTAAAATGAAATAAAAACTTTAAATAAAAGGCCTACTTCTGGCTGGAGAATTTCTTAACACGAGTCTATCCTGCGTGTGTCGTTAATTCTCCCAGGTGTAAACAAGGCTTATTTATTCACAATTGTGTTTATTGTTACATGTAAAGATATGCTACCTTACAATGTACAATACGTTTATTAAAAAATGATAAATAAAATTTCGTAATTTTTTTTTTATTTTTGATAATAATACACGGCTCGTATTCTTTACATTACATTTATATTCTCGTTAAATTAAATCAAGTACACTGTACATTGAGGCGGAGGTACATGTGGTTTTCTCAAAAAGAAAGAAAAAAACCCCTCATGTTCACTGCAACACAGACATATTAGTAATCAGGAAGAATCTGGGATTATTCTACTCACTCTACTGATGCACACCTTGGAGAATTTGCATTATTTGTTCTGAATAAGAGAGAATCAGATAGCGAAAAACAAATATCAGTTATTTTCTACTCACCGTCTTTCTGATAAGGTTTCAGTAACTCAACAACCTGTTTTCCTGATTTTCTCCGACTTTCAATCGATAAGCCGTATTTCCAGTTACTGGTGAATCTGCTGAAAATACTGTCATAACAATATACACATTCCTTTCAAGATCACGGCAGATTTTCTAGTGGAAAACAAAATCTCACACAAATATTTTTTACTCGTGATAATCGGATATGGGATTTAGAATAACAATTAGCCGGACGAGTCTTAACTGTAATAGGACCAAATCTTTTAAAAACTACTACATGTACATGGAAAATCCCAAAAGTGCCACCTCTCGAGTGTCCTTTGCAAAATAAACATTACCTATTTAAAGGTAATAGATAAAATATATCTGATGTTTACCGGGTGGATAAATATGTGTCAAACAAAAAAATTTAATCAGTCCATCTGCGATGAAGCGTCAGTTTAGTTTTGAAGTTGGACAAAAGATTTGAAATGTTTGACATTCACCCTTAGACATTACGGCTTGGGTCAATTCAAACCAGCAAGTATTAAGCAGAGTATACCTGCCAATTTTAATTAAAATTTGTTTTAATCATATCCAGTGTCTATAATTGCCCACGCAGCCAGAGGAGGCCATAGAAATATATCTAATTTGTATACAAACATACCGGGGGCGTTAAAAAAAAACAATTACATTTCTATTCTTTTGTGGACAATACTTTTTTAAATGGTTTCATCCACAAATCCCATTCAAATTGACGAATTTTTGACAATGGTTACTTGAAATATTTTGATAGAAGATTTTTTTTACCCGTCTTTCATTCATAAATATATGTTGCCAAAATGCCAAGAACGTAAAAAATCCGAAAACTTTGTGTTATTTCAAAGTGGGCGAACATTTCTTTCAAATTATCTTCTGCCGTGTATTCAATGGATAAAAAAAAAAAGAATAAAGATTGTTTAATCCTTACAATTTTCATTTCTTGCTAATTAGAAAGTGCATTTAATTTCTTAAAGCTTTAATTTTTTATGACATTTGTATTTAGTGCAAGGTGAGATAATTATACCTTCTCTAATACGTCTGCTCATCCCACATGAGCCACAGATGATGGATTCCGGTAGGATTACCCATAATGATTATACTAATCGCGGGAATGTGTTGGTTTTAAAGCATCTGTATCGGCAGCTAATGTCGAAAGAGTCAGGAAATGATGTAAATAGATGTACATTGTACCAGATTGACGTCTGAACCTCAGAAGCATATCACGCACTAAAGGTGGATCTATATAAAATGATTGGTAACAAAGGAGATGGGCGAACATAGCGCGCAGAAAGCCTATAGCTTCAGATATATAAAAATCATGTTCAGTTTGTGAATTTAGTATTTAGAGTAAAGTTCTCATTGAAATTAATGAAATTATGATAAATTAAACAAAACTTTTCCGAGGAAAATTTTCTCAGCAAAAATTTATTCTTTTATTAAAAAATAATATGGTATTCTTGGGGTTCGAACCCTAGCAATAAAAATCCTGAGTATCATTTTCTTTCAAGACTAGCACGCTTACCACTAGACTACACAAGTCCTGATGAATCATGTTTGTGATATGACCCTTGACTTACCTGGTAATGGACTTCAAGTATTTCTCGAAAAGATGCGAATGTTATGTCATAAAAGTATATTTTTAAGGTATAGTGGGTCTTTGCTCCATATTTTTGGTAACCAAAACATAGGTAATCAAAGATTACGAAGCTCACCTCGACGAATGTTATCTACATGTAAGGCAAATTTCACATCATATTTTTTTTCTAGTTAGGGTACATCCCAAGATCAATGGCCATGCAAGTTTGATTTAATTATAGACCTGCTCAAAAAACTTTTGACCTGTTTAGTAATCAAGAAAATTTTGGTCACTTCCAACATCCAAAGCAAGTCTGGAAGTTTTCATCCTTAGATGCACCATCTATGCAAGTTTAATCATAACATGCCATAATATTATATAGCTACTCCAAAAAATTACCCTGGTCACTCATCTGGAAAAATTGTACATCAGATTCAGAATCCAAGGCAAGTCTGGAAGTGTCCATCCCTAGATACATCATCCATGCTAATTTGGTTAAAATATGGCTAAACTTCACTCATGTGGAAAATCTAGGTCAGATCCAGCATCCGAAGCAAGTGTGGTAGTGTCCGTCCCTGGATGCATCATCCATGCAAGTTTGGTCCGGGTAGGGCTTATAGTTACTTGGGAATGGACCTGCTCCTAAAACTTTAACCTGGTCACTCATCTGGAAAATCTAGGTCAGATCCAGCATCCGAAGCAAGTGTGGTAGTGTCCATCCCTAGATGCATCATCCATGCAAGTTTGGTCAAGGTAGGGCTTATAGTTACTTGGGAATGGACCTGCTCCTTAAACTTTAACCTGGTCACTCATCCGGAAAATCTAGTTCAGATCCAGCATCCGAAGTTAGTGTGGCCATGTCCATCCCTAGATGCATCATCCATGCAAGTTTAGTCCAGGTAGGGCTTATAGTTACTTGGGAATGGACCTGCTCCTAAAACTTTAACCTGGTCACTCATCCGGAAAATCTAGGTCAGATCCAGCATCCGAAGCAAGTGTGGTAGTGTCCATCCCTAGATGCATCATTCATGCAAGTTTGGTCCAGGTAGGGCTTATAGTTACTTGGGAATGGACCTGCTCCTTAAACTTTAACCTGGTCACTCATCCGGAAAATCTAGGTCAGATCCAGCATCCGAAGCAAGTGTGGTAGTGTCCATCCCTAGATGCATCATCCATGCAAGTTTGGTCCAGGTAGGGCTTATAGTTACTTGGGAATGGACCTGCTCCTAAAACTTTAACCTGGTCACTCATCCGGAAAATCTAGGTCAGATCCAGCATCCGAAGCAAGTGTGGTAGTGTCCATCCCTAGATGCATCATCCATGCAAGTTTGGTCAAGGTAGGGCTTATAGTTACTTGGGAATGGACCTGCTCCTAAAACTTTACCCTGGTCACTCATCTGGAAAATCTAGGTCAGATCCAGCATCTGAAGCAAGTGTGGTAGTGTCCATCCCTAGATGCATCATCCATGCAAGTTTGGTCAAGGTAGGGCTTATAGTTACTTGGGAATGGACCTGCTCCTAAAACTTTAACCTGGTCACTCATCCGGAAAATCTAGGTCAGATCCAGCATCCGAAGCAAGTGTGGTAGTGTCCATCCCTAGATGCATCATCCATGCAAGTTTGGTCAAGGTAGGGCTTATAGTTACTTGGGAATGGGACTTGCTCCTAAAACTTTAACCTGGGACGCCGACGCTAACGCCGACGCCGACACCGACGCCGACGCCGACGCCGGGGGTATAGCATAAGCTCATCTCGACTTCGTCGAGGTGAGCTAAAAATGTATATTTTTATGCAATCTTCGAGGATTAACTTTCAAAAAAAAAGGAGCGAAGACCCACTCATATCGAAAGATAGTGTTATTGTATGAGAAAATGACTCTTTTTGCCCTCTTTAGTGTGTGTATGATATTTCATAAGCAAATAATTTTAATCTTTGTCGGATTTTTGCAAATTGTACAGATTTTACATAAAGTATATTTTAATGTTAGATGAAATATCAAGGAAAATTTTGATATAATTGAGAATTTTTCACCTTCATGTTTGTCATACTATAGGCTTTTCGCTCGGCATGTTCACCCATCTTCTTCTGCAAACGAATAACGTTTAAAAATATGGCCAGGTGGTTTTGACATTAAACTTATAAACTATCATTAAAATATAAGATATCTTACATGTACACACAAGCATTTCTTTAAAGTAGCAGTGATAGTACAGTATTGGGTATTATAATCAATGAACAAATGAAAGAACTTTCTTACAACCACTAACATGACTAAATCAAATTTGATAATTTGTAGGGTTGTACTTTTTCCGCGATTAAAAAAAAATATTCGATATTGAGGTTTTTACGATCTCATTCCTGCCCAGGATATGAATATTGAATAAGCATGAATCTATATAGCATGAAAAAAGTTTGCTTTATTAAAACTGGACAATCTACCGGTCGTTCTAGTTTTTGAAATGATTTAAAAACAAACAAACAAACAAACAAACAAAAACCTTTATGTCGCTATGTAAAAGTTTTTGTACATGTATTGTGCCAACATAGCTTAATGCAATGAGGATAAAAAAAAAAAACAAACAGCTGGAGCACCCACTGAATATAGAAAGAAAACATTTACACTCGTAGACAGATTGTCAATCGCTTTGAGATAGATACCAGGAGAGACAACTCGTTGCAAGACCTAGACTGAATCAAGGAACAGTTACTCAAAGATTCCTTATAAAAATCTGTTTCTATTTATAACCATTATCTTTTCTTTTCCTGGAAATTATATTTCAATTCAGAAGATTAAAACCATGCATCAAGTAAGTGTCATTTTAAAAGGTTTACTTTTTTTTATTAAAAATTCAAAATGCTAATGTAATACAATATTAAGTAAATAACTGAAGTGCATGAACAAAAGCACAATTAAAAAAAAAAAAAAATGTGTACAATGAAAAAAAGTGTAAGAAAAAAATCTCAAAATATCTATAATTTGTAATTCTACAGTAAAAGTGTAAAGCTCTGTTCAATAACAACTTCCACATTTTTTATAGTGAGCAACACTGTAATTATAAATAAACAACATTGTACTAATTCTTCTTCAAAAAAAAAAAAAGGGGGGGGGGGGATTTGGTACTTTTTCTTAATACTCAATTACTTTACAACATGCAGGATGACATTAAGTAAACACTTTTCTCTACTCAATCACAAATCAAAATTTTAGAAATTAAATAGAAATGACATCAAAAGTTTGTTTTAATTTAATGTCTATTGAACACTTGGAGAACTGATTACTGTAATAAAAGTCAAGTATGAACAAGGAAGGAATTTTCTAAAAACATGCACTGTATAGTACAAGTAGTATGTAATTATACTTTCAGAAATCCGTTACAAAAATCTCACAGAAAACCAATAAGTGGGTATTACCACAACAATGATAAATTTACACACACTATGTTGTTCCGTGTGAAATAATTATTCATGGTCAGTTTTAACAAATTTTTTTTTGATAATGCTACCAACGAATCATTCACAAACACATCTGTTGAAAAACCAAGACAAAACAAACAGAAGTCAAACAAGTAAAAGGGAATGAAATGAATTCACAAAATTATCCTCTATAATATCAGAGACTTGACTATAGAATATACATAAATTAAAATCCTTTGAGAAAACAGGTATATCTGTGAAAGCAACAATTACTGATCTAAAACTATGTCACTTTTTTAAAGAAAGAAAAGAAAGGAATTTCTATGCAACACTATTCATGTACATAAAATGAGTTTCTCCTCTGTCACAAGGAATATCATACAGAAACTGTAACAATACAGTTTGATTAGGAAAGTTTATTTTTTGTAATACTGTACTGATATTGCTGCTACAAAGTGAAATATACCAGTATTGCAATATTGCAGTTGAGTATTCTACAGCTTCAGTATATCACAAACACACCTCTCTCGGCAATACACCTCAGGCAAGAGTGTGGACTACAGTAATGACCTGATATAATTCTGAATCTGCAAGGGTTCTTGGATCCTGGTTTCATTTTATGATCTGGAGTTCTATTTTCATTATATGATATGGAGTTCCATTTCTCAATGGTAGTTCAGCTAGATTCCTTTTACAAATGTAATGATGCTAAACATCTCTTTCATTTGATTCCAGCTGATCCAATTTAATCTGACTCCGGATGATCAATCCTCTCCATGTAGCTAGAGAGCAGCTTAGCAATGTTTGGATGTTCAAATCTAATGGCCTCATCCAGTGGTGTGAAACCCCATCTGTCAAAGGGAAATAACTCATATTGTGCAATTGAAAAAAAGTTTTATTTTTAATACAAGAATCTTATTTTTGCAGAAGTCTCCCCGTATAAAAATTTAGTTTTTATGACTAATAACAGAAAATCATTATTTTATATTAACTAGAGGTACTGTGAGCAGGTTCACAATGTTATACTCCCCGCATCAATATTTTAAAAAAAAATGCCCAAACACAATTTTTTTTTAAATGTGACCTTGAACTTGCCAAAATTTCCTTGGTTAAGTAAAATGACATGCTCTGGACATAAGTAACGGTTGAGTGAAATATGGACATCAAGCATTTTTCAAATATATTATGGATCTAACATGAATTTTACACTTTTTTTGCCAGTGACCTTGAACTTGTCAGGATGACCTTGAACCCCGATCAAGGGGCCACAAATTTCACAATTTTGGAAGATTCCCTCTTGCTTATCATATCTATACACTTAATTTGTCTGCTAAATACACAGGGGGAGAGAAGGATTTTTCAAGAATTTATGCATTTCACTGCAAGATCTTTTATTAAAATTAGTGACACACTACTAGCTATTAGAAATGTAAATGTGACATATATTACCAGCTATAATTAGGAATATTAATGTGTCAGATTACCAGCTGCACTATTTTTTTTTTGGAGGGGGAGGGGAGTTACCTGTCTTTGACATTAACCATGACACCACATTTCTCCAACAGGAAGCGGACAGCTGCTTCCTGTCCCTCGGCTGCCGCTACATGTATCGCTGTTCTACCATCATAATCAGCAGTATTCATGTCTAACCCCAGTAAGTAGTATCTATGAGGAAAATTGTAAAGATCTCATTTTTTTTTTTATCTTAGAACACAGAACTTTTACAGAGAATTATACAGAAAATGAATGTGATCGTTTTGAAACAAGCAAGTCATAAGCCTAGGTGCTGATGAACTAAGCTTATATACAAGATACGTAACTACTAAAACTGAAAAACTTCAATTTGTGTAATTTACCGATATTTTTAAAAATATGTTGAATTAAAAAAATATTTATAATAAGGACGAAATAACAGAGCTTGCTCTGAAGCAATTAAGAAGACTTTCCTGGCTAAAATGTCAGTTTGTACCTCCTCAGTGCTGATACATCTCCATTGAAAGCCCCAAACAATATATTTACAACATCCTGTGAAATAGAATCCATTCTGTGGCGAGTTGGATCCATCTTTTTTTCTGTGTGCTTCAGATTGTCATAGTTATGAAAGTTGTACACGTTTACGAGTTCCTGAAAAAAAGTGTAAATGGTAATCAACTCTTAAAAATCACCCATTGATTCAAAATCTGACATATTTTCTAATAATTCACACATTGATTTTAATACTAGGTATACATGTTGCTGTAAATACAGAGAGGCCAAACAATTTTAATTATAAATTAATTCTTCTACATTATCAAATATATAATATGTCTGTCACATAAACTTTAAACAAAATTAACAAGATATTTCAGTCAATCTTCATAAATTGTGACCAGAAAGAAAATGCTGCAATGTAAGGCAATATCTTTTCCAGTCTTCTAACCCCTGTTTAATACCACTGAATCCCCCCCCCCCCCCAGGCCTCCCTATGACATCCCATACCCTACCTGACAGAACTGGATGCCCCTGCAACTATTTCCCCACTTGTCAAGAGGTGGTGACCACAAACAGATTCCCATTACGTTTGGTACCACAAGTAGAACTGTCCCAGATACACCAGATTTTGCTGGAAGTCCAACCTGTAGAAAATTTTCAAATGAAAAAATAAATGGTTTATTAAAGAATGAATATGGCCGCATACATCCTCCGGACCACGGAGATGATAAGAAGGTAAGTAAAAGAATAAATCAAGTGCATTCAAAAATATATTCTAGATTGGTGTTGTAGAGTTCTTTAGAAGGACCTCCAAAAAGTGCACATCTATATACATTTGTACTAACAGTCCCCATCAAAAAGGGTCTTATATGGGATTCCAGACATACATTTCCTCCATTTATTTCATAAGGAAAGAAAAAAATCATCTTTTTAATTTAAATATCATTGCAAAAATGCAGAGAATTGCTGCGAGACCTACCCTGAAGGCAAACTCCCCAGAGTAATCATACATTCCACAAGAGTGCATGAGTGACAATGTGTTCCTGACCGCAGCAGAACTGAAGACCCTCTCCCCCGTCATCGGACAGATGCCACCATTGGCCAGAGTGGAAGCAATGACCGAGGCCGATTCACAGGTCACTTCTATGGAACACAGCTTCAAAACACAAATACAGTGGAGAAGTTTTACTTTTTTTGTTTTTATCTAATTACACATCTTTCTGAATACTGTAGTTCACCAAATTTTTGTGACATTATTTCTTTGATATAAGTATTTGGTATTTGTAAGTGCAGAGGCAATATTTTCACTAATTCTAGATATTGTTGTATTCCATGTAATCTACAACTAAATAAAAATATATGCAAGTATAAATTTTTGCAAGCAGACTGTCTTGCATAATTATGCAAAAATAAAGTTCATGCAAGTAAAATGTTATTTATAGTACAACCAAAACTTATTACCTGGGTAAGTGACTGAAGCATTATGTGCAGGTAAAATAAGAAATGTTTTGGACAGTTATGACAATAATTCACAACATTCATTAATTGCTTCTCCTACTTAAATCCTTACTTGGAAATAGAAATCCATTACTTCATGTAGTTTTGTCCCTTCTGGGAAGCACTGCCAAAATAAAGAACAAAATCTTATACATCAAGGGAAAATATACTCTTATTTTAAAGTAATTCAGAGACTCTGTGAAAGAAAAGCACAAACTGACACACAAGTTTTTTTTTCTTTAAATCAGAATACTAATGAGAGCAAGGAGTAAAACCAATAACTGAAAACTTTTTACTCCTTGATATTAAGACCAGTCTTCCAAAGTCAATTCTAAAGGGATCTCTTTTCACACCACTTCTGTACTTAAGATTTATAGTTATATTATTTTCCATCACCATAAGTACCTTGTTTTCTCTCATATAGTAAGCAAGGGCAAAATTTCTGTCAGCAGTTTCTCGTTCTGATAAAAATCTGTAAAAAAAATAAAAGTGAAGAAAGATATAAAACACAAAATATCATGTACATGTGATATTATTCCATTGAGAACTTCCAATCAATAAAAAACACTTTCTCTTCTTAACCAATAGACTTAAGGAATCACTGTCTAGTTAGTAGAGTATGCCAGGGCATCAAAGATAGTTGGAAACATGGGATAATTTGCATAACGGGCAAAGCCCATTATGCATAAATTATCCCACGTTTCCAACTATCGTTGATGTCCCTGGCATACTCTACTAACTAGACAGTGATTCCTTATATTTCCATTTCATTGTGAAATAAAATTGTAAAATTAGACTTTAAAAATGTAGACTAATAGATTTAAATTACACAAGTCCTCACATGTCAATTTCAATAGTCCCCGCCCACTGACGTCAAACACAAAGACAGCCGCATGAGAATTACATGCATATTAGGCCTCCTTAGAGTTAGACACAAAGACAGCCGCACGAGAATTACATGCATATTATGCCTTCTTAGCTACTGAACTTTCGCTTAGCAAAATTTGCATTCCGTTAGAATGATCAAGAAATCAACTCTCCTACTTTTCAAAGAGTTATTACAGAGAAAACAAATAGAAATGGAAATATATATATTTGAAATCTTATAAAGAGCCAGCAGTGAGAAATTTTGTTCATTTATCAGTCATATCCTGAAAAATTACTATTATACATATTTATTGATGCTTGCATAGGTGCAATCATCAGTGTCAATCATTAATGCAAAACAACATTTGTGGTCCTGTTGTTTTCCTCAAGAAGTACATACAAATGTATTCTTATTCAAAACCCTGAATCCTGCTATCCCTTTTTCCCTTGACCTACTAGGCAACACTCTAACATTACACTTGATAAAGATATTTGATATAAAGATGGTAATTTTGGTACTATTGTTTCAGGGAGATTTTTTAAAATAACATCTCCTGTATTTCCTACATACAAAATTATTCTGCACTACATCTGAATGCTTGTTATCAACTTGAATGATCACACTGCTCTCAGATTAAAGAAAGTTTTCAAGAATTTTTTCCTCATATTCCAATGCATACCAGTAATTTGAACCCCTTTTGTGGCCCCATCCTCCCTCTTGTGTAAAGACTTGAACAAGTTTGAATCTGCACTACACAAGGACGTTTGCATATTATTTTGACTAATCAAAATCCTGCTTTTCTAGACAAGTAAGCTTTTTAAAATTTTTCTGAAATATTCCTAGTGTGTAAAACTTGAACCCTCATTTAAGCCTAAATATTTACATTTCCAATGTCTTTGTCCGAGATAAAATTACAAATTCTAAAAATACTTTATTTCTACATAAATCTACTGGTTCATTGATAGGCGCAGTTAAAAAAAATCATGTGCGGGGCGGGACAAATAGAGACAGAAGCGGGGCTATTAGCACGGGAATTTGCAGAATCAGGAGCATGTAAATATAAGGAATATCTGTCAGATTTTTTGGATTCATGACGATGATCAATCGATTGGCTTGCGTGATAATTTTATGCATAAACGCCTTTGGTGTTTATGCAAATTATCACGCAAGCCACTCGATTGATCACATCATAATTCAAAAAATTAGACAGTAATTCCATAATTACATTATTGTAGGCCCTGGTCATGACTTGAACAAAATCATTTTGCATTACTTGGGGAAAATCCTTAAAATCAGTTTCCTGCATGTGAAAAAATGTAATATACTAGCAAATTGGACATTTCCCAGGCTTTTACCCTTGTAATTAAAAGGTACATGGACATGAAAGTAATTTTGTATCTATGTAAGTACTTTGTTTATGTATATGTATACAGCTAAATTAACTTACACTGCATTGTTGAAGGATAGATATTCTCCCCCTGTCATTTTGGACATCATCTTTGATATCTATAAGGAAAAGATCAGCATTAAAAAGGTTTTCTCTCTTTCAAAACAACTAATTTGATCGACCATGAATTAAAAATTTAAAGAAAATTAAAATAAAGTACATTACATTAAAAAGTTCTTTACAGTTCAAAAAGTTAAGTATTGCAACTTTTTTTTTTTTTTTTTCGCAATTTTACATTCACAATTTTAGAGGTGTTGAAGGTTATTTGCACTTCAAGACCACAAGAATCGACTGCAAAGAAATTGTGACACCAAATTCTTATGTCTCCTAATATTGCCCAGCTTTACACATCATTCAAGTACATCTTCTACAAAAGTAATTTTTTAGCATGCGGAAGGCAGTTTTTCAAGTGAATGTCATCAAAACAAATTCTATTGTTTTGGAGAATCTAAAAAGAAGGGATTCATGTGGTTCAACCTGTGAAAACATGTATACCCTACAAATACATTACCCAATCAAATCTATCAGGGAGAGACAACTCTGGCTTCAAAAGAGAACTGACAATGATGGCTCCAGAGTTAATCATGGGATTGTGTGGTTTATCTGAAACATTTAAAGCAATATGATGAGCATTTTGAAATGTAACAAGCTCACACAATAAACTTATTAATTAAATTTAAAGTTTGAATTTGAAGTCTACTTTGTAATAAGACAATAACTACAAAATGGATATTAACTCAATTTTCATAATAAAATTCATGCGTAAAGACTCATAACAATAGAATCAGGCTTTGGGCAAATTACATGGTAATGCATTACATTACCATTTCTTCTAGAATTTGGGCATTAAATTGCCATTACCAGCAATTTATTTTCTTAAACCCCTGTCACACCAGGGCTGCGTCCTCAGATCAAGTCTCCTACAGCATTGCAAGAACTGATAGAACTCGGTGGGATCTCCAAGTGATGTGGTTGGGTCACCTACTGGTAGAATTTCATGCTACAGTGCACACTTTGAGCATGCATGACTGCAGGTGTCTCTGCGTTCCACTGCAGGTGTCTCTGCATTCTGATATAAATGCAGCAGGAATGCTATAGGGTCACTGTAACAGCACAGTAATATCTCCAACAGTCAGTGCATTGTGAACACAGTGAAGGAGAAGTGACAACTCCTAGCATGTCATGAGCACTCAGTGGGAGTGCAGCTAGTCAGTTAGAACTCACCAGGAACATAGTACCACATTGCATGAGATCCGTAGAAATGCCTTGGACACCATCAAGATGCTGTGACATCTTTATTTTTTGAAAATTTCATTGAATTTTCCTGATATTCCATGATGATCCAAGAAATTTAACAACTCCATGCCAACTCTTTGTGAACATATATAGCCTTGTGTGACAGGGGCTTTAAAGTAATGCATTACATTACCATTACATTTGTTAAGTAATGCATGTAACCATTACTTTTTGGTTTGATATGCAAAATGTATGCAACTACATATATTTTATTCAGAGGTGAGATAAAAATTTCAGCATCTTACAAAAAGCTCAATTCACATTTTTCATCAAAACTAAATGTGATGAACGATTGATTTTAATTTGATTATCAAGTACTAGTATTTTACACTGTTAATAACTCATACTTCTCTAATTCTTACCCATACAATTACTGTATATTCCTTATTCTATGTGAGATATCCCAAAATATATACATTTCCAATAAATTTCCCCTATGATTCTTTACAAAATAGAAGACTGTTCATTTTCTCATGAACTAATATGGATGAGCATGAATATCTCCATTGTTACCTCATAATACCATACTTGACGTCAAAACTGTATTGTAAACTGTTTTTTGCTTTAAAAATGACAGTTGAATGGTGTAATTTGTGGCAAGTAATCAGAAAAATGATGTAAATATAAGTAATGAATTTAATTTTTGAAAATTCATGAGGTACATACATGAACTACAATGCTTCACGCCGGCATAATTCTCATGAAGTGCTAACACGCTTCATGAAATATGCCGGCGCGAAGCGTCGTAGTTCATGTCCTCATGAATCTTCAAAAATTAAGTTCATTTCTTAAATGTCTTGTAGAATCATGGCGAGAACATGAATTCACAAGGGTCAAGAGAATTTACAAGCATTTAAACTATAAGAATAGGCGGTTGATTATATTTTGCGAGTGATGCTTCTTGCAAAACTGCTTGATAATAATTCCTTGCATATATTTAGGAATCTTAGTACCAAGAACATAAAATCTCACGTACAATATGCACTTTTTGTGCAATTATCAATGTCGGACAACAAAAACTTTTGAGGCTCTTTACCTCCCTACCCCTACCAAGTTAGATTTTTTTTTAAATCAGACATTGATCTTTTGATCTTGTCCATTTTGAGACAAAATTCAACACACTGGCAAGTACAAGGGGATAGAAGGATCTACACTTTACTTTAAAAGTAGCATCTCTGACTTCTATTCCTTTTGGTTCAAGGGATTTGTCATATCAGCTCCAGCTAGACTGGTTCTTAAACACGGCTAGGAAATAGGGATTAATATGTTAGGCACTTCTCAAAACAGTACATTGTTTGGACTGTTACACAATACTAGAGGCATTGTGTGTGGTGTTGTCACAGAGTACCATTAATACGTGTAACCCCTCACTGGAATTAATTTTAAAAGGAATTTTTAAACTCTCTTGAGTATTCTTTTTAAAGACAAGGCTTATCAAAAATAACTTTAATGAGTATGAAAATTCAAATGTGAAGTACTTGTAATTTAAATAATATTATAAAAGTGAAAGTTTCTTTTAAAAATACAAAAACTAAGTTTATTTCAATAAGTTAAATTGTTTATTTTTATTGATTTAATAATATAAATCATTTAATCTTAAAGATTACCATATCCATTTAAATTCTTTATTATTTTTTTTATTTAAGAAAATGATTATACACAAAAGATTGCATTGTTATGCTGTGCAATTCCAGATTTACACTAGATTTCAGAAAGTAATGCATTACATTACCATTACGTTTTGGCATTAGACATTACTTAAAAAAAATCCATTGCAATGCATTACCATTACATTTAGCATTCCTCCAAGCCAGGATAGAATGGATTCAAAACTTCACAAAACAGTATCACATAGCATTGCCAATTTTTTGTTCAATACACATCCCAAAAGGATGAAGGCATTCAGATAAAAGAGGATGCCACTGTTTCTTGAATACTGGTATAATTACATGTATGTACTTATTTCTAGATTTCCATACTTTGATAATCAAGTGAGATTTCGTTGAAGCTCCTCCCACTGGGTTCGTGACCCACGTATTTGTGAATCCGTTCAATGTTCTCATCAGAACCAGTACTTTGTACCATACAGTATGTTAATGGCTTGCTGCAGGACTGGATAGAAAAGGGAATACTTGTGTCTCCATTGGAATACCTAAAATTTAAAAAAAGACACAATAAAATACTGTAATCATTTTTATCATAAATTGTAATGGAGAATCAATCAAATCTATACATGTACATGTATTATCTTTGCAACACTGAAAATAATTAAAACCATATGTAACAGCTTGCAGAAAAATATGTTCCACGCGATTAAATACTTAGTTGTGTAAAGCTTATAAATGCATTCTATTTCTATTTCGCTGGATTGAAACAAATATTAATTTGCATTGATCGATAACCCCAAATATTATTTTACATGAGAGATGGTCAATGCCAATGAATATATTGTCGAGTATATTTTATACATTTATTAGTTCTGGTGAAATGTAACATTTCATACATGTGTTTAATAACAAAATTAACGATTAAAACACTTGTAGACTCATATTCCCAGGTGTTGAGTGTAAATTTTCTTGAATAAAATTTTGCTGAAAATGTGAAAAGATCATGTAAGCCACCTTTACAGTGGTCAAAAAGAGGGATTAATGTCTCAACAAAACTATAGGGCCAAGACTGCAATTATTAAACCTTACATTCAACATTAAACTTTTTAGGAGGTTTTTGAACTCATCATTTTTTACCTTTGGCCATCAACAGTACAAATTGACACTCCCCAGAAATCTGGACTGTATCTTGCTAGTTGTGGAATATAAGAAGCTACCTGTGAAATAAAAAAAAAAAATCTGGGGATATCTGGTGATTCCTAAAAGTCTTTCTTCGTGACTTGCAAGAAATAATATGTTTTAATATCTACAACTATTAAATAAGAGCACACTGCACATTACAACCTATATCAAACAGTCCAATTTTTACAGACATACTGAGGATTCCTAAATACTGTATACAGGGAAGTTTTTGCCCCCCTTTTATTTTCACCCCTTTCTCTCTAGACACAACTGGGTGAATTTAAGACGGAGTGAAATTGTTTGCAAGTGTGAAAGGGCGAAAATAACATAGGGCAAAAATAACCCTGTATACAGTATATCAAAGAATTTATTATCATGTCAACACTGTGGAATCATCACTGATGGACCAATGTTCATGGATTTTGTGAGTCATCCTTATCCACAAATCTACATCCCCACGAACAATTATTTTGTAAACATATTGATTCATTGAATCTAGTGTATAAGCGAGGAACCCACGATTTACGTCCCCACGAACAAGTAAAATTTTGCTTGCCCATGAACAATGACCCCCACGAATTAAAATGATTCCACAGTACATGTATATGTCATATGAAATTTCTCACTTTTCTTTTTGTACATGTATTGACAAAATACATATACATGTAAAAAAATTTTGATCAACCATCTTTCCACTTGTGAATTCATGCATGTTCTTCCAATTTGACATCTGTCAGTCATATTGTGATATAATGAATCTACAGTACTAACAGCCAGGTAGACAGACAGACAAAGTACTGTAATCATATTACATTTGGCTTTGTATTCTTTTTAGCACTTTGGAGGAAAACTTCCACTAAATCAAGTACAATGCTAAATGTCTTGCACAAATACACACATATACATTGTATAAGAACATTAAGAAATGCGCTATTCTAAGCTAATGTGTTCAAAAATCAATTTCCACCAAATATCGTACATATAATACATTTACAGTATGTACTGTACCGTTCCATTTGTGTTGTTTCGACAGTTTCTATATATCTTGTCAATCTCCTGTTTGAAGCCCTGCCATTCAGGAATGATGAAGTCATTTTTCATGGCCTTACTGATCAGAATAATATTATCCTGGATGCATCTACAAAAATCATATGGTAGTGTAATTATTTTCCAATAAATGGCAATACAGCAAAGATTTTAAACAATTACAATCACTTGAATTTAAATTAATCATATAAGTGCATAACTGCAATTTTCATCCATGTTTTTGTGCTTAATATTTGAACAATTTAACTGACAAGTGTTGATTTTAAAATGGACAAGTGCTGCTAAGATTTTTCATTTTTCCCCCTTAAAAAATAAAAAAGCAATTTAATTGTCATTTATATGTATGGGAAGTAAAATATAAAAAAGAATGAATTATTTAATGATACATGTATATAAAATACAAATACATGTACATTATAACAAGAAATGAAAATGTTTATCTTTAGTTTTCTTTGGTGAGACTGTACACTTTATATTTTATGGTGCCAATTTGATAATTTTTAAATTTAATTCTTAACACTGACTGAATAACCAGTTAACCATAGAGGTCATATTTTTATACCAAGTTAATCTACATTTTTAAAACTGCTATTACCTCTTGACACAATTTTGGCAAAATAACATAGTGGTTTAATAAATGAAAAATTATTATGGCAGAAGTAATTAGCCTATTCAGTTATTTTTGACAGGAGACAAATATTTAGATAACAAAATCACAACTGACACATGTTTTCTTTAAAGCTTGCAGTTCTTTTGATTAATATGGTCTTTAAACACCACAACTGACATTTTGCATCAATTTTGAAAAAAAAAATGTTATCTTGGTCAGCTTATCAGGGCAAAACTGTATAATTACTAATTTTATAAAAACTAAATACATATTAGCGTGATACTGATATTGCATAATTAAACTTTAATTTTACATGTTTGATTATCATTAGGCAAATTTTATTTTATTATCATTAGTTTTATTATTATTATTTTTTTTATTGCAGACAGAGGGCTTCTGCAGAAGACTTGGAAGAACCAACATTTCTCCTTTGAAAATAGAAATTTAAGCTACAATAGGTTGATATCCTCAAAACTGCTTGTGTTTCACTGATGAACACTATTTGCACCATTTGTTCTGTTTATTCAAATACAGAATTAAATGGATGATAAAATGCTAGAAAAGCAAAGTTTGAGTTTTTTTTAAAATTTTTTTTTTACGAATGTTGGTATTTCCCAACTTTCCCCAAAATGATGGTAATTTTCCCAATTTGAATGACCCTGGCCACAGTCCAAAAAAGTGGTGTGAGAGCCCTGAATTAAAATAATTATTCTTCTGCACCCAGTAGTGTTTCTGTGCTATCAAGAAATTTAAAAAAAAATATTTGTATGTTTCAATTGATGTAATGAATATATCCCACAAGTGTGCAGTGTTGGCCCATCAGCATTAATGTGGGAGGAATAAGATATCACAATTAGAGCAAGACCATAACCTTATATAGAAAAGGAAGATTTTTGGAAATAAACATGAATATTAGACCAAGAAAATTCCATGGACATGAGATCTGTTGAGATCATATATTATGAATATTTGATTATCATGGATCCAAAGTAAAGCAAAATCAGACTCTTTGTTTAAAATACAATATACATTAAATAGGTAATAACAAATATATTCCTAACTTTCCTACGTACTGTATAATTATAATGAAAAATGTGAAGATAACAACAGTAATCAATCTCAAAATTAATCTCTAAAGTCTTCCATTGAGTTTGTTTGTTGTTTAACATCCCTCTCAAGAATTTTTCACTCATATAGAGACGCCACCACTTGCCGGTGGAGAGCTGCAAATTTTGACCTATACTCGGCACTCAGGGCCATTGAGCAGTGAGGAATCTTTTTCATGCCAGCACCTACTGCGACACGGAACCTCGGTTTATACGGTAACATCTGAAGGATCGGTCTCCACATCCCACAGTGGGACTCTAACTCACGACGTAAGGATCAACTCCTAACTTCGCGACTCTAGAGCAAGCGCTCTGATCACTGTGTCACGCAGGCCACTCTTCCATTGAGATGAGTCTCAGAGTACCTTTTATTTATCATAATTTTTTTTTCATTAGTACATGTGCAGATCATGTTATTTCTTGTTTAATAGCTCAAGTAAAGATGCTTGAAAAATACTCTATACAATTACATTATAATTCTAAGTTATGTGTATGTGTGGTCATGACATATGGTCCACACAGAAAATTTAGTAAGGTTTAAACAGTAATATATATTGAAGTGATAAGGAGATCGAAATACATAATTACCAGTACCCTGTTATCATGTTCAATCTATCAATTGGAAGTTAGCAAATGGTCAATGATAATCTTTGCAAAAGGTTAAAACATTGTTTTATAGGTTGTAACATGCAGTTATAAACATAACCATAGAATTCCAATTAATTCATTATTTAAATTAATCTCAAAAAGTGTTAACTTTATGGTGTCATTATGTGAACATTAAACTGCAGGAAATATAAGCTGTATATAAGCATTTATTTACTCTTTGAATGCCTTTTTATCCAGAGTAAATCCTCCGTACTGATCCGTACTTTTGTTCTCATGGTCGTAACGAGAAAGGACATTTTCAAAATTGTTCATGCATTCCTTCAGCCTGGGGTCTGTGTCTTTCAGCCCTGAGAAGGCAAGCACCTGTCCCAAAAATAAATCCTCTGCATGTTAAATACATCGACAGAAAGACCATAAATATATTATTTAATACATGTGATATAAGTAAAGTAAGTAAGTAAAGAAGCTTTCAGTGATGCCCATTGAAAAAGATTAAGATAGAATTAGATAGAAAATGATAAAAGTAACTGTCATTTGATGATTAGAACTTAGAAATTATAGTCCAATTGCAATTCCAAGCTCTAGATGTATATAGCTCAATATATTACAAAAATATTTAGTGCATGTATTACAGAATTATTAAAAAGCTCAATCAACTCAAATTCATCTAGCTAATGTATCTTATATGTAAACTCACAGATTTAAACTTGGCAACTGAAACTCTTCCATTTGAATCTGCAAGAATTTCAAAAAGTCTCTCTTCAAATTGGTCTGTATTCCACTCAGCATCAGAACTGTAAGAAAAAGGAAAGTAAAAAAATCATCAAACATTTCAACTTCACACAGGAATTTATGAACTATAACTTTATGGGATACCCACTGCTGCATGGTCGACGCTCTGAGGATAACAGTGGGTGTCAAACGATTTCAACATGATGACATTTCAATACTCTTTATATTTGTACTTTAATGGATAAAATCGTGTTCTCGATTATTAACTTAGAAAAATGAATGTGTGATAGCTGAACAGGATATACATGTACATGAATACATGTCATTTGGTAATATATAAACTAATATATTTAAAGTACATAAAATGGTACATAAATATTTTTACGGAAGTTAAAAAATTCTGATTTCCCTTGGTTATGGACATATATTGTTTTATATGATGTCAATAAGATGTCGTGTGTATAATATTAAATGGTATGTCTTTCTTACACCATGTACACTTTATTTTACTTTTTAAAATGTATTCACAATCTTAGCAATACATTCAAGATTTATTATTTTGTAACTTCATTCAACAAAAAAGTCCATTCTGTACATTTTCTTGATGTAATAAACTTTAACAATTAACATACATACCTGCACAACTATATGTCAGGCTCTTACATCTTCATTTACATAAAGGCATAGAGGAATGTGTGGTGTATGCATAATTTTTAATATTTACCAAGTGGTTTTACAAATGAGAGAGAGAGAGAGAGAGAGAGAGAGAGAGAGAGAGAGAGAGAACAACATCTCATATCACATTCCAATTCAAGAAAGTTTTACAGTCTTCCCTTAGGGATTGAAGTTCGACCTTTTAAAGGTTGTACATACAGTCAAACCTTGTTATTTCAAACTTGATTGGACTGAGAAAATACTTCCAGATATCTGAGGATTCAAGATATCCAGGGTAAAATATTTAAGAAATAAGCGCTTGGGACTTCAAAGTCACTTCGACATATCCAAGTATTCCAGATATCAGTGTTTGATACCAAAGTTAACTGTATTATCTGTTTAATGCAAATAGATTATTGAAAAAAAATACTCAGTATCAATCAATTCTAAATTGTAAAATCTTAGCTTACCTCTGAAGTTTAAAAATTGAGTCCATGAAGAGAATACTATTCTATGCTTAGATTTCAAAATAATTTCTAAATTCATAAATTCCACTACTGTAATTCTTAATTTAAAATTTATACAGGTGTTTGGTTTATTGCCTGTGGGTGCTGAGTTCCTGTTTATTAATCTTAAAGTGTACATGTAAATAACAAGAGGTTCATGGACCAAAATGCTCACCTGAGTCACCTTGGCCAGGCTGTTTTTCATCAAATTTTAAAAGAATTTTTCCTTTTGAAAAAAAAGAGTGTGATAAGATCTTTATACTTGAACAAACTTAAATCCCTTCACCCAAAGATATTTTGTGGCCAATATGTTGAATTTGGTCTAGTCCAGGAGTGGTTTTTGAGAAGAAGTTGAAAATGTTATAAGTTTACAGACGTATGGACAGATGCCAGAGAAAATATGATCAGGAAAGCCCACTTGAGTGTTCAGCTCAGCTCAGGTCAGTATGCTCATTACTCTGATTAGGTCTAAACAACTTTGATTTGCTTAAGGTCCCATAGTGAATTTTTCACTTAAGAGGCCACCAATTGCCAGTGGTAAACTGCAAATTCAGACCTTTGTCTGGACAAATATTTGCCGGGTTTGCTTTAAGTTAATTATGAGGTTATTGATCAATTAAAATATGTACTGAAATGAAGTAAAGTATGTGTCTAAGAGACCCATTCTTCTGGCCCAAAACTAATTTAAAGGCCATGAATTTTCATAATTGCATGCACATTTTATTCAGCACTCTCTACCATCGGCTCATACATTCACCTCTGTCATTGGCTCACGTATATCACAGTGATAAGCACAAGAAATAGTGCGTTTCTTTTAATTCATTATAATTAAATGTCTGGGGTAATGATAGTCCTTAAAGATAGATATTTACTAAATAGATCTAAAACTATTGGTTTAATTTAAAAATAATCCTTGAAATGTTATGTTTTTTACATTATGTCAAAAATCTTGACGCGAGCCCATTGCAGAGGTGTCTGAGAGAGGAACGAACGACAACTCTGCATAGGAGATTGTTTATTCAGCTCAAAAGGACATCTGGCAAGTGCAGCCTTTGACTCATGTGAGCTAAAACTCGAAAAGTAATTATACCACGATCAAAATTAATTAATTTCTTTATCTCACTCTCTGTCTTTGCGATAGCTTATTTAAAGGTTTTTACTTTGCAGTATTAGTTTCAGTTACATGATTGTATACAATGACAAAAGTGATTACAGTGAAGTTTATTACATCATACTGCATCTCATTACCATAAGTGCCAAGGTAAAAATTAGCAGGAATGTCCTATATGATCCTATTTTAAGATGTTTAAGCTCTAATTTACATTTAAAATATATTAATATTTTTTTGACTACTGTTTTTATCTTTTGTTTTTCTCTCTTTGGAAAAAAAAATTTTGAATTATCATGATTATTCTAATCTTTTGTTTTTCTCTCTTTGCAATTGGTAAAAACATTTTGAATTATTCTAGTCTTCCAAGAAAATATCTTGACTTGAATAACTTGCAGTAACATGCTTTTTAACTCTATAGGAATTTCTTTGACTTACATTCTGCGAAGACTTAGTCTCCTACAAGAATCGCTTAACATACTGTACTCCATATTTATTATGTAATAACACATGGGATCTAATCATAGCTGAGGGGTAGTTCAGACAAAATAGTTCTTTTGCAGTGGAGAATCCATTGGGCTGGATCAGTACCGGTAATTGCTACATGTACATCTATATTGATAAATACCTTTACGATGCCCACATATTAACATGGAACCTCCAAATATCTAAAATAACTTCTTTTTTTTAAACTTTGATAAAGAATATTTCCCACTTAAACACAGTCAAACCTTGTTATCTCGAACTCGATGGGACAAAGAAAAATCTTTGAGATATCCTAGGGTTCGATATATCAGGGGTAAAATACTTAAAGAATTAGTGTTTGAGACTTCCAAATCACTTCGACCTATCCATGGTATTCGAGATATTAGTGTTCGAGATACCAAAGTTCAACTGTATCTTTATATTACAGGATTTGGTAACTGTCTTTTTAAAAATTTCAAGAGGAGGTTCCCTTATATCCCCCTTCCCCCAACTTGCGGAAAATAAATTTCTCCATAAGATGCAGTTTTGAAAAATGATTTCTTTGATTTATAGTTTTTTTTAATGCTTGTATAATATTAAATATCATCACATTGTTACTCCTTTATACAGTGGATATAGCTCACAGGATATTGTTTTCATATCCACAGTTGTGATGTCACAATGATTTTTGCATGAATTTGATCAATTATAGTCAAATATTGTGGATTTACAAGTATACAGCGGTGTAAAACATAAAAATGACTGTGTAAAACATGTGATAAAAAGAATCTTCCATGGTTTGTGGTTGGATACGATTTTTTATTCAACTCATTGAGTGTTTTTATCCCCTCACCAAGACTCAGGGATAAAAACACAACAACACACTGGATAAAAAATCATAACCAACCACAAACCATTGGAGATCCTAATTGTCTCTAAATAAGTCATGAATATGAACAGTTCACAAACAGGAAAGCATAAGTTATGAGAAGTATTAAATTGGAATGGGCACTGCATGACTTTCCTATGATCAAAAAAAAAAAAAGAGAAATCAACTGATCATTTATAAATACGGGTGTTTCTAAAATACTGACCATCTAAGATTGAAAATTAAATCAATTTTGAACCAATAATAATTGGTTTTTCATACTGATTTTAAATTTAAACAAGAGGCCCATGGGCCACATCGCTCACCTGAGCACATTGGCTTGGCAAAAGCACAAATCAGTTCAGTATTGAACATGTTGAAAAGATTGGGGGGGGGCTTGAATTTTAAACTACCGGATGATGCTTCCATGTCAATATAACAAATGGCTTTGTTGTACTTGAGATTTAAAAAAAAAATTCCCATATATTCCTTTGTAAAAATTTGATCCCCCATTGTGGCTCCTCCCTATCCCAGGGGTCATCATTTGAACAAACTTGAATCTACACTACCTGAGGATGCTTCCATATCAATATGACTTAACATAGCTTTTCTGTTCTTGAGAAGAAATATTTTTCCTATATGTTCTTATGTAAAAATTTTTACCCCGCATTGAGGCCCGACCCTATCCCCAGAGGTCATTATTTTAACAAACTTCAATCTACACTACCTGAGAATGCTTCCATATCAAAATGACTAATCATGGCTTTGCAGTTCTTCAGAAGGAGACATTTTCCTATATATTTCTATTTAATCCTCATTTGTGGCTCCACCCTACCCCCGGGGGTCATGATTTGAACAAAACAGAATCTACCCAACATGCGGATGCTTCCATATAAATATGATTCATCATGGCTTTGCTGTTCCTGAGAAGAATATTTTTAAAGGTTTTTTCCTATATATTTCTATGTAAAACTTTGATCCTCCATTGTGGCCCCACCCTACCCCCGGGGGTCATGATTTGAATAAATTTGAATCTACACTACCTGAGGATGCTTCCATATTAATATGACCAATCAGGGCTTTGCTGTTTCTGAGAAGAAGATTTTTAAAGGTTTTCCCTATATATTTCTATGTAAAACTTTGATCCTCCATTGTGGCCCCGCCCTACCCCCGGGGGTCATGATTTGAACAAACTTGAATTTACACTACCTGAGGATGCTTCCATATAAATATGACTCATCATGGTTTTGCTGTTCTTGAAAAGATTTTTCCTATATATTTCTATGTAAAACTTTGATCCTCCATTGTGGACCCGCCCTACCCCCGGGGGTCATGATTTGAACAAACTTGAATCTACACTACCTGAGAATGCTTCCACATGAGCTTCATCTTTCCTGGCCCTGTGGTTCTTGAGAAGAAGATTTTTAAAAGATGCTATTAATTTTTCACGAATTCTTTATTATCTCCCCTTGAAAGAACAAACTTGATTCCCCTTCACCCATGGATACTCTGTGCCAAGTTTGGTTGAAATTGACCCAGTAGTTTTGGAGAAGAAGATGAAATTGTGAAAAGTGTACAACGACAACAACGCCTTCGGCTCAGGTGAGCTAAAAAGCCATAAATTTCTACACATAGGGATGTGAATAGTAATTAGACATTAATTAAGAAATTTTACACTTCAACTACTTTTCATATTGATGAGAAGGTGCACCAGAAAGGTCTCACAAACTTAAATGATGTGACAAGATATTAATAGCATGAATATTAAGTGGTACTTCAGAAATATTAGACTAGACAATTTTTCCATGCTGTATACTAAGTTTTTACGCAATATATATGCAAAGCATATGGGGAGGATTATATTACAGCATATATGCATTCTGATAAATTCATTATACTCAAACAAACTTTTTATTATTTAGAAGAGAAATGCAGTATGTGTATATACTAGATAATAGATATATTCATAATTTTCAACACACAAACATGTATCTCTAAATCAACTGGACGTTTTGTTGATGTCAATTTCAGATTTCATTTATTGTGTAAATATCACCTACTTTCAAAAATGTTGATTTTTAAAACAAATAAAATAACATTTAGTTTACTGTATCAAAGGGTTATTATAGCCCCGTGTAATTTTCGCCCTTTTGCACTTGCAAACAACTTTGCCCTGTTTTAAATTTGCCCAGTTTGTTTAAGAAAGCTCACATTGACGGTTGGATTAGGTATACCAGGTACACACACATTGGTGCCTCTCTGATAGTACAATCCACACTTTGCAAAAGATGTGTCCCTTTGTAGGGTCACCAAAAGGTCGAAAAGGAAAGAAAAGACATTTCTCCTCTTTACACTACCAAACATTTGGACAGGTTCTGCGAAATCCACTGTGCTTGATTTTTTTTCTTTCATGTATGGGTTTATTCTCATCCTGGAGCAATCGATGCACAGATTTTTTTGCAGTCAAATGACAGATCAGTTACAAACAAGGAAACTACAAAAGCTACTGAGAGGATAATATGGGGTTTTCCCCAGGAATGGCAGCCAATTAAGGGACATAACTTTTGAAAAGTGTGGATTCATCTATTATTTCAAACATGTAAGGCTACAAAAAAATGTGTGTTTCGGATAACCCGACCGACCCTAATTTTTACCCACTGACCCTACTTTATTCCAAATCTGGATTTAGAACTGTACTTTTGTTCACTAGTACAGATTTCTCATAGTGCCGTCAATAGATGAATTTCACATTCTTAAGAGTTATCTCTCGTTGTTGGCGTCACTATTTCCTTTGTAACTTACCTGTAAATATTTTCAACCTTCAAACGGAATCGGACAATTTTGACCCGTTCCTAAATTGCCTTACTATGAGGCAACATATAAAACATAATGAACATATTCAAAGGGACTTAATTTGCGAGATGTTGCCCCAAAAAGTTGGTAAACAGTGCCTTACGCCGGTTAACCCCAGATTGACCCCGCAAAGGGAAATAACTTTCATAAATGTGAAATGCGTCTATAAAATGTATCCCATGTGGGGGCTTTAGTGAAAATAAAAGTTTCAAAGCATGTCTCAGATACTGTAAAAATGTGTCTATCCAAGTGTTTTAAAGAGTACACTTATTTTGTTGTGTATGTTTATTCATAATATGTGTATGGTATACATGTACATATGTATGGCACGCCAAATTCACAAAAATGAGATAATCATAGTTTCACAATCGATAAACTAGGTTTATCGGTTGTAAACTATAGTTTACGAATTGTAAACTATAATTAACAACGTTAATCTATATTTCACATCTGTAAACCATAGTTAACGCGATAATCTATGTTTCACAACCGTAAACTATACTTAACACAGAAAACAATCATTTGCGATTGCAAAACATAGATTTTCTGATAAATACAGTTTCACGATTTGTAAACTATAGTTTACAAACCGTTAACTATAGTTAACGATCTGATAAATATAGTTTCACGATTTGTGAAACTATGATTAACAACCGTTAACTATAGTTTACGATTGTAAACTATAGTTTACGATTGTAAACTATAGTTTACAAACGTGAATCTATGTTTATCAACAAAATCTATTGTTAACGCTTATTACAGACAGATAAACTTAGATTAGCATTCGTAAACTATAGTTAACAACCGTTAAATATAGTTTTACAGATGAAAACTATACTTAACGAATCGTTAACTATAGTTTACGATTTGTAAACTATAGTTTACAGTCGATAAACCTAGTTTATCAATTGTGAAACTAGGTTTTACTCATTTTTGTAAATTTGGCGTGCCATATATGACAAAAAGCAGCTTATTGAATAATTAACTGATGCTTTCAAAATAAAAAGTTACGTTAAAAAAAGTTATCACCAATCTACCTACCCTAATTCTTTGGGCATGTTATCAGAAACACACATAATTATGTTTTTATTTGACCTAATATATAGGTCCCTGATTGATGTAGATCTAATCATTTGAGTCAATCATAGAAGTAAAAAAGTAAAAAACTTTTGAGAGATAGAGAGAGGGAGAGAAAGAGAGAGAGAGAGATTTTTAATAAAAGTACTTACTATTCTAATTGTAGAGCTTCGTGTATCAAACTGCTGACGAGGCGAGCGTGTAATTTTCTGGACACTGGAGTGGGACACGAGGAAATTCGGTTGCAAACATGTAACGTTCGAATCAAACATGTTGATGAAACTGAATGGAGTAACCGATCAACTTTAGTCCCCGTTAAAGTTAATCCTCTGTTAAATCTTTTTAAATGACGAAAGAATTTATACATTAGGCTATAAGACAAACAAAACGGCTGTGAAAACACAATTAAAGAATTCCCGATTGATACAAAAAAAGAAATCGATTTTCAGTCTTCACGACGCTGAAATCACCAAACGCTGATATGTATGAATGAATGTACCTGATAATTCCCACACTCACTTTCTGTATTATAATACGTACGACTCCAATGTCAACAACATTCGGAGGTGTGTTGACTAAACCCTAATACGATTGGTTTAAATCAAAATGTCAACAGAGGTGCGTACCAAAATCCGGATACTATTGGCTACAAAACAAAGCGGGATAACTCTTATTTCATGCGAAATCTAATATTGGCCTAGATATATAACTATATAATTTTTTAGTATAGAGGGGTAGACCAATCTGATTAAAATAAGACTTATCATTCGTCACTGGGGAGTGCCTACGACTATGATTCCATCCAAAAGAGATCTGCCACTAACCATAGGCGCTTGGTATCCATGGTATCTGGAATACCTAATTGAAGACCTACAGGTAATATTGAAGACCTACGGAAGACCTACAAAAATATGGGCTATAGACAGCAAATCCGATGTGATATTCTGATTAATTATGTCTTAAATATATAAAATACACAAAAAAGTTTTCTAAAAAGAAGTTTTAAAGTGTATTTTTAAAGCTTGATATGGGGAACTATTTCTTCTCTCAGACGACCAACACAAGAACGATAACTCGCGTAAATAACAAATCAGCACAGCTGTTCACCAAAACATATCAGAAAAATGTAAATAAATCATTAGTTAAATGAAGAAAAATAGAATCATTGAAGATATTTAAAAATAAATACATCAAAGATGAAATAATAAAAGGGAATATTCAATTAGATATTATTTTATTTTGTAAAAAATATAAATAAATAAAATAAAAACAAAAAACTTAACCAAAGCAGAGACATATACATTTTATATAATACCATAATTTGATCAATCATAAAATATATGTATATTTTTAAATGAATTATTAAATTGTTATAGTAAGTTTCCAGATCCTATGAGTGGACTTTATTTTTTACTGAATTCCTTTTTTTCATTTTTTAAATTTATTTTCAAAATTATTTTGGTATATCAATGCACAAATTAAATATTATAATTTAAATAAATATGTTTATGCTTTTGACAGAGTGTTAAAACTTATTAAATATAAATTAACTAAAAAAATCTTAAGTATTTTTTCTTAAAGATCAGAACCACAATCACTTACAAAATCTTCTTGTATTTCACTGAGCCTGAACAGCAAAAAATAATAATTTATTCAAAATATGCATACATATCATTCAAGTGATTACATGCATGTTACTTGTTTAATTATAAACAAAATTTGTATACTTTGTATGTAATTAACAAACAGAATAATTTCTTGCTACTATCCATAAATTCATTGATTAATTCTGTATATATTAAACTGTTGTGTTAATTTATATTTCATAGAATTCCACTTGAAAGTCTTATTATATTCATATTTCAGCTGATATTTATTTTTCATGACATATATTGTTCTTATTTTAAGGAGATGTCAACCAGTGTAAGTTTCAGAACTTCTGTTTCCATTTCCTTTCAATTTTTTTAATAAAAATATGTTCAAGATCTGTTCAATTTTGGCTCTACATGTTAAAAAAAATTCTTAATGTTTTAATTAGTATTTCTTGGCGTACAGGACAGGTTATTTTAAAATACATTGTGTCATTTATTTTTTTTTTAAATTGATCTTGCCACTGTAAGATAAATATGCTTTTGATTAAGGGGAAAAAGTGACCATTTTGGAAATTATTTTTTTTTTTCCAAATGTTATCAAGCCACATGTAAAACTCATTGATTTTTTATTTCTTCACTTAATAGCTTAAATTATATTAAGAAATCTAATTCTTTCATGTAGCAGAGACAATGAGTGTCTCTGCAAGAAGATAATATAATTCAAAGATTTTTAAAAATATATCTTTGCTATGTTGACTGTAAATTAACTTCATCAGAGCAAGTGGGGTATGTTGATAATTGCAATCAAAACACGGATATATCCTCAGGGTGTGTATATAACACATTAGTGTTGAAGCCTTTAGTTCAGAGTGATATCTTTTTCCATAGGGGCTTGTCTTCCGGATCACAGGCGCCTGAAGTGTGGATCGATAGCAGTGATACAGTTTAAATTATAAGCGAGACGGATGTGCGAACTCCAAAACCTCCTTCAAAGCTGTCAATGGAAAAAAATTTTTGTGTCCGATTAATAAATCGTCCGATTACGACATATAAAACACTAATGATGGGGTTTAGGTGAAAGAGATAAGTAGAAGAACATTTCCTTGACAGAGTGCTTGCAAAATTATGATATATAGGTAACACTATTATTACCTTGGAAATATGTCTCGAAGCAGGGACCCCCCCCCCCCCCGCCGTTTGTTTACAAATTTTGTTTCTTACCTTGTGTATTTTTATTATACCGTATAAGGCCATTCTCTAAACGTAAGAAAAGGTACAATCTGCTTGCACAGAACGACATATGGATGTGATTGAAGGGGAAATTTTTATATTTTTGAGAAATTATAAGCGCTTACATTTTTTTTAAAGGGGGGGGGGGGGGGGCTATCGATCCACACTTCAGGTGCCTGTGTTCCGGATTGTTAAATGTAAAATAAATTTATAAAATTTTGAGTCTACTTTAAAAAGTTGTTAAAATAAAAGATTCTGTCACTTTCAGTCAAGAAAAACCACGTTTAAAAAAGACGAACCACACCTATATATACATAAACTCTACGTAGAGTGCACTTTGTGCAATTTGTACACTTAAATATACTTTAAGATTGGAACAAGGCAAAATTTCGAGAATGAAGGCAGAGAGAGAGAGAGAGAGAGAGAGAGAGAGAAATCAATACATCTCAACGATTTTCAAGAACACAATAGATATACAGATGTGTGCCAAAAGTGAAGATAATTTTATTTTTTCTCTATATATTTCATTGAAATCAACATTTTGTAAAATCAGTGGAATGACAACATTTCTTGACAGATTTTACCATAAATTTCTTGATAATCCAAGAAATTGTTTTATTTGATAAAAACAATAGTTTTAGCTGATCAGCATCGTATTTAAAAAATATTGTAATTAAAGTGCAACATGAAAATTTGAAGTCATATACGCACAATGAATTATATAGTCAATATTGATCTTGAATTTTAGAACTGATATAAATTATGAACTTTTTTCTAAAAAGTAAATATCATGCAGTGGCGTATATTCCATATAGGCAAAAAGGCTGTAGCCTACACATCATTTTCTTAGGGATAAAAAATTGGTTTGAAAAAAGGGAAGAAAATTAAGATGATAATAATTCTTATCTATTAATTTTATGTTGTTGCAAATGCCAAAAAAGCATTCCTAGCAATCCGTACTTTTATACCTATCCAACGTTGACAGTTTTACTATGTATTTAATGACAAAACTTCCTGTAGCTGGAATTTTTTAAAATCCGAAACTCGAGTGTTTTATTAAGTCTGTATCAGACAATATCAAAACCATCGACAGCAACAGCAGGCCATGATTAGTGCAGGAAATGAAATTAATATTACTGGAAATATATTTTTGGTTAGTAGGAAATTAAATGTATTGATCGTATTTAGATTATTTAGTAAGGAAGTTCCCATATTTTCTAAGCAGAGTAAAAATAAGTTAAAAGTTCTCAATTTTGTTTAAGTAGTCTTCATATCATGATATAAACTGAAAAAAAATGTTTACAATATTACAATATTATTTTCACTTGTCAAATTGTAGATGACAATCGTACATGATCGTAGATGTCTTCGTAAAAAAGCTCCCACCGACCCCCCCCCCCTCCCCCCTTCCCCCAGGAGGCGACCTTCTCTTTGCCTACCCACACTTTGTGCCTTAGATTAAATCTGTGACTTCTCACTAGCCTACACATTAGCAGATAGGAATATACGCCACTGAATATGTACAATGATCTTTTAGAAAAAGATAACTACACATTTTTCTGGTTTAAGTACTGAAATAAATAATGAAATTTACTGGACAAAAATTGACCATTTGCCAGCGATTTAACTATATGTGGTTTTCAATAAAATATATATAAAAAAAATTGGCTTCACTTTTGGCACAGATCTGTACTTTAAATTTTCATATTATTTTCGACTTGTTTAAAAATTTTATTTACTATTGAAAATAACATTTAGGACTAAGTGTATCGTAAAATGTATTTTTAAAAAAATCATTTAATTTACCTTTACTTTACTGACAATATACGATTATATCGTACTATTGTAAAAATTGAAATGCATCAACAGTAAATCTCTAACAAAATGGATTATTTTTTCACGAAGAATAAAGTTCCTTATCTCTACCTGTTATGAAGGGTTCAATATAAAGTACTTTTTGTAGTCTTTCAAAAGCATTTATTTTTCAAGTAGTCTTGTTCTTACTGAGCAATAGCTTAAATTTATTCCAATGATCGTTGTACTTACGTCGCGTTCAAATGGAGACCATTTGAGTACATCCATAGTTAACATATGTAAATTTCACAAGAATACAGCTAAGCATTTGAGAGAAGTATAAATTCAAATTAGTCGCACTTATCTAATGTGTTACCCGTATAAATCAGAACTGTGACTGGGTTCAAGAAAACTTTTTTAAAACAATGTTTGAAAATGCATTTTTATTATGCCCCCGTAATCAAAGATTTGGGGGTATATAGTTTTTGCTATGTCCGTCAGTCTGTCTGTCTGTTTGTTTGTTTATCTGTTTGTCCGCAAAGACTTTAACATTGCCCATAACTTTTGATTGGTTGGAGCTATGGCTTTCATATTTCTCATGTGTATTTCTTGTGACAAGACCTTCCTCTGGGTACCAACATATTTGACCTCTTGACCTTGGAGTTTGACACACTTTTGAAAAAATTTACCCAACTATAGCCTTGGCCATAACTTTTGAACGGTTAGTGCTAGGGCTCTCATATTTCACAAGTGTATTCATTTTAACAATACCTTTCCATGAGTGTAAATATTTTTGACATTGACCTTAGAGTTTTGCCCACTTTTTAAAAAACTTTAACCTTGGCAATAGCTTTTGAATAGTGAGCACTAAGCCTTTCAATTTTCACAGGTTTATTTCTTGTGACAAGACCTTCCTTTGAAAACCACCAATTTTGACCTTGACCATGGAATTTGACCCACTTTTAGAAAACATTAACCTTGACCATAA